CTTTCATTTCCAAAATACTATTTTCTTTCTGCAAGGGGATATTTCCTACCAGCTCATTAGTAAATACTGACAAATCAGAAACGTTGTGGTCTTAGGTTGGATCCATAGTTTCAGTTTGTCTCTTTTTAATGCTGTCTTTTGTGCTAACTTGTCGTGTTGTCTCGTCAGGAAAATCTGTCCAAACACCACTGTAGTAGATGCCGATCACATACCGGTCTATGGGTCTATATATCCAACTGCTGAAGACATCATCGATGATACAAACCGTGAAAACAACTGTATGTCACTTAAATTTTTGTAGTTCATTTTTAGTAGATAGAGGTTACTTTGTGGGTAAAAATTCGCATGTGAGTTTTATTTATAAGTTGAATAGTATTTTGAAAATAGGTTATGGTGAGCAATCTGCCATATAAGAAACGAAAAGGGAACTAAAGCCGAAATGTATCCCACAAGTCTTTGTGAGATCGTTTCTGGAAGCGCACCGGTCAGCTATTGGCCGGTTTTCCCCCCTACTGATCCCTAGTAACAGACCCAGACATCATTGCGAAAGTCAGCTCAGTGTGGTTTCCTTCTCGTATATTAAGTGAATAAATGTGAGGGCATTCTATGATTACCCTGAGGGAGTAAAACATTGCACAGGCATTTATATGTTAAGCCTCCACTAAAAAATAAAAACAAAATGTTCTGGTTCAGCATCTTGCTTGGCACACACAAAATGGATTGGCTAAACGTGCGAACAATTTTCGTCTAAACATGGAACAGAGTGAGCCCACATGATGTTTTTTGCACGTTACTGCTGCGATTGTGCTGTCTACTACTTGGTTTCTGATTGGCTGATATTTCTCCCTTGCACTTGCTTTGCTGGCACAGTTCGCTAAACGATCAAACATTTGTTAGTAACGCAAACTGTTCGATAAATTGTTTGATTTCGGTCAAACTCGCTCTTTCAACTCGATATCGGACAAGCATACTTGGTCTTCGAACCTCTGTTACACGGCCCTGCTATTAAGCGGTCATCTACCAATTTCCCGAAATTTGCTTCCCATATTTACTGTAAATTTGACCCCTGTTCAACGTGCACTTGGATGCGGTCACCGTTTGGATTTCCCAAATAGCTAATGTTATCAGTGTAATTTACCTCTGTTAAAAGATCACTTTGTTACATAACAGTCAATGAATGGCATAGTCTTGGTCACGAAGAACTCCGGCTGGCGCTGAGCAAAATCAGTGACTTGCTTCACCAAATTAGACGACCATACCGAACTGATTTTGTCTTCATGTTGAGTGATATTTTAAAGATTGCTGATGATTTGCTTGATTGTAAAGACGTTTGCCTTAAGTATGACATTACTGTTTCGGTTTTAACTCCACTGAACATCCAAATACTTTTATCATATTTCGCGTTATTGTTGTTGTGAACAAGAATTTGTAAATAGAATAATCAATTTTGCCCTGTAGGTCAATTTCTGCCACACCATGGGCTAAATTTTTGGAAAGCCTCTATTAAGTGGTCAACCTCAGTGTTTTTTTCTTCCGAGTTGATAAGCGCTTGTTAAGTTTGCCTATCCGTTAACAGAAAATAGCAGAGCTGGATCAACGGTTCTGACTTAAAGCTGGTCCATTGCAGATGCAACGTTTGTTTCTGTGGTAAATGGTGGTGTCTGGGGTAAGAAGGGGAAGCGTTTTTAAAGTAAGAAGGGGAACGTAGGGACTTATAAGAACAATACATGAAGCTACAGCTGGTGGTTTCTATTTTTTTCCAGGTGATCAAACAAAACTGAAACACTTGCTCTTTGATGCAAATTTAACCAAGGAGGCAGCTGCCAAGGACTGGAATATTACGTGAGTTTAGTGACTCCAGTCAGCTGAAAACAACACCTTGTAGCTGATTGGCTTACCAGTGTAGATGATTGGTTCATCAGGGTAGACAGGGAGTTCCCAAGGGAACGACTCATATAAATGACTATGTGTGCCTTAAGCGCACTCCCCTGTTACAGTGGAACCTCGATTTAACGAAGTGCCAAGGGACTGGGAAAATTTGTTCGTTATATCGAAAACCTCCACTTAACGAATTTTTGGGAAAACAAGCAAAATGTTCGTTAAATTGGGGTAAAGTTATTGATTAATTTCTAAAGCCCAGTATTTCTAGATCTGAACAATTTCTGTAATAAACATCTGTATACAAAGCTATTGTCTCAGTTCAGAGCTGTACATAGCTACCGCACTATAAACACAAGAAAAACTACTGTACACATAAATTTTATCCTCGTTGTTCTGTTTCGCATTCATCTTTAGCTATGTCTCGGTCACATGTTGACATTTATTCGTTACGTCGAGGTATATTTTACGTTTGCGTTTCTGGATCATGTTCGTTATAACGAGGATTTCGTTAAATCGAGGTTGCACTGTACCATTAAATGCTCTTCGATACAATGTATTTTGATTTAAGAAAATAAGAACCTATTCCGAAGTGGAGGAGGGTCTTAACGGCCAAAACGTTTAAGGGAAAGCATAAAACCTTAACAGGGACTTCCAGAGTACTGGGAGATGGGGGTCAAAGCTAATAAACCCTCCGTGGGGAAGTATGGATACCCCCTGGGGCATAACAGTACAGATTTTAAAATATTCTGTTGTTTGCAGAGATGGTATAGAAGATATATTTGTAGCAACGCTTGGAGGAATCATGAGGTGGCTAAATTCAAGGTGTGTTCTTAGATAAGAATTGGGCTTGTCTGGATATTGCTTAACTGATGTAGCTTATATTGTTAAACGCCAGTCAGTCAGAATTCTGTCCTCCCTTAGTGGTCAGTACACTCGGACAAAAACAAAAGACTGACGGAACACGAGATTATACAGAAACAAGGAGATTGCATAAGAGAATTCCCTTGTGTACTGGTACATCAAAATACAACCTCAAGACATCACCGGATTCGTTGAGAGAATGATGAGAGATATTAAGATCATGTCAGGTTTTACCATCTAGTCTACGAGCAAACTGTCCGTTTTGGGGATATCGTTAGGAGTCGCACGGGAGCAGCTCACTCGCGCGTTGTCGCGTGTCTTCGCTCGCCATCCGAAATGGGGGGTTTGCTTGCAGGCTACATACAGTCTCGTGCATTGTTTTTCATTGCAAGAATTGCTTACTGTGTGCTTCCATTAGTACAGCAAAGTTGTGAGAACGGATGAGAGCCGGTCCAACAGCCTCAACATATCGAAACGAAAAGCCAAAAAATGTTGTGGTAATGTTGTGACAAAAGTTCTACAGGTTTAAAATCTTCACAACATCACGATCTGTCAACAGTGTTGTGTGGGGAAGAGTGGGTGTTAAAGCGAATGTGAGAATGTTATGACTATTCTCCACTTCAGAAACAGGAGACTGGGACGAGTTTACTTTCGCAAAGACTTTTGGGACTGTTACTAGGGACAGAGAAAAAAATTGGCCAATAGCTGATTAGTGCGTCCCCAGAAATAATGCCAGAAACAATTGCGGGACACATCTCATCTCTAGTTCCCTTTTCGTTTTTGTTTCGTTAAGTGGCGAATTGGGTAGCCTGTACACAGACGTTGTTTTATGTCAATGAATCCCCTGCGGTTTATATTTTATCACCCGCGCTCGACGGACTTTGAAGAGAAAATAGAGGGTCTGTGAACAGGCTACGTATTGGGGAGATTGCATCTGTAACATGAGTTTGCATGTAATTGTGATTAAACTGTTATATGTTACACCGGGACCCTATAGAGCGTTTTCACTCACATGGCCAGCATCTGTGCAAATTCATTGGAAACAAAGAAAGCGTTTGTATAAGAAAAGAGTTCAGTTCCCACAGGATTGTCTTGGTACACCAACATGGCCGCCGTTTCATTGTTTTGGAACACCAATGTGGCCGCCGTGACGTCATGTGAAAACGCTCTATAATTACATCTAAACACCTTCTAATTAGAAATCATGAATAGGCCCTTTGCAGCTTGCCATTCACGTGGTACAAAACCGCCACGCTGGAACGCAAAAGTCGCCCTGGAGCAAGACCAACAAAAGGCAAACATAATTTGAAATAGTAATTTCCTTTGTTTTTCTTGTCCCAGTGCGACTTTTGCGTCCCAGCATGGTGGTTTTGTACCACGAGAATGGCAAGCTGCAAAGGTCCTATTATACCAAACGACTTCTGTTCTCTATGTTATCTTTACAGCAATATTACATTGCCACGATATTACACTAAACAACAGTTTTACAGACAGGCAGTTCAGTATGCAGACAAAGCTGTTGGCGTGGACAAAACAATCATTGTTTTCTCTGCTCCTTACAGAGCACATGGTAAGAAAAAAAACACAATCATACGTTGGGAATGCAAAAAAACTTTTCTAGTTGTTCCACCGTAGAATCTGAAGATATTAAAAATACTTTTGCTAGTTGTGTAGGGGAAAGTGACAGCAAAAGTATACGTTTGTATTTTCGAGGGGGACATTGGGGGGTACCCAATACCGCAATACCGTAAGAAAAAATGGCAAATACCGAAATGCCGCGTCGAAAATCGTCTAAATACCGATACCCCATATTTTAATCACATTTATAATCGGTTCCGCATACTTATGGTTGCTTCCATGTAGCGCGTTTAATTATCTCAGGCATTTATGCACCAGATGTCCATGTTTTTTTTAATATTTTGGTAGTTCGCAATTTTAACTACATTCGTTCAGTCTTTTGTTATTTCGACCCAACAGCTAATTAACTCCAATAAAAATAACTCTCGAAAGCGCGAAAAACAAACCAACCAAAATCCTTTCCACGCACGTCTAGTGCGAGTTTTGATATAAAGTGAGTCTAGTCTAGCACGTCAGTCTCTCGTTCTGGCTTTCTGGCTTCTGATTGGTGCCAGAAAAAAACACAAGTTTTCTGGCACCGATCAGAAGCCAGACCGGCGGCGACCGTTTGGAACTGGTCTGGTAAGATATTGTCCCCAGGGGCTCTTCTCGCCGTTCTTTACTTTTCTTCGTTCCAGATATATATTTTTCCGCCCGTTTAGACTTTCCCTCGCCCCCTTTATCTGCCCCTGGGTCTCCGAGGATGACGCCGCGCTGTTAAGAGGTAAAATTACCAAATTTTCTCTTTTATGCACCTATCAATGTAAACCCCGTGGCGGGGGGTGGAGTGCGGGCAAGGGGTGGGGATTTGACAAATTTTAAAAATTTTCGATCAAATTCCCCAGGGTGGGAAACGAAAGGTCAATCAAAAGTGTCAAAAAAGCCCCAACCCCAGGGGAAAAAATCTAAACAAACAATGCTATATTACTATATAAAACGAATAAAAGAACCTTTCAAACACGTTGTTACTACTTTTATTTACGGTTAACGGAAGCTCCATTAGATTACTCGCTGTAATTAAGTATTTTCTCCCTCCACTAGCATCTCTTATCTTGAACAACAAAATCACTTCAGGAAGATTGACCGTGCTGTGTAATATTAATAAAACGTAAAATGCTTTATAACATCTGCTCAACATGTCGGAACAGGTCGGATCACTGACCCATAAAAAGCCTCTGGCTTTCATGGTGGAATTCGATTTCAGTCGAGTTTTACAATCAGATGGGAACTTGAAGATAAAAACTTCGTCAAAATAGACATTATCTGTTTAGATGACAGTTTAAAGTATCGGATTATGGCGATTAAAACAAATGAAAACTTCATACCTTTCTCCAACAACGTGACTTTCAGGAAGCCTCGAGCGGGGACGGACTTGGTAACTGCTTCTGAATTGATACCAGGCTTCTGTCGGTCAAAGTCAAATGTCCCGACCCCGGGGTCGCTTCGCACGATCAAAAGCCCGACAGCGGGGATAGTCCCAGGCATCAAATCCCCTCCCCTTGCCCGCATTCCCCCGACGGGATTTACATTGATAGGTGCATTAACTTTACAAGGCGTTTTTCAATTCTCGAAACCCAACATCTAAACTTATTCTTGTTGCGAAAATGTTCGCCTCGTTCGCCCTCTTCATAAAAAATTGCCACACAGTCAATGGTGACCACGCCGTCTTCAACCTCAGCGACCTCAGACATTGTGAGAAAACGTTTAAAACCTCGAATTACCGGCACAGGTAAACAGATCGACAAGCCTGGTAAGGTAACTTGAGACGACTCATTATCATTGGATGCAACAACAATCACATTGTATATTATCGACCATTAACTGTCACAAAATGACCCACAAATGGTGTAATCATTTACCGTTATGTCTCAAGACTTCTAAATATTAACTTTATTGACCTTTATGTCTTACTGTGTTTTGTTTTGCGTATTGTATCGAAAGGAAAGCGCAAATAAACGGTACCGTAATACCGTGAACAATCTTATTTCACCGAATACCGTCACCCAAAATGATGAAAAACCGCATACCGCAGAGCTAGATGATACCGCAATACCGCACGTTAAAATTAAAATTACCGAGATACCGCATGAAAATAAGCCCAATACCGCAATACCGTAAACCCCCATGTCCCCCTCTATTTTCCGAATTCGTGAAGAATCCAGAACGTTTTATTACAGGCTTGTACAGGTTATGGAAAACCGGGAAAGTCATGAAATTTAAGAATTTCATGTTGCAGGCCTGAAAAGTCATGGAATTTACTTGTCGGTCATGGAAAATGATGGAAAATTTTAAAAAGTTTTATCTGGTGGATTAGTTACCGCAGATGACAAAGCATAGATACAGAGAAGTAATTAACCATCGCGAACGGCACACATTTTGGTGGACGCCATAGTTTTTCTGTTGAACTGTTTAAAGTTAAAAAATACCTTAAAACAAGAATAGTTTTGAAAATTTTTGGGAGTGACAGCGTAACCTTAGGTCACAGAAAACTTGAAAAGATCATGGAAAAATTCATGGAAAGTCATGGAATTTAAAGAGCTCAAAAGAGTACCAACCCTGTGGTACCTGATTTGTTTTGTCGTTAACACGGTTTGATCTTGTGTCCGGAGATTTTGAATCCGGTATCTAAAGTGAATACTTCATATTTGAATGAATGTTCTCGAATTTACTGACGGATGTTCGCCTGTGAATCCAAATATTTTAAATGTAACAAATCCGGGAACATTTTTAAGATGACAGCACATCGCCTGGCCAGCATCACGTGTTCCTTTACTTTCCCTTTGAAATGAGAGTAGCCTGGGACCAGGCTCCTCCTCCTAGTGGGGAAAGTGGGGAAAAAGGCGCGCAGTTCTTCCCCCTCCCCAGTCCCTAGCTCGGCTCGCCTTGCTCGTCAATTTTTTTTGCACGCTTTTTTTCCCCTCGGAGGAGCCTGGTTCCAGCTTGGTGTGAGTATGAGAGGCCAGTGGATAAATGCAGTAGACGAGGCCAAACGTTTGATGTCGCTATCTAGTGACACGATGATTATGGAGTGATCTAAGTAGAGATCGAGGGAAATGTGAAAAAAAAGTTTTTGTAAGCTGTTCTGTGTTGCTGTGAAACACACCCCCACTAGCATTACCGTGAACTCCTTCTGCTAGCAGTGTTTCTAATTAGGGTTTTACTTTTGTGTTGTAGGTTACCAAAGTGATGTCAACGAATCTGTCACGATAACCGCAAGTGCTCCTATCATTATTTCGGACAAAAACAACAATAACAGCAAAGTTGTAGCTGCAGGTGAGTCGCACTGAAGCTTCGAATGTTATGGGTCTGTGAGAGTGTGATATGCTTCTAACTCAGTACAGGTTGAGTGAGTGTGTCTGAGAGTTCGAGGTGAAGCTAAGGGTCCCTTTGCTTCAGGTAACTTTTCTTGCTGTCAACTGGACTACGCCATAAACGTGACACCGTTCTACAGATAAAATGGTCTTCAACAATAATGTCACAGTCAAGTCTGCTTCTTGACAAAATGTCGGTGGAGCCAAATTTTTTACCTTTGCGTTTAAAAGTCCGTATACCGTAAGCCATTCTCAATCCTTCATAACAAGAACGTTGAGAACCATTGCATCCGTCTGTCTACAGTGTTGAGAAAGTGGTGCGTAAACTTATCGAACAATTATTGAATGAGGCTGAGTAGGCTGTGAAGAATTATGCAGATCGAGAAAAGTGTTTTCCACCAGGGCCGAAGGCCGAGGCGGATAACAGCCTCCGCGATTTACGAAGGAGTCCTAAGTGGAGATAGCTGCAACGATGCGCTCCAAACTTCAGGTTTCGAATATTTTTATGGTGAGAAATTGACTATATCAGCTACGGAAATTGTTTGCTGTTAACAGCGTCAACAGGGCTTACAACTCAGTCTAGAACGACTTGAAAATGCTCACACTACAATTGTGAAGCTCCCAGTCTGTCTTAAAATGTGGTCGGCTCAGTAAGATGCCCACGTGACTATTTCTTTCTGCTGGGATATTACACTTGTTGATTGGCGCTGGACATTTACAACGTAAATTTGAGTGCTTTTACTTTCATTAAGAAACATGAGATATTACTTCATTACCTTTGTTGGATTCATACATTAACAATGGCGTGAGCATCTCAGTGCCATCTGTCGTTTCCCGTGATGCATGCGTAGCCTGTCTATTATTCTAAAGACTACTTGAGATGCATTTTCACATAGGATGGCTTTGCAAGTCTGGCATCTAATCTTGTCTCTTCCTTTGTGCCACGCCGAAACTATAACTTCAAGAAGGCTTTGGAATATACAACTGATTTATTTTCCTACCTCCTGACTAAGGTTTATTATTAAGTCATAAACTAAATTAGAAAGTTTATCCTTTGCGTAAAATGTTTCCTTTCTTTTAAAAGAAGTAGTATTTATATCATTCTCAAGTCTTAGGCAAAACACTACTTAAATAATAACTAAACACATTCGCATAATTTGCTACTTTATGTAGTATTGATAGTGGTGTTACGATGACGCCGAAACCGACGTCGACTTTTTACGCTCTTATTTACTGTTTCTTTTTCGCTAAATCACTGTTGATAAAAAACGAGATATGTTTCCAGTTTATTTTTTTGACAAACCAAGTGTATACAGTACATGGAATAATTTCTGCCGTTGGCTTTTTTGTGTGTAATTTAATTCTTTGTTAACAGTGGTTGGAATGCACGTAAAAGAGAAGAATTTCACAGAAAAGTTATTCGACGCTGTTGGAAGGGTAAGAGACGCAGTTTACCAAGAACAAAACAGGGCTCGCAAATTTTGGCGAGCCTCATAATATTGCGGCCTTGGAACGCATAGTTTACTGTAATTCGTGTAAAAACTTCTCTCATGTCACCCGGAGGGGGAGGGGGGGGGGACAAATATGTAATTTTCGCGATCCCAACTTAGTCACTTCCTATTTTTATGAATTGGCCCATTTTTTGGATTGAATGAAGAACACTTTACTTTTCATCTACAGTACAAACATTCTGGTACGTTTGCTAACTGTAAATATGAAGAACTGTCTTAGCCCAAAAAATCCAAAAATCTGCGACCCCATTCTAGTAACTCTATTGAAAATACGACCCCATTTTAGTCAATCCGGTCGTGAAAATGCGGCCCCATCCAGCGGCACATCCCCATTAGCCTCTTATAAGGAAGTACCCCCCTCCCCCCGGACCTCTTTACAACGGCCACTTCCGTTTGTTCCGGCGGACAGTCCATACATTGACTCTTGTTTAACTCTTCTCTACAACGGCAACGGCCACTAAAGCGTGTCCCCATCTGCCAAAATAACCTCTCGACAATGGCCTGTTTTTTCAGCGACTAATGAAAGTCAAGAATAGAATGGTCATGACTTTGATCGGTATGTCGCGTTGATGATCAATCGCGGCAAGCGTATTTTGATTGTGTTCCACTTATAAAATGATGCTGCAGTAAGCATGAATTGTCAACGATACTTAAGGTGAATGTTGCGTACCTTGCTCCTTTTGTAATGTTAGCATTTTGATTTAAAGCATCATTCAAGTGTTTTTGTGCATTTTATCTCTGTATAATTATTATATATGATTGGGTTACCATCATGAGATACCCTAAGCATAAACTCAGCACAATACACATGTTATAGTCCTTAAAATGAAAAAAAAAAATGTCATATTACCCCCTACCTTCTCATAACGGTCACCTCTCCAGAACGGCCACTTTCTTCTGTCCTTAATGTGGCCGTTGTGGGGAGGTTCGAAGAGATTACTCGAAATGAACTTAGTAGAATACGAGTTAGATCATATTTGTGAAATGTTGGCCCCAATTTGCAGTGGCGGCGTGGCCGAGCAGTTCATTAGGCGCTGGACTTGCAATTCGGAGGCCCTGAGTTCAAGTCCCCCCCTGACCGCCAGCTGGATTTGTTCTCGGTAGTCCCGAGTTCAACTCCTTAAGGTGGCTGAACACAGTTTTACGGGCGGTCAGCGGGAACTCGCGTGACAGCGCGTGTTTTTAATTAGACAAACAAACATGGCGGCGAAGAAAAGCAATGGTACACAAAAAGACGATTTCTCAAAATCTGCTCATTAAAATTTTGTAGTAATATTCGGCAGAATTTTTACTTTCATCGTATTTTAAATAATGTGAACTTTAAAATGAAAGTTGAGCGGACAAATTTTGTGACACATTTAATAATTAAAGTACAATTATATTATTGATTATCTAAAAACCAGTCTGTTGAAATTTGGTCAAATAAGTTTCAGATGGTAATGATTAACTATAATTAGCTGTGTGCAAGTTGATAGGAAAATCTAATGAGTGAATTTTATGTAAACCGAGCAAAAGTGAAATTTAGAGGTTGTATTCAATCATTCATGTTGCCATGGAAGCTACGAAAACGTCAAATTTTATATGTCAATCAAAATCTTTCATCAGTATATTTTTCACTTGCCAAGTTTCAGCCTGTGAGCTGCAACCTTTCTCTTGCCATGATTTGGCGATGACATATACTCACAAACTTCCAAAACTGTGTAAAGCCACCTTAAGGCCACGCTTGGAAATAGCCAATTGGTTTGCCTCTGGCCAGTTGGGATTCTCATAACAATGCTAAGTTTGATTTAAATTATTTGTTTTAGTCATTTGCTCGGCCCCACTAGTATTACTACTGTAAATGTTTCTTATGAAACCTTAAGAATGATATGGAATAAAAGAGTTAGGCCGTTTATGATCAAAGTCAGAACTTAGAACAGCCGGTTTGTAAGGCTTTTCTCGATCACTGTCGAGCATATACTGTTTAGTATAAGACTGATCTGACTGCAAAGTTCTGATAAGTAGTGGAATTCTCTTTATGACTGGACTGATCTGACCTGCCAAATCTGGCTGGTTCTAAAAAAGGAACTCCAAAGGCGACATTTCAAGTGCGTGCTCCTCGGCAGAGCGCTGCAAGAGGTTGTGGATTTTGTGTGCGTTTGTATATCGACTTGTGGCTAGTTTTTGTTCCACATTTTTAACACGTAAATTTATGTTTTCGTTTTTCATTTTTACAGGAGAACTGCAGCATCTCAATGGTAAGTGTTTCAACTCTGAGTTTGTGATGGAAAATCGCATTATCCTATTTGTCAATGCCCTCGTTATGCGGTATAGTTTGAAAAAGACTTGTAATGTCCATGAAACAGGAAATGTTCGGTTTTTCACCTTTGTCTTTTTAATAAAATTTATAAAGTCAGTGGTATCTTTGGTTACTTCCTAGAAAGATAGATATGCTCTTCTTTCTGAAAAAACATAATGTCGGTCCATGTCTTTAGTCGGTTGATATTTTTCCTGTCAGTAGTCGGTAATTTTTTTCCCGTTTTGTCGGTAGTCAGTAATATTTTTCGCCCTTTGTTTCTAGTCGGTTTCAAATACCAACAACAATAAACAAAGCTTGTAGAGACTTTTAGTAAGTTCAGAATTTATACTTGGCAGCGAGAATCAACATTTTTTTACTCTATTTATTTTTAGTTTTAGATCCACAATTTTTATATTTGTGTTTCAGGGACGTTACTGTCGTTTTATCGACGATGATGGCTTTGTGGTGGCGTCAAATGTCGATAATGAATCTGAGGTATATATGAGAAAGTCACGGCCCACAAACAAAACAGGAATTAATACGTTTCCAGAACAGCGGCGAAAACATCACTTAAAAAGTGACCTCGTGCCCGATTATCCCAACTCGCTAACTTTGTCACGATTGTAAGGGAAATTGCCTGGAGCTGATTACCTATTCAAGTTTAGAAGGAGAAAGGGAAATCCATTGTTGTGTGTTGAAATTTCAGGTCGTAGTGAAAGGAGCGGCAAGAAAATGTATCAAAAAGTGTCATATGCTTGCAAGTTTGTTGTTCTAATTTAAACCTTATTGCTTTTTTGACGTTCTCGTTGCTGTCGCCGTCATGGCCTCTTAGCATCTTAAACTCCATAATTACAACATCCCGATCCCCTGGACATTCAGCTCAATAGGAAGCAGCCATTTTTATTGATTAGCGAGTTTAATTTACGTTAATAAGTCTTGTGTAGTTTATACGAAAACTTAAGAGACTCCTCGCGATAATAATGATACATGTATATCCTACGGAGCAAGATAAGAAATTCCTTTTTTGTGGGAAGCACATTGACAATTTGTTCAGCTTAGTTTGTTTTTTTTGCCAACCGACAATTATGCAGTAGAAACTGAATACAATGGAAAATCAGTTTTCTTTTTGTTTTAACATCAGGTTGGTAAGTTCTTGGGCGCGCTTGAAGGAGGAGGAACCGTCATGAGAACATTAATCAACACATCTCAGTTTGAAAAGTTAGTCTTGTTTTGCTTTTTATTGTAATTTTCATTGATTTAAAAAAGCAGCTTGGGGATTTAACATCTTAAATGGACTTTTCCACGGTTTTTTCAACTATGGACATGGATCAGTTAAAGAGAAGCCGTCGATTCGACACCACTGGAAGGAGCGCCATTTGTAAAATTTTTGAAAATCTTCGTCTGGACATGAAGATATAGCTTCGCCAAATTTTTACAGACTTTTGAACGGCTGTAAAAAACGTCTGTAAAATTTAGCGACTCTGAGGAGCTATATCTTTGTCAGTTTTCTACAAATCACTTTTAAAATTGGCAATTTTTAAGACACTGACGCCACGGATTTTCCCTCACTTGTCCATGTCAAAAGTCGAAGGTTGAGAACGGCAACAAATCTATAAATCTACAGCTAATTGTTAAACTGCAGAACAGAGAGTTAAAATTCAGAACAATGTTATAGTTAGTGCACTTAAAGACAGCGTGACCGGCCTGTCAGCCTCTAGCTGGATTTTTTTTCTAGGGATTCCTAAGCTTGTCGGTCATGCTTATGATTATGTAGCATGTAGCAGTCGCCTTCCGCCAGTCAGTTGAAGGACTGTACTCCATTGTGTGTAAGGCGACTAAGGCTGGGACCGACACTAAGTTTCGTCTCACAGAGGTTTCCCCTTAATAGAAAGTCAAAGAAAATGACTGAAGAACGACAGGGATTAATTCCACTAGATGTGTCCGTTTTAGGGAGCTGTGCGTTTTATAGAGGTATCCCCCGTTAGCAGAGAATTAGCTGGCTATAGCAGTACACTTCTACTCAGAGATAATTATTCATGCAGGGCTGGGATTTTCTTATTTTATGCAGGTTAACTTTTAATAGTACACAAGAAGAGTGCAAAAAACCAGAGGAAAAGACTTCAAATGCCAGGACACTTTTGAATGTAAGGCCAAACAAAGAGATGAAACAAATAATTGCAAAATAATACTTATACGTGAAAAGCTGTTACTCAAGAGCTAACTATAAGTCCAGTTTTTGATTATGGGAGTTTCGATTTGTGGCTTTAAGTTAGTTCCTTGATATTTCGTACAAGAGCTCAAAATTAAAACCACCTTCCAATGCTTGAATTGAATTATAGAACAACAGGAAAGCGCTGCTGCCAAGCTTTCGTTTAAATGATCGCGTTGTGGGATTTGATCCACAGACTCCAAAGTCAGAGCTATCTTGTACAGTGCAATAAACAGGGCCCAGTTGTTCGAAGGCCGATTAGCGCTTAACCCGGGGTTAAATTTACCCAGGTCTCTTTTTCTTGTGTTCAAAAGCATTTTCTCGGATAATTTTCTGTGCTATTTTTAGAGCTTCCAATCATCAACTTGTAGACAAAAAGAATTAAATCTCAAATGCTTTCTACTCTTTCATATCTGAATTCAAATATCGCACTAACCCTTGGTTATCTTAACCCAGCTTTGAACAACTCGGCCCAGTACTGTATGCAATCACTGCTCATTGTTGCTTTCGTTTGAATGATCGGAGTACCGTACCAAAAGCTCGTTATACAAATGCTTCAGACCAGACTGTTAACACAGAGTGCCCGTTAAACACGGAAAATAGTCTTCGCTTTCTTGGTATTTGCTGGTACAGCTGCTTCATTTATCGCTGAGATATCGTCTTCCGAAACTGTCTAGCCTATTCCCAGGTGCGCTTTCTCAATTTGGCGGACCCGACTATCTCGGAGCCTGCATGTAACAGGTTAGAAACTGTCGCGAAACGGGATGCCATATTGACTCCCGTTCCCAAACAGTGCAGAGCCTTGTAAACTCCGAGTTACGGAAGCCAATCAAAACTCGCGAAAACTGCTAACCACCGATAGTCACCTTTAGTATTTCGGTCATTTGGGCGGAAGAAAGACATCGTGGTAAATGGTACGTGGGAAAGTACAAAACGCAAGGTTCGTGTCACCCCTAGTACTCCTTCAAAAGCCGTCGAATTTAATTTTAGATTTCAGCGGAGCTTGAAAAGCTCTTGAAAAGAAAGTGCTTGAAAACTTCTTGAGAAAAACCAGCACAATCCCTGTATCAGCGGCTTTCTTTGAAACGGACATACTGTTGTGCACGTGATTTTCCTGTTGTGTGGTAACTTTTGGTATACTGACTACTTTGTTTTCTGATTTGTGTAGCCTCTCTTTGCGGTGACATCATACGTTCAGTTCTGGACGCAGACTGTGTTCTTGTAAGCAACTCAGTATTTTACTCGAAATTGGCGGGGTTGAACTTGCAATTTATCAGACTTTATTGTTACGATGCAGAGCTCTGTCCGTTCGACAGCGTAATAAGGAACGCAGCCTCGTAATAGCCAATGAAAAAATGTTGGCCTTCACAAAACAGTCACACAGTGTGATTTGATACGGGCGAGTGGGAAAAAATGGGTGGAAGTTAAATTGCCCGCCAAAATCCTTCGCAACTTTGCCGCCCGCTTCGCGTGGTGACTCCGCCAATAAGAAAGAACCCCGGGCATAACAATCCCGCAATCTTCGCTGGCTAACGTAGTAATAGTATCCGTTGAAAGAAACAGATAAAAGTGAATTATCTGAATACTGATGTAACGTTTATTGTTTTTATGTTTGCAGGTCGCTGGCGCAGTTCAATATTTACAGTCTCTTTTCTCGTAGCGGTGTAGGTTAGTTGTTTTTTTAATTCAATAAGTTAGCGGTTTGACATATTTGTGGATCTTAAGGTCCGTTTAATACCCCATATCACACTCTGTTTGACCCCCAATTTGCGCACGTTATTGTTGTCAAATGCTTTTGGGAATGTGCAGTCCTCCCTGAAGATTTAAGCCTGCGTAGTAGGCCCTGGTTTTTTGAGGGCCAAGGGAGGAGAGGGAAGGGAAGGTACTAAAGAATGACTGTTCCTAAGATAAAAAAAAAAACGTACTTTTGTTTCCCGGGGAGCAAGGGATAGCGCTGTGGTGAGAGCGCTCGCTTCCCACCAATGTGGTCCGAGTGCAAATCCCGGCTTCGACTCCATATGTGGGTTGAGTTTGTTGTTGGTTCTCTCCTTTGCTCCGAGAGGTTTTTCTCCGGGTACTCCGGTTTTCCCCTCTCCTCAAAGACCAACATTTCCAAATTCCAATTCGACCAGGAATCACGTAGACGAAGAACCACTTTGTGGACGTGCTACCTCCAAATCTTTATTTATTTATTTAAAGTCGACAAGATCAAGTCAAGTCAAAAGATTCCAGCTAAATAACTATGAGACACATTCTTTAATTCGCAGCCATGGCTGAAGGGCAACAGCAACAGGACATGATCCCATGCTCTCAAGAACTTCAATTTTATAAAGGACATTGGGGACAAGAAAGGGAAGGTACAGTAGGTTGTGAGCTGTTTTTTTTTTAATATTTTGAAGAGAGAGAGAGAGAGAAGCCACTGACCAAACGTTGATTTCAGTCGGTAGGGATTCCGCATTACTAAGGACGCTTACGCTATCGTTTGTAAACAAGCTCTCCATTTTACTATTCTCCCACTCGCGTGATTTCAGATCCAAAATACTAGTCAGGAAGCACTGTCACGCAGGGCGCTCATTTTTCATTTTCGTTAAACATTTTGAGTAGAAGCAGGCAACATGCCTTAAAATCTTCATCTTGCCATCCTGATTAAGAATTGCGCTGTTGCCCACTCCAAATGTTATGATATCTGTCATTAAGCGGGCTTTTTGTCTAGGCCCTCGCTCCTGAAGCATGAAAACGAGGCTGAACTGTAACATTTATATAAACCCAATAAAAAGTGCACAATAGGATGGGGAAACAGCTGAATCTTTGTTACTTGATGTTTAGAGCTCGATAGACAGTAGTGTGGGAGATAAAATGCGTCACGTGATCAGTTATGAAGAGTCACGTGACTTTCCAATAAAATCGATTCTAAAGCATAAAAGACGCTCTATTCACACTTTCCTTTAATATAGTTTTCAACTCTCTGACGTTTCTCATTTCGATTTATAGATCCAACAATAAAAACACAAAAATGCAATAGGTGATCAGCTATGATGGGTCACGGACTAGATAGCCTTAGCTGTGTGAATAGCGTGATCGATTAATTGTTTCAGTAAGCTCTTCAGGAATTATTTTCTATTAGAAATAAAAAAAACTATGTTTGATGGGGTAAATATGCGCTTCAATCTGTCAGAAACATTGGTCACTAAGTTTACGACTGGGAACGACGATGATGCATTAGTAGATGCCCTGACCAGCCATGAGCTTGTTAATGAAGTTGGACAAGCTGCACATATCATCAAAGCTTTTGATGCCGCACATCATGACAACCCTCGTTCTGTTACTGGAGGCAATACATGAAACTGGTGTCCATCTTAGTGAGGTTTACGCGTGCGATCCGGGAAGGGAAGTGGGATCTGTCTTTACTGCGCGCAATGTTTTGCTGTGTCCGAGCCTTTAGGGTGTTTATCTGGCTCAATCAAGTAGGTGATCTCTCTTCGCTCTCCGAAATGCTACCCTATTTTGCAGCTTTCGACCACTCGAATTACACCAGATTGGGCGTCATATTTCTTGCAGACATGAAGATGCTTTCGCAGACTGCCCCTGAGGCCCAGCCTCCCCTGCAGACATTCTTAGGCGTGCGTCACGGAAGGAACGCGTGACGCACGCCTAAGAATGTCTGCGGGGGAGGCTATACAAGGGTTGATCTGCTATTTGACAGATATGTCAAGAACTCGATAAAAGGAGGAACCAGAGACAAGCGCAAGGAGAAAAAGAGTACAGGGATTAGGCGCAATGTGGATAACAGAGATTAGAGAATTGGAAACTGGGAGAGGTTCATCATTCTAGAAGATAACAAGGCTAGCCTACCTCATTTCCTCTCGACTGACATCTCGGAGAGTTACAGCGTGCCTCCTGGGAGACAGCTGGTGATCAATGGAGGCTTCAAGGATACACTGAAGGTGTGGTCATCTGACACATCACGACAAGATATAAGAAAGCTCGCATCAGATCAAGAGGAGGCAGATACTAGAATAGTACTGCATGCCCGAGACGTAGCAGCAAGAGGGTACAAGCAAGTCAACATTTTGTGTCGTGATACGGACGTTCTTGTCCTCCTTTTGGCATACCGAGAGCAGCTTTGTCAAGAGATATGGATGTTTGCGGGTACATCAAGACAAAGGCGTTACATACCAGTTCACAGAATCCCGCTCTCCGAGGAGAAGAGGAAGTCGCCTCTGGCATTTCATGTGATTACTGGCTGTGGTACGACAAGCCAGTTCTATGGTGTGGGCAAGGCTTCGGCATGGAAAGTCTTCGAAGATGCACCTGACCTCTTGGAACACCTTGGAGAAGAAAGCCAAATCAGTGCTGACGTTCTTGTCAAAGCTGAAGCCTTTGTATGCAAACTCTACAATCCGGGAACACATGAGGTGGAAATCAACAAAGAAAGAGCAGCAGCGTTTCGCAAATCCAAGAAAGATCTCGACGCCCTACCTCCGACTCAAGATGCACTGATTCTCCACACAAAGCGGGCAAACTATCAGACCATGGTATGGAATAAAGCGCTGGAACCATGTCCTTCTCTCCCAAAGCCTGAAGACAGCGGATGGTACTACAGTGAAGGCCTTCTGAAGCCAAAGTTAATGACACGAGAAGAAGTGTCAGCGGCGTGTTTACAGTTAGCATACTGTGGGTGCTCCCGAGAAGGCGGATGCTGTGTAAACCGAAGCTGCACTTGCGTTAAACTATCTCTTTGCTGTTCCAAGGCATGTAAATGAGGTGACAGTTGTAGAAACGACAGGAACACTACAGCAGAGGCGAATGAAGCATGACCTATAACTTTGATAAGGTGGAAGTCACATGGTGGTCTTGTGTAATTTAAGATACTTTGCTTATGGTTTATAAGCCTGTATTTCTGGCTTAAACCGTGCGGTCAAGTAGAAGAAAGTTCAGTCTTTTTACATGAAAAATCCTAACTCATGGGAAATGTTACATAGGTTGGAAACGCTATAGAATGACTGAAAATAGAATGATTTCATTACATCACGTGACCCATCATAGCTGATCACCTATTGCATTTTTGTGTTTTTATTGTTGGATCTGTAAATCGAAAGGAGAAACGTTAGTAAGTTGAAAACTATATTAAAGGAAAGTGTGAATAGAGCGTCTTTTATGCTTTAGAATCGATTTTATTGGAAAGTCACGTGACTCTCCATAACTGATCACGTGGCGCATTTTATCTCCCACACTATTGTCTATCGAGCTCTAAACGTCAAGTAGCAAAGATTCAGCTATTTCCCCATCGTATTGTGCACTTTTTATTGGGTTTATATAAATGTTACAGTTCAGCCTCGTTTTCATGCTGCAGGAGCGAGGGCCTAGGCAAAAAACCTGCTTAATGACAGATATCATAACATTTGGAGTGGACAACAGCACAATTCTTATAATTAGGATGGCAAGACGAAGATTTTAATCTATGTTGCCTGCTTCTACTCAAAATGTTTAGCGAAAATCGTTTTTTGGCGAGCTGCCTCCTGACTATACACGGCTTTCTCGTAGGACGCTACTTTGGGGCTGCATTGATGTGAAGTGTGAAGCCCAAGGTTCCATAGTCAGTAATGCTTCAATTATGACACACTCGAACTATTTCCTTGTATTGGTTTCAATAGAAGTTTTTATTAGCTTTTGCGCCAAATTTTGTCTGTTTTGTGGTAATGGACTCTTCTGACAAAGCACAAATGTGCAGCTTATTTCAGTATAGTTAGTTGGAAAACTCAAGTTCTCCGCCAAATCGACCTTGCACCATTCCAGAAAGGCCAGGTTTCTTTTCCGGTAACTTAACGTCAAATCGATGTTGCAGATTTCTTTCTTTTTCGTAAGGTTTAGTAGTTCTTTTTATCAGAGACCTTTTTGTTTTTAAATTTAACTCTTCTGGTGCGGTCTTGTTGTTGTGTTTGTTATTAAACGCATAACATACTGCTTTTCCTCAAGTCGTTTTACAGTGATGTTACAAAACAAATTGCATGTTTTTGTTGCCCGTTACCGTAGCTTAAGCAGTAAATGCGCATTATGCTTGTTTCGGAATAGTACGTACATATTAACTGTCGATATCTTCTTGAAAAAGCCCTTGTCAGTGTTTGTGGTGCGCCCAATTGGTACCTGTTCCGGCCTGATGCGTATGAAGACTGATCATAAATATGTCTTTTAGTAAATGAAAGAGTTTGGTAAAATATCAAGTACAACAAACATATAGAAAAAAAAGATCAGTGGACTTGTAAGCCGAAGGCCCCGAGTTTAAGTCCTCAGCCACGTTTGTAACATAGCCAACTTGTTCGCCTCCCACCAGTTGGGATTCCTAGCCATGTTATGTTCCATTTGAATTATTTGCGTTATTATCGATCCCTGAAAAGCCCCATAAGGGAAGGGATAAGTATAAGTGTTAAAAATTCCATGCCGAATAATTTATTTGCTTCGTCAGGTTGTTCGAATAACACCAGTGAGAATAAAACAATGGCAAAAAACTGTAAGCTGTGTGATCTCTAACTGTTTTATGGCCTCATCAGTCATCGTCTTGATTTAGTTAAACCCGAAAACTGAACCTATACCGGTATCCATAACAATCATCTTTCCATAGCAATTACGTTGATTATGTAGAAGATCGATCCTGTAAGGTACTCGTCTTGTCGTTGTGTTTATTATATTTTCCCCTGCAAATAAAGTATACCATGGCACAAGTCTTCGTGCGCGGTCCCTGCTGTGTTTTCCCGTTCCTCCTTGTTCTCCATCATCCTTTTCTTTTACGTCAGGAAATATTTATAAGATACGTTTCTGTATGCAGGGTTTGTTATGAATTCTAGCGTCACTAAAGATTTCTTATGTTATGACAACTTCAACCGTTTATTTAACTCTCTTCTTTTCAGATACGGTTAAGTGTCAAGTTAAACATGATTGCTCATGGTAAGAAAAATCATGGATTAGCGTATTGGTTTACAACAACAGCTTTTATTTTTGACTTGAATGAATGCTGATCTTTCATTTTTCGCATTCCGGCTGCGTTATTACTATATTTTATAGTCTTGTCAGAGAAAATTGTTAAGCTTTTTTATAGTTCTTTTTGAGCGGTGACACTTGAGTTTCATCCTTAAAATAAGTTGCCAGAGCCCGGTGGGAGCAAGACAGCAACATGGCCGTAGGTTAAGATCCCGGCCCCCAGTCACCAAAAGCTGGACTTGGGTTTTAGTGGTCCCAGTTTAGCTCCTCGACCTACTTGCTGTGCGTCAATAAACTACTGGATTTGATCGTTTGAATTATTTATAGTTACTTGCCTTGTGCGCCTGTAAACTAGCTAAAAGAATTAAATACAGTTCCAGTGTACACAAAAGCATTTACAATTTTACACTCTACTAGACACCAGAGACTACAATTGTTCGGATTTAAGTGGGAGTGTGAAAATTCTGATTTTTTTGTCTCTCTCTCGTTTTTCAGGAGGTTATATATAGCACCTGTTACTGGGACCAATCTTCGACTGGTAGTAGAAAGCCGCAGTAATTCTTGGTGTCCATGTGATGGTGATACACGGCTGACAACAAAACCAAGAGATTGTATCTTTCAAAACTGCTTTTCATAAATTTTTACCCCGGGTTTCAGAGATGTTTGTAACTTAATTCCGGAGAGTTCGGTCGAAGCGCCCAGGAAAATAAATCCGTCTCGGGAGCTTTGTCAAACCGTGAGCACGGTTTAATTGTTTCATCCCAGGTATATAAATCCGATAACGGACCTCAAAAGCCAGGTAAACAAACGCTATAATAGGAGGTGTTTTCTTAGTCAATCCCCGATTATTTTAAGAACAGCTTAAACGGACTAACAACATTTTTGTGCAACTTCGTCCAACATGCTTGATCCAATGCTCTGCTGCCTAGATCAGGTGTAAAGGAGTTAATAATTTAGGGCCCGTTTATACAGGGCTAACACTATTCAAGTTGTTGTTGATTTTGGACCAAAATGCTGTAGTTGTTAGAATACCTTGTTGAACAATGTTGGATGTTGTGGATGATGTTAGATCAAGTTTAAATGAGTTAAACATCTGGGTTTAAACACCATTCAGAGTTGTGAGATGACGTAGGAGCAACATGCTGAATACGATTAACTGGATGTTTAGGGTGCCCAATAGGTTTCTTGGAATGCTGGATTTGTCTCACTGAAGACGGGTATGCGGGATGCGAGATGCGGGATTCGGGAATTTAAACATTTTGCACGGGATGAAGGGATTGAAGACCTTCACTGGCGACCGTCAATTTTGAAAGTTTAGTTTTTGAAACCGAAGTCACCTTTAATGGCTACACCATCGCGCACCATACACAGAAAGTGGTGTGCATTAGTGGCCGATCTTAAAACCCCTGGGGGCTTTGTTGATACAACGATATTTAGCTTGGACCGCAGTTGAAGACGAGAAGTGGACCTTCGTGCAGATATGTTTCTGAATAACTTATTTTAAGTAGATACAGGTTTTTTGTCTGCCCTGCTTATCGGTTGACAACGTTTAGGGACTCGGAGTTGATCAGGTTGAAAATAGCGTTGCTGACGAGGTTTTGTTAAACACTGCATAAACACTGAACCGTGTCTATATATGCATATAGAGGACGTTTAGATGTTATCGGAAAGCGCTAATTTATAGTTAGGATTAGAAAATCATCGTTACTGCAGGGTGTTCATTGGGCATTGGAGATCGGAGAATTCTCCATTTACTACGCAGAATTCTTCGGCTAACGGTCAATTGCCTATGACTATTTTTTCCTCAGATGTGAGCCTCTTTAAAAATATTCTCCTGCAACGTTACACCTTTCTCCTCCTACCAGAATTCTTAATGGAAACCCTGTCACTTTATTCCTTAATCATTTGATATTTCATAGTGCTGGAAACTGTAAATAACAGAGTCCCGGCAAACGTATCTTACAGGAAACCGCCCGAGCTCACAACACCTTGTAATGACAGTGCAGATGAGGTAAGAACCGGCCAGGAAATTACCGTTGCTATGCGAACTTCGAATGTTAAATTCACTTTACTATGGACTGCCATCAACAAAACCATGCACATGGCACTGGCAATTTGAAAAAATTGCCTGAAGTTTATAAGTTGTGCATCCAAAAGGAGTGAGGTGTAGGATAGAGGTAGGGATACATAAGCGAGAATCTTAGGAAACTGAGGTGGAGGTGCGTAAGCGACGACATAAACGACCTAAAGTGGGTCTATATAAGCGAGGACATTAGGGATCTTAGGTGGGTTTACATGAGCGAGGACATCAGGGACATTGAATGGACTGCATACCAATTGAGTTGATTGGGTACCTTAGGTGGGGGTGCATAAGTGACGACATTAGGGACCTCAACTGGGGTTACCTAAGCGAGGACATCAGGGACTTTAGGGGGTGTGCATGAGCGAGGACACCAGGGACGTTAGATGGGCTGCATAATTGAGTTGATTGGGGACCGTAGGTGGGGTGCATAAGCGACGACATTAGGGACCTCTAGTGGGGTTACATAAGCGACGACATTAGGGACCTTAGGGGGTGTGCGTGAGCGAGGGTATCAGGGACGTTAGATGGACAGCATAACTGAGTTGACTTGGGGACCTCAGGTGGGAGTGCATAAGCGACGACGTTAAGGACCTCAAGTTGGGTTATATAAACGAGGACATTAGGGACCTTATGTGTGTCTACATGAGCGAGGAGATTAGGGACATTAGATGGGCTACATAATTGAGTTGATTAGGGACCTTAAATGGAAGTGCATAAGCCACGACACCCTGCACGTACATTACACTAGTTTGTAAATTTCGTTGCCGTCTCTGCAAAATTTAGACGTGAAATAATCCAATTTTTAGTTTACATGAGAACGAAAACGACAAGGCGATGATTTTACCGATCTCGGTCTGAAGTCGGACGCGGTCCCCTGTCTTCAGCTCCAACCTAATTTCTCTTCTTTGAAATAATTGGGTGACTTGGAATAATAACGAACACGTTTGAAAGGATACGAAGTCTATTTTTCATCGACGGTTTCATTAGCGTTGCCGTTGTCGGATCATAAGGTCCGTTTTCAAGATATTGAGGTCAAAGTACGAACCAGTTTCTGCCGTGGCATATAATCAGCGGGGAGGCGAAGTTCATTGGTGTTCACTAGAGAGAAAAATCTTTCCTGGCCATACACAAGATACCCATATAACACAGGGCTAGGATTGCTTTCTCCTTCGTCGAACGTAATTAATGTTCTGTGATATTCTGTTGCAGGGGAAGCCCCCGCCCCCGTGTGCACTGGCAAGTATATCCTCTCCTGCAAGGCTCACCATGTTTCTGGTGCTTATCTTGACGTTATTCAGTGCATGAAATGACAACTGGACATAATGGATATATCCTCAGACTGTACACCAGATAAGCAGAAACAAAAGAAAATGCAAGCAACTTTTAGGCATTTAACGTGTAGTCAAGAACGTGTAGCGAGAATTGTATTTGCACGCTAATAATGTAAATAGGCAATTTTGTATTCCTGTTTTCCTTTTCACTGAATCCTTTTTGGCCCACATTTTTTGTAATCATTTCCCTATTATAAGCGCGAACTAGGACAAAGCCAACCTCGTTATTTTTAGCACGTGCATGACTGTTTTCATCTCAGTTATTCAGTCCAGGCCCCAATTGTTCAAAAGTTGGATAGTGCTATCCACCGGATAAATCACTATCGAAAGGATAAGTATTAGGGAAAGCGATTAAGCTATCCTCTGGGTAGTAATTTATCCGGTGGATAGCGCTATCCAACTTTTAAACAACTGGAGTCAGATAAATCACTATCCAAAGGATAAGTATTAGCGAAACCAATTGCGCTATCCAGTGGAGTAACCAGTGGAGTAACCAGCCTGTGAACAGGCCTTTCGGTTGGGAATAATGCGAGTGAAAACCCTGAGGGAAACAAACCGAAGGGGAAAGAAGAGAGAGAAGAGGGGGCTTTTTTTCTCCCTCCCCCTTTCCCCTTCTCGTCCCCTCGCAGTCTTTCCCTTTTCTTTTTCTATCCCTCATAAGAGAGGTAATTGCTTGATCGAGTTCCAGATTTTGTATTATTGACGAGGAAAGTTCTCCTCGGCAGTTTTCATGCGAATTTTCACTTTAGGAACTCGTCCTCGGATGTAAGAGTTCTGTGTTTTATAGCGCAATGGGCCTTAGCTTTTGCAACAAACCGTCACGTCACAAAACACTCTACGAATGAATGAATGAAGTCGGTTGTCCTTTTTCTCTTTGCGTTGTTGGCAAAGATTGTTAAAAAAGCCTTAAACGAGCTCGCCGGTTTAACAGTGGGAATGTAGATTTCTTTCAATTTTACCAGTTAATAGTACTTTTTACGTCTATTGTGCACAACGTTTTGTAACAGCTCTTCACTGTTCACTCGAAACGGCTCTGTTTACTATAGACGAAAAACTCTATAACACCCCTGAACGTTTAATTGACTTTAGAAAGCTTTTGTAAAGTGTATTTGCCGGAGTCTCATTGCACCTTCACTCCTCTCTGTATTGAACTTTTTGTTGTGGGTACATTTTAAAAAAGCAATGATTTTTAGTTTCATCTGTTACTCTAAATGTCCTTATTTTGCCTCACGTGTCAACATTTACCAGTTACAAGAGAAAATGAGATTATAATGTTTATATTAACATAACTAGAAATTGCTTTAAAACCATCGAACTGTTTTTCATATTTATTAATGGTTAGTGCCATTTTTCTAATTTGTAATGTTTTGACCGGACTGATTAAATGGAAATTTTCTGCACTGCCTTGTGTCAAGGGAGAATGTTGGACTGTAGAGATGCGGAGAACTGGAGGCGAGTGAAGTATTGTGGTCAGTCGATGTTTGATCGAATTGCAGTATGGGACGGTATTTAGGAGGCTATCATTTCTTTCATTTCTGTTATTGGCTATTAGCAAAACCGACTCAGTCTTAGCGCGAGAGTTGGGCGAGAACCTGGGAAAATTACCCGAGAGGACTGTAACAAAGTTTTGTAAGGCGATTTAGCCTACGTACCGTTGAAAGCTGGCTTGAGAATCAAACACACCATAAAAGTTTGGGTTAAAAGTACGACCTCGTCTCCACGTATGCACGGATATTATTGAAAACGGTGATTTTTTTCCTGCACTTTTGAAGAGCACGCATCCACACGTAGCGTATTCAAAACGTTTTTGCCCACGTACACGAAAACGCTTTAACGATACAATTACGATAGATTACAGAGCGTGCAATGTATGATGTGCGACACACCTCCGTTTTTGTCCGTCCACTCGAAAACGACAATCCGGCGTTTTCAAAAATCTCCACTCTGGGGAGGCACTGTTTTAAAGAACCAGCATTTTGGTGCCTTAAAACGCCACTTATGTGCGAACGAAGGCTAAAACGGCCATTTTCAAAAACATCCGGATACGTGTGGACGGCGCTTAATTAAAGCTTTTCAAATAACGAGGACATTACAGTTTTTCAAATAAAGAGGAGACGATATCCAAGAACTGCAGCTTGTTTAATAAATTCTTTTTACTATCTACAGGAAGAAATAAATACCTTGGTATAAACATTTATTTACAACGTCAAAAAAGTGTCACTCCTCTGTTAAATCTATTCAAGTCTTCAAAGAAGTAAATCCTTAATTTACACAGCAACCAAGCTGTTGTTTGTGAATACTTTTTAAGATTATTATATCTCTATGGGTTTTATAACAGGTTTTCTAACGTGCCGCATGGTGGAACCTGGTTTCAGTGGGCTTGAATGGCGCTAGTGACCCATAGGGCCATAGGTAACTCGGAGTCGTCATCCGGGATATAAGCATTAGGTCGAGGTTTAGCAGTGGTGTAAATACCGCCAGGCAGGCGATAGTGTTCTTTTCCCTCTTCCCGCTGAAAAAAAAACGATTCGGAATACTTCGTGAGACGAGTTTGAACATAAAACAAAAAGGCACAAAGTATAGCAAGCTTGGCATCAACCACTAAGTGAACTGGCGGCAAAGAAATCACGTCTACCCAGACGTCTGACGTCTACCGTATTTTCACAAACGACGAAGTTGCTATTTTTTGTCCCCCTAAAAAAAGTACTCTGAACAATGTAGATCTGGCTTTTGAGTGTAGAGATAAAATTCATAAGGACTGCAACAGACTTGTGGTGTTTTTACAACGATGTAGAAGTTAAAAAATGTAAATGTCACGAAAAAGCAAATACTCAGTTGTTCGTGTTTCAGCTGGATTACAAACATCTAATATAGAGGTAAATTATAAAATTAATGAATTATAAAATGATTAAAACCCCTTGTGGGCTCCCAGGATAAGTAGTCGACGAGCTTGCTTTGCGGCCACGATCCCTCCTTTTTTGTGAACCCCACTTTGGAATCTGATTGGAATCGTATGAAAACTTACTTGAGGCGTTGATCAGTACTTCTTTCTTAGAAGTGCTGGGAGACAATAACTTCATTTAACATTCGAAGCAAATTTTACTTTCTTTTCATTGGCCAACATCCCACCACGTGACCTGCAAATAGGTGCCTACAAATAATGGCCTGCTCATGCGCAGTGTCGCCCAACTGTGTTTGGCTTGTTTGGCTTAGTGGCTGCAAATAATATTCTACCTATGCGTAAAAGAAATCCCGCTTTTATCCTTCTTGCGATCGCTTTTGCATGAAAATGGCAGATCGTTTCGCTTCCTGAGGATATTCATTAAAAGACAAATTCGGTGATCGAATGATAAAACAATTACTGTAAAATTCCGAAAATAAGCCCCTCCATGTATAAGCCCCAAAAATAAGCCCCCCAAACCGGTAACGCAAAAAACCCTCCGTTAAATCGCCCCTCCAAATATAAGCCCCCGGGGGCTTGTACTTGGAAAATTGCCCTCAAATACAAAGTAAAACAAAGCAAAAACGGTAAGTTTACTTCCAACTATAAGGCTAGCCCAATCGACTTTGAAACGCAAATTTCCCTCCGTAGATAAGCCCCTCCAAAAATAAGTCCCTCAAAAAGGGCCTTTGAAAAATATAAGCCCCGGGGCTTATTTTCGGTATTTTACGGTATTGAACTCGGTTATCGCAAAATATCTAGCCTGCGTAGCAAGTGTTTCCAATCGAGTTATGGCGCGAAAGTTAGAACAGGAGCAAAAACAAAGCTCGTCCCAACTTTTGATACGGTTGTGCCAGGGGTTGTGCTCGTGCTATAGAAAATTGGCAAGTAATTCATGGCAGTCTCCATATAGACTCCCTGATATATTAGTGCAATATTGTATACTCCTATATATCTTGTGTACCCATGTTTACCCTAGTAGTACTGTATACCCTGTATACCCCTATATATCCTGTGTACCCATGTTTACCCTAGTAATACTGTATACCCTGTATACCCCTACATATCTTGTGCACCCATGTTTACCCTAGTAATACTGTATACCCTGTATACCCCTATATATCCTGTGTACCCATGTTTACCCTAGTAATACTGTATACCCTGTATACCCCAATTTATCTTGTGTACCCATGTTTACCCTAGTAGTACTGTATACCCTGTATACCCCTATATACCTTGTGCACCCATGTCCACCCTAGTAATACTGTATACCCTGTATACCCCTATATATCCCGTGTACCCATGTTTACCCTAGTAATACTGTATACCCTGTATACCCCTATATATCCTGTTTACCCTTGATTACCCTAGTAATACTGTATACCCTATATACCCCTATATATCCTGTTTACCCTTGATTACCCTAGTAATACTGTATACCCTGTATACCCCTATATATCTTGTGTACCCATGTTTACCCTAGTAGTACTGTATACCCTGTATACCCCTATATATCTTGTGTACCCATGTTTACCCTAGTAGTACTGTATACTCTGTATACACCTATATACCTTGTGCACCCATGTTTACCCTAGTAGTACTGTATACCCTGTATACCCCTATATACCTTGTGCACCCATGTTTACCCTAGTAATACTGTATACCCTGTATACCCCTATATATCCTGTGTACCCATGTTTACCCTAGTAATACTGTATACCCTGTATACCCCTATATAACCTGTTTACCCATGTTTACCCTAGTAATACTGTATACCCTGTATACCCCTATATATCCTGTTTACCCTTGATTACCCTAGTAATACTGTATACCCTGTATACCCCTATATATCCTGTTTACCCTTGATTATCCTAGTAATACTGTATACCCTGTATACCCCTATATATCATGTGTACCAATGTTTACCCTAGTAGTACTCTATACCCTGTATACCCCTATATATCTTGTTTACCCATGTTTACCCTAATAGTACTGTATACCCTGTATACCCCTATATACCTTGTGCACCCATGTTTACCCTAGTAATACTGTATACCCTGTATACCCCTAAATATCCTGTGTACCCATGTTTACCCTAGTAATACTGTCTACCCTGTATACCCCTATATAACCTGTTTACCCATGTTTACCCTAGTAATGCTGTATACCCTGTATACCCCTATATATCCTGTTTACCCTTGATTACCCTAGTAATACTGTATACCCTGTATACCCCTATATATCTTGTGTACCCATGTTTACCCTGGTAGTACTGTATACCCTGTATACCCCTATATACCTTGTGCACCCATGTTTACCCTAGTAACACTGTATACCCTGTATACCCCTATATATCTTGTGTACCCATGTTTACCCTAGTAGTACTGTATACCCTGTATACCCCTATCTATCGTGTGTACCCAAGTATATCCTGTACCCATGAATACCCTAGTAATACTGTATACCTTGTATACCCCTATATATCCTGTGTACCCATGTTTACCCTAGTAATACTGTATACCCTGTATACCCCTATATATCTTGTGTACCCATGTTTACCCTAGTAGTACTGTATACCCTGTATACCCCTATATATCTTGTTTACCCATGTTTACCTTAGTAGTACTGTATACCCTGTATACCCCTATATACCTTGTGCACCCATGTTCACCCTAGTAATACTGTATACCCTGTATACCCCTATATATCCTGTGTACCCATGTTTACCCTAGTAATACTGTATACCCTGTATACCCCTATATAACCTGTTTACCCATGTTTACCCTAGTAATGCTGTATACCCTGTATACCCCTATATATCATGTTTACCCTTGATTACCCTAGTAATACTGTATACCCTGTATACCCCTATATATCTTGTGTACCCATGTTTACCCTAGTAGTACTGTATACCCTGTATACCCCTATATACCTTGTGCACCCATGTTTACCCTAGTAACACTGTATACCCTGTACACCCCTATATATCTTGTGTACCCATGTTTACCCTAGTAGTACTGTATACCCTACACACCCCTATATACCTTGTGTACCCATGTTTACCCTAGTAGTACTGTATACCCTGTATACCCCTATCTATCGTGTGTACCCATGTATATCCTGTACCCATGAATACCCTAGTAATACTGTATACCTTGTATACCCCTATATATGCTGTGTACCCATGTTTACCCTAGTAATACTGTATACCCTGTATACCCCTATATATCTTGTGTACCCATGTTTACCCTAGTAGTACTGTATACCCTTTATACCCCTATATACCTTGTGCACCCATGTTTACCCTAGTAATACTGTATACCCTGTATACCCCTATATATCCTGTGCACCCATGTTTACCCTAATAGTACTGTATACCCTGCATACCCCTATATATCGTGTGTACCCATCTTCTGAGGCACTGAAACGGTCGCGTTACTGGATTATATGGTCAAAAAGAAGAGTGATATCCAACTAAAAAAGTTCTTTGATGGTCAGATTCGCGAGAACCTCTGAAACAAAAAGCGAACACATTTTAAAAAACAAGTACCGGAACATGACAAAAATGTCAAGTAAGTGTTGTACATTCATTCTTGTTCTTATTTTTGTTTTATTTTATTTTTTTCATTCTTTTCTCTACGGATATATATATATATATATATATATATATATTTACATGAAAAATATTTACATATTTACATTCATAATAGGGCGACTAGGTCTCGTGTCCTGTAAGAGCGCGCGCGTGTTTATCTTCTTTTGTAGCACGTGCAAGTTTTCAAATTTGCTCGTTATCATTTACGGTAGTTATCTTTGGCTTCTAAAATTAAATCAACGGTAGCTAATTTTGTTCTAGGGGAAGGGATCGTAACCTAATCAGGAACAGGGAATATTTTGAATTGTGGTCGTAATAACTTTGTTATAAACAACTGCAATATCGTTTTAGCCCCACTGATACCATCATGTCGAACTGACTATCATCGTTTTGCATTTGTTACTTTCAGATTGGAAACTGGAATTTGTAACAGCTGTTGCTGTGATTATTCTCTGTGTTTATTGCATTACTGTTGCAGGGATTAGCTTGTGAGAGCGAGCCCAGAAGTATGTTGATGAATTAATAAAAAAATTTGATGAAAATTCACAACACTTTAGCCACTGTCCTATTGTCTTTCCCCCTCTACCATCTCCTGGATCACCAATAGAAGATTACTTCTTACCTAAAGTAATGCTCTGGAGTCCCAAAGAACAGTTTCAGATTGCTCTCAATTGTCCTTTGCATGGTAACGATCTACATCGAAACCAGTGGACAAGATGCGTTTCTGGAAAAGGTGGAGAAAAAGCTAGGCTAATCTATGATTTCATGGAAGATATCGTTCTTGTACAGGGAATCTACAGGTGTGGAAATGATAGACAAAGACACAAATTGCGGGCGACCACGCCCGATGTTCATAATCTGCTTCCAGGATACATTCAAGAATTTTTCCCCCTAGAGATTTTCCAGAGATTTGGTGTTTCCAAAGCTATGGTTCATTTCTTTGACATCCAAATTTTAGAGGGAGTTAGCTTTCTCAAAATAAGCGAAGGTTTGGCGTCTTTAAACTATCGCCAGTATCTTCAAAGAGAAGGATATATTTCAGTGCACGCAAAGGTAATATGTGCAGCGTACCAGACATCGCTGAGTTCCACAATAATCCTCTATATTCTTTTCCGAGCAATGACCAGATAATGAAGATTTTCCTCCACAATTTTGAAAAAAAACAGGGCGATTTACGATGAGGAGATGAACCGATTGACAGTTTCATCTTTGTCTTGTGATCACACCTTTAAAATAAGTCGCAATATTGGGTTCGTCAGGGAGAAAGATAACAAATTTGTAACCCAGTTCACCAATTATTTATTTGCCTAAATGAACGTGGGGAAGTTGTGGCATGGAAATTGACAAAGTCGACGTCCTTCAATGAAATTGATTGAAGACCTTCTTATCCAACTCAAGAGAAGGCTGTCTTTTTCTGGAAACTCTTTAAAGCTTGTTTGCGTGGATGATTGCTGTCATGTTAATTAGCAGCAAGTACAGCAATATCTTTCCAAACGTCTCTGTCAAACTTGATCTGTTTCACGCATGTCAAAGAATAACGAGAACATTTGCTCGACAAAATGCTCTTCATAAAGAAGTGTCAAAATCTTTTGTTCAAATATTTCGTGACGACGATGACCAAGGCGAGAAACGACTTAAAAGCACTGTGTACAAGGAAAAGATGGAAAAAAATCTTAACTCGTTTATAGAACGCTGGAGCAATGTTCTCTTTAGCCCTCTTACAGAAGCAACTTTTATAGAAATTGAAAATCTACGCAAGCATATACAGAAAGGCTGTTTATCAGAAATACCTCCAGGATGTGGTACAGAGAGAAACGAGGGATTGCACAGACTTTTAAACAGGTCGATGATTTCTGGAGCCACTACTCTTTCCGTCCAACTAGCAATAGCATTGCTGACTCTATTATTCTACCATCACAATCAAAAAATATCTGCAGAAAAACATTGTTGTAGTTCAAAAATCAAGCCTGTGGCACCAGTCGAAAGTACTGTCACCAGCTGTAATGCGTTAACTGGAAATGCTGAATTTGAAACAGAGTCAGTTGATGATAAAGTTCGCCAGCCTCAGTTTTCAACAGAGTTAGATATAGAGGATGGAAAAATTTTCCAGATTTCCGAAAACTCATCTGCTTCGAGTAATCCTTTTGTTATAATGGTTGAGACCATTGAAGATCTCTGTCGGGAATCGATTGCAGCGGCTCTAATAAGTGCAACGTATAACCTTTCCGAAATGATAAAAAAAGTAAAAGAGAAAAACAATGATCGTTCTTTTAATGCTCTTGACATTGTTCATCTCAGCAAAATGACAAAACTTCTTACTTCTGAAGACAACATTGACACCGACGACCCAACGATCAACAGCCATAGTGACAAGCTCAAACGGCATTTAGCCACATTCAACCTGCAGCTGGATATGAGTCCAATCTGATGGGGACTGTGCCTTCCGTAATAACAATAATGAGACAAGTAAGAAAACTTGTCCACAATGAGGCAGGTCAATTATCAGAGCACCTGAGGCGTCTAGGACTCTTAAATACTGAAGACCTGGATACGTACACTCTTCGACAACTATTTGTAGATGCAGTTTTAGCTGACGACTGCAGCATCTCAAACTTCGTCGAAGGTTCCCAGGCAGATGTTGAAAGGAAAGCCCGCGAGTTTAGCGTAAGAGGTTTTTTTGATCAAGAAATTGGCGACTTTGTAATAAGACTGTGTTCAAATATCTTGCAAGTTCCAATTATGGTGATAACGTCTTCTGAAACAATTCCTTTTTTGCCCTTCAACTGCGATAATCCTTTGAGTAACACCCCAATCTATATTGCTTACCATTATTTTGGGGCAGGCCATTACGATGCTACGGAGAGCATAACCAATGGTAAGTTGAAGTGAATGGTAAATTTAACAGGGATAAGTCTGTCAACTCAAGGAACTGCGTTATGGGCAGCCGTAAAATCAAAAGTTGTAAATACCAGTTTGTTATGGGTGACCAAACTTTTATCATCCATGTCATGATCATAATAATGACTTATTTTGACGTGTTATAAGTTTTATAATTACTCAAGTGGGGCTAACAATGGGTTTTATGTTAAATAGTTGGTCACGTGATCGACTTTCTTCAGAATATGTTCAAAAGGCGCGATTGCAACGCCTACCGAGAGTACAAGGATTTGTATGCTAGAAAAATTCAACCGTGACTGGGTGGCAAGAGTTTATTTTCCCAATCGCTATTTTCACATACACCATAATGGTTACAATGGTTTACAATGGTTATTCAAAAATTTGGGAGGTCAACAAGGTGCAATACGGCGTATTTAAAAAGGTTGAATACGAACATTCTAATTGTCGTCGGCCGTTTACAATCGCTACTTTTGAAATATACGACTGAAAATTTGCAGGTTATGTAATTTTAATACGCCTTTTTCAGTTCTTTCTAACACTAGTTTTTCCTAAACTCACTAAGTTTTGTTTTCAGTCAGTTGTTGGCATATACAAGGAAACCTGAGACAGACCTCGATCGGTTAGGCAACCTCGAGACCTATGAATACCACTATAGTCCATTAAAGCCTTGCTAGTAGTTACACGGCCGGTAAAACGAAAAGGAACAGCAACGATACTAAACAACCTAACAATAATGATAACAACAATAATGATAATAAAACCAAGTAATCAACGATTTTTTTTTCCAGATCCTATCGAGGCTGAACTTCAACATGCTCAGGAACAGGCAGTTTCCCCAATTTGCTATTGTGGACGGAAGGCAAAATCCAGAAGTGAGCGCTTTTGTGTTTCAACTGAAAAATCTCGTTGCCCGTGTGTTTCTAACAAAAAAAATTGCCAAGCTCAGTGCAAGTGCCGCAACTGCGACAATCGCAGTCAGAATCGCCAAAAACTGTCATGCCGGTGTGGAGAGAGCAGGGCTAAAGGACGGAAAACAGGTCAAACCTCTTGCATAGATGTAAGTGGTCAGAGGCGAACAAAATGTCCCTGCTACTCCAATGGTAAACCTTGCTCTATCCTCTGCTCATGTTTCAACTGTGAAAATAGATATGGAATAAGGGTTACTCACAGCACAGACGATTGTAAGGCAGAGAAAAAGAGTAGAATAACTTCTAAACCACCATCATTGAAGAGGCGGCGAACAGCAGCTATCCTGGAGGAGGAGGGATCTGATTTGCAGCCCGGACCATGGACCCTCGAAGAGAGCTGTCTGTTAGACTCCGTTGAGTCATTCATTTTGAACACGTGTGTTATCCCACGTTACAGAAATATATCCATATTGTATAATTTTGTGAGCAAGGGTCTGCGTGGAAATAATATACAGTTTACAGTATAACCTCTAAAACAGAGAGGCAAATTCAAGGAAAATTGGAATTTGTAAGAAAAAAACATTTAGCTCTAAAGAATCTTTATTATGGTATTTCAGTTCTTGATAACCAAGGGAACTCGGACTGACTGTTCTATTACCGTATCAAATGGTACCATCCACAAGAGAAATATAGTAAACATTGAGCAATCTTGACTTCGGCCGTTATGTTTAGAAAAAAAAAATAGCTTTTGAAACAATTTACAGTGTATTAAGAATCCAAATAATAATTTTAAAGGCTTATTGTGTGAAAGTCATATTATTCTTGTAAGGCAACAAAATCACGCGAGGGCAATGGGCAACACACCCCTTCATTGTCTGTATAGTAGTCAGTTGCCTAGTAAAATAAAATCGCCTTTCAGATCACTCAGTCTTTCAGTCAGATCGGGGCTAGCCAACAGTTTGATCTGCTAACCAATAAACTTTGTTGATCATACATTGTGGTCTATGTTTCCATGTGATTGAATATAAAGTGGAAACTGTTAGTATAGATTATCAAAAAAAAATTCCGTTATAAAATGGAGCAGAGCTGGAAGATTCGTTCTATACTCTCTATCGACAAGCAAAAGTCGTGATAGCTAATTTTGTTCAATCAGGACTTGTGATTTTGGAAACAACAACTTCATCATCATCATCTTCTTCTTTGTCATCCTCTCCTTTCTCTTCTTTATTTATGTTTGTTTTGTTGTACCCCCTGAAAACAGCAACCGTGTTTAACATTTACTCTTACAAATAGCGTATTTCAATTTCAATTATTTTTTTTGTTTAATTATACCAACTGTACGCTGAAATATGCTCGTTTCAATGATTCAGTTAGGTCAGACGCCGCTCTACGGATAATCGCCCAAGAAATACATACATCTTTATTTCGCACTTACCCACTAATGCCTACAACGGACACTGGTTTCTTGCCCTATCGACATATTGTCATAGAGTCAACCGTTCTAGGGTGTGCATGAGTAAACAGGATAAACATGGTATACAGAATACTAGAGTTTACATGGGTAAACGGAATATTGCAGAGTATAACTAAACAGGAGATTTAACAATTATTCCACGAGTGCGCGTATGCAATGAGATGATTGTAGGCAACCAGGCGCGTAGCGACGAGTTTGCTTTAATAATGTCATATCCAACAAGCGCAAGTAGAGTAATTGTTTTACTAAAAACGCCCTCAAAATATCGAGAATTCGTTTTATTTGTAAGAACAACAGTTAAGATCTCAGGAATATCTTGCCATGCCGGCACAGCATATGCAAGTATAAATGATCTCACAGAGTACTTATAATATTGCTAATATTTCTGCCAGCTACAACAGCTCTTTTAAGCAAAATTAAGGAATACAATCATTTGGCGGCTTTACCATAAATATAATCAATGTGGTAGTTCCATGTAAGATCAAGCCTAATTTTTACACCAAGTTTTTTACTTGTCGAAACACGCCGCTCTAACTGATGGTTTCCAAAGCAAATAGGTTGTATGGTATTATATACCTGCCAACTTTTTCTGAGATATAAGCGTGAGATTTTTATCCTGGGAGTGCTGGGATTTTTGAAGACGACACGATCATTTCCGAAGATTCCCGAAGAAGTCCGAAGTCTTACGAAGACGTCCGAAGTCTGCCGAAGTCTGCCAAAGGCGAGCTCGCTCCAAGTGCTTTTCACTTCAAAAATCAGAGATCGCGAGGAAGGTATTGCCATTTATTCATTTTACACATGGTTTTCGTTCCTTACATGGGTCTGACTTAACATATTTTTGGAAATTGTGTCAAGCAGGACGGCAACAACTCACATTTTTCAATCAGGCGTGAGAAACTGGCCCGCAGGCGTGAGCCGGCGTGAGATCGAGGTTTTCAACCCGCAGGCGTGAGAGTTGGCAGGTATAGTATTATTGGGATATTTCATGAAATTTATAACCATTTGTTTATGATTTAACTTCATCTTATGCTCAATAAAAAAAATGCGCCTGTCTCTAACAAGCAAAATTCAAATCGCTAATGAAAACTGTAGGACGTATCTAGTATTGAGTCCATTTATCTAAATTGAGAAAAGGGGCACGCCCATCTTGGTTCCTGGTATGTCACCATGGGCGTGTTTCCACTCAGACAAGATATTACCTATACACAAACCTTGGGTTCTATTGGTCACAAAAGACTGACTTAATCCAATCAGATCGCACAGGTTCCAAACCAAGAAGTAGAGTTCGTCGATAAGTATGTGCTATGTGGTGGTCTTGAGAAGAATTCTCCGCTAATATACAGAATGACTTTGGTAAACATGAGTAAGCACAATAAGCAAGGGTATACAGGGTATACAGAGACACTAGAGTTAACATGGGTACACAGGATATATAGGGGTATACAGAGTATACAGTATTACTAGGGTAAACGTGTACACAAGATATATAGGGGTATACAGGGTATACAGTATTACTAGGGTAAACATGGGTAAACAAGATATATACGGGTATACAGGGTATACAGTATGCCTAGAGTAAACATGGGTACATAGGATATATAGGGGTATACAAGGTATACAGTATGACTAGGGTAAACATGGGTAAACAGGATATACAAGGGTATACAAGGTATACAGTATTACTAGGGTAAACATGGATAAACAGGTTATATAGGGGTATACAGGGTATACAGTATTACTAGGGTAATCAAGGGTAAACAGGATATATAGGGGTATACAGGGTTTACAGTTTTACTAGGGTAAACATGGGTAAACAGGTTATATAGGGGTATACAGGGTATACAGTATTACTAGGGTAATCAAGGGTAAACAGGATATATAGGGGTATACAGGGTATACAGTATTACTAGGGTAAACATGGGTAAACAGGTTATATAGGGGTATACAGGGTATACAGTATTACTAGGGTAATCATGGGTAAGCAGGATATATAGGGGTATACAGGGTATACAGTACTACTAGGGTAATCATGGGTAAAAAGCTAGGTTATATAGGGGTATACAGGGTATACAGTATTACTAGGGTAATCAAGGGTAAACAGGATATATAGGGGTATACAGGGTATACAGTTTTACTAGGGTAAACATGGGTAAACAGGCTATATAGGGGTATACAGGGTATACAGTATTACTAGGGTAATCTCGGGTAAACAGGATATATAGGAGTATACAGGGTATCCAGTATTACTAGGGTAAACATGGGTAAACAGGTTATATAGGGGTATACAGGGTATACAGTATTACTAGGGTAATCAAGGGTAAACAGGATATATAGGGGTATACAGGGTATACAGTATTACTAGGGTATTCAAGGGTAAACAGGATATATAGGGGTATACAGGGTATACAGTATTACAAGGGTAAACATGGGTAAACAGCTTATATAGGGGTATACAGGGTAAACAGTATTACTAGGGTAATCAAGGGTAAACAGGATATATCGGGGTATACAGGGTATATAGTATTACTAGGGTAAACATGGGTAAACAGGTTATATAGGGGTATACAGGGTATACAGTATTACTAGGGTAATCAAGGGTAAACAGGATATATAGGGGTATACAGGGTATACAGTATTACTAGGGTATTCAAGGGTAAACAGGATATATAGGGGTATACAGGGTATACAGTATTACTAGGGTAATCAAGGGTAAACAGGATATATAGGGGTATACAGGGTATACAGTTTTACTAGGGTAAACATGGGTAAACAGCTTATACAGGGGTATACAGGGTATACAGTATTACTAGGGTAATCAAGGGTAAACAGGATATACAGGGGTATACAGGGTATACGGTATTACTAGGGTATTCAAGGGTAAACAGGATATATAGGGGTATACAGGGTATACAGTATTGCAAGGGTAAACATGGGTAAACAGCTTATATAGGGGTATACAGGGTAAACAGTATTACTAGGGTAATCAAGGGTAAACAGGATATATAGGGGTATACAGGGTATACAGTATTACTAGTGTAATCAAGGGTAAACAGGATATATAGGGGTATACAGGGTATACAGTATTACTAGGGTAAACATGGGTAAACAGGTTATATAGGGGTATACAGGGTATACAGTATTACTAGGGTAATCATGGGTAAGCAGGATATATAGGGGTATACAGGGTATACAGTACTACTAGGGTAATCATGGGTAAACAGGTTATATAGGGGTATATAGGGTATACAGTATTACTAGGGTATTCAAGGGTAAACAGGATATATAGGGGTATACAGGGTATACAGTTTTACTAGGGTAAACATGGGTAAACAGCTTATATAGGGGTATACAGGGTATACAGTATTACTAGGGTAATCAAGGGTAAACAGGATATATAGGGGTATACAGGGTATACAGTATTACTAGGGTAAACATGGGTAAACAGGTTATATAGGGGTATACAGGGTATACAGTATTACTAGGGTAAACATGGGTACACAGGATATATAGGGGTATACAGGGTATACAGTATTACTAGGGTAAACATGGGTACACATAAGATATATAGTGGTATACAAGGTATAAAAGATAACATATCAGGGAGTCTATATGGAGACTGCCATGAATTACTTGCCAGAAAATTACACGGAAAACGTTTCGTCCCGTTCCCTTGTGGAACTCGTCCCAGTCCTTCCCTCTCCGCCTATTCTCCTCCCAGAAGCCTGGGAAATGTTCCTTCCAAAACAAAAATGGCGGCAGTTTAGAATTAGAGTGATGAAGCTTTACAGTGTTGTAACATTGCAATTTGATTTATTAGCTTAATTCAAAAGACGAGACTAAAAATATAATGCTATAGATTCTGTTGTGGGATACCTTAGAAAACGGATTGTGGCGGTTGAGCTCGCCTTGTTTGGTATGAATTCAGCGGTAGGACGACGGTAGCACAGGTATAAGTCATACTGAGTTTTATGGATTATTCTTCGCGTTGTTTTAAAATCACACCTATTAGAGAGAACATTGTAGCAAGTTTCGCTGTGTTGCATGTTTTGAAACGTTAAAATTAGAGACATTGGAAAAATATAGAGCTTAAATTAAATAGAGCTTAATATCTACAATTTGATATGATATCCCACTACATCATTATTTGACGTGCGAAAAGTACTAAATTAAAGGTCATATAAAGAAAGCAACATTTATGATTGTTATTATTCTTCCTTTTCGGCAGATAGTTACAGTGCCATATGGTTTCATGGCAACCAGCAAGATGACATTGAAAGCCAGGGGACTTCTTCAAATGCTAATTTTGCTCCACACTTTCTCCACCAATGGCGTTTCCTCACACACCTGCCATATGAAAAAATATTCGTTAAAAATGAATGACTTTTTCTCCTTATTTGTCTCTGGGAAGCATTTATGGCAGCCAGCGAAGCTCAAACACTATGTTAATAAGACGCACTCTCCTCGCAAAGCAGACCTGAAATTTAAATTTGGATAAATAATCTACGCGAGGTTCTTTTGAACATGGCGATCAAATTAATACGGCTTTTCGCTCTTTTCAGCGTCTTTTGTGTGTTGCCTACAACAGCTGGAACACTTTCGCTGGACGAGTAAGTTGGGACTTTAAGGCGTGTGAAATTTCAGTCCATGTCAAGATGTGAGGGGATTTTCTTTTATTTCCTCACAGTGTAAAGACATGGGCGAGCAATGCAGGAAGAGATATAAAGACATTTTTCGACGACGCGGCCAAATTTGAGAAACTTCAAGAGGTAGCTTTGGACTGTTTGCTTTCCGTAACGTTGCTCACGCTTTTATATAACTTCTGTATACTGTTAATAGCGGAAACAATGCTTTTAGCTTTTACCAGTTGCCTGACGCGTTAATTTTGTCTCTTGACGATTTTTGGCTTTCAGGAGTACAATTCTTTTGGATTGTCGGTCAAGGAGAAAAATGGAAGTGCCATTGTGGATGATATGAAACGAAACCTTCAGCGTGTTTTAGCGCAAAAAATAAAGTCCATCAAGGTTTGTTTCCGCTGTCTGTTGGCGGCATAAATGATTGTGAGTAAATACTCGCGGTGTAAAAAGCATTATTTTAAAACTCTCAACTCTCGTAATTTTTTGCAGTAGGGCCTCAGGAAGCTGTTTAAATTTGTACAATTGCTCCCGATTCGGGTGGACATTCGTCTCGCTTTTCATGGTATTAAATTATAAAAGGTGCAGTCAGCCATAAAATTAAACTTGAGCGGTTTGATTCCCGCTCATAAAAATAAAAATTGAAACTTTCATGATACTTTGAATTTCAAGTGGATCCTGTGCCTTACTGAAGCGAAGTCAATGGTGTTTTGTCTCCAAAAAAATTCTGCGACATTAGCAGACTGATATAATATTTTTCCTCGAGAAGTTAGCGTTTTATCCATGAGGCAGGTTTAATTTTTTATGAGATGTGGTGAGCATTTTTAATGCGCGCGACTGACTTTTCAGCCTGAAATTAAAATTATGCCAGAGAGTGTTTTTATTTTTGCGATTGCAATTTTTTTTACCTGCTTTTTGAATTTAAGGTTACGTAAACTGCATTTTTGTGGTATTTTATTTTTCCAAGAAATCTGCTACTGTCGTGTTATGTGGTACATCTGTAAATTTAAATCTTCAAGGCTTTGCAAATTAATGTAAACATACAAATGAGATGAAAATTGCTGTATTATTGAAGATGAGTTTTTGTGAAATTTTACAAAGGGCATATTCTAATTTCTGTTTTAATACAGTTTTATTGAGTGTTATTTAGAAGGATATTTTTTTAAAATTAAACTTTTCTTCAGGCTTTCAAACAACTTTAAGCAAAACATATTATTAAACATATTTACCATTAATTTTGACCTGGGGCACCTATTTTAATTTTCTGAGTCAAGAAGGGTATGCTAAGTTGAAGAAAGCTTTTTTCTTGTTTTTCTGAAGTAGAGCTTAAGAGGCGGGGGAGGGGTAGGTATGAGCCACCCTAAAAGGTATGGTTTTTGAGATGTTTTGGTCTGAAAACAGGCATAGATTTTGTGTATGGTTTTCAAGGGAACTGTGAGCAGGTATAAACATATTTTGTCTTTTTAGCTTTAAATGTATAAGAATGTCCATTATCAAATACTACTGAATAATTAGCAATATTTAGTTGTTATTGGATGGGCTGTGTAATATGATGTGAAGAATTATACAAATCGAGGATGGTGTTCCGCCCTGCCGAATAACACTCTCTGAGATCTGCAATTCTTTGAATCACATTCTTTGGAGCCAAATCCAATAGTAAAAACAAAATTAAAACAATATTGTCATTGTTTTATTATTAATTCAAAATAATTTTACTTTAAAAACGTGCTTTCCTTGATTGATGTTAAGTACTTGTCTTCATTTACAAGCCTGTTCCATGGTTAATTCGAGATATAAAGGGGTCTTTGTTGAGGCGTGTATGGTTGAGCGGTTAACACCAAGAACTCTGGATCTGGATGTCCTCGGTTCAAGCCTTGCCCATTGTGTTGTTTTCTTAGACAAGAAACTTAACTCCACTTTGTCCCTCTTCACCCAGGTGGTGGCTGTGCAGGTGTATAAATGGGTACCGGCAACATACATCTGGGGGGTAACTCTGGGATAGACTAGCATCCCATTCAGGGGGGAGTATCAATACTCCTAGACATGCTTCATGCTAAGGAAACCGGGATAAGCTCCTGAGCCATGTGGGCCATTTGCTCATGTGTGCCTTTATCTTTTTACCTTTTGAGTCTAACAGACATTCTTCAATATAGCAGTTGTTTTCTGCGGAGTTGTATCTTAGTCCAGCTTATATTTCTTCTTCCTAAAACCTGTGAAATGTTCCACTGTTTTCTCCAGCTCTACAATAAACAGCTGAGCTAATGTAACTTCATCACTTGTGTTGTTTGGTTGCTGTCCCTTTTTCTGTGTATTCCTCATGAAGTGAGGCCGAAGTGCTTGCGAAGCCGAGATTTATTATGTTGTTCTGTCCTTGGATTCCAGAGCAAGGCAGAAACACTAGTTGCCTTTATATAATAATATTTTATTGTATAATTCTTGGTTGGTGTCTGCATGCGGCAATGACATCATTTGGTGATCAAGAAATGCTTTTGGCAATTTCTTTACACTCTATGGTGGCCAACCTAGTCAATTGTCATTGATTTGAGAATCTCTTTATGTCAGGTAATAATTAATAAAAACGTGTAGCTATATAACTTTGTTATTTCTCGTTTCAGAATCTTGCAAAGAAGACTCAAGCATTAAGGCATAATTACACTTATGAGAATCCCATTAAAGTATGTAAAATTAAAGTTATGGCATATGTCATTTTCTAGTTTACTAAACTGCATTGCAGACCCAGTTTCTTTAAGCAATAGGAAACATTTTCTGCGTTTGCATAGCCTGATATAAACACGAGAGGGGTTGGGACAATGCGAGACAGCTATGCAAACCTGAGACGAAGTCTCGAGTTTGCATAACTGTTGAGAATTCTCCCAATGCCTTGAGTGTTTATATCAGGCTATGCAAACACAGGAAAAAAGTTTTCTATTGCTTTTATAAATTAACTTTCCTGAGAAAAAAAACGCAGAACTCTTTGTATGGTACTGATTAAAAGAGAAATTCTTAACAGTCGCAAAATGTTGTCCACAAACTCTTGCACATGTAATCAGTTCTTGTTTTGCAAAAAGATGCTTTGCAAAATACAGATTTTTCTCGCTTAAAATGTCAGCTTAAGCGAACAAAAACTGACACACCTTCTTTGTAACGATTTTCCAAGTTTCAGCTGACGAAGGAATGGGTAACTAAAGTAAACTTGTTGAGTTTTGAACTCGAAAACTTTTTCAAATTCGTGCTCGCGTGATTAGCGCCCGAAAAGCCAAACAACTTGATGCCACAACCACGTTTACATACTCTCATGCAAACACTCCTCTCGGCCAATCAGAGCGCGCGTACTATTTAATTATTTTATAAAGCCATATAGAGCACCAAACTCTAGCTGCTACATAAATGGTGCATATTGAGAACAATGACTTTAGTAAAGATAAGTTTTACATGCCCTAACTTTACATTGGTGCAGAGACCAATGCATTTCAAGACTAGGTTTTAGCCTCATAAATGAATGCAGAGCTAGATCTCAGGTTAACTTAGTAATTATATATATTAACCTTGTTGTTACTTAAATTTGCAGGTCAAAAAATTTGCATTTTATGGGATTGTAAAAAAAAATCACAAAATTCAAGACCACGAATAAAAATCCTCATGAAATTTAATGTCCATATAGAAAATTCATATTTATCACAGATTGAAAAAAAAAAGATTAGCATGTCATAACAACAACTTACATGACCATCGACAAATACCGTAAGTGATTTTACTGGTAAACTCCATTTTGTATCTTCTGTTGAGAAATAACAATAAAAAAGCTGATTTCACATAATTATGCAGTAGAGAATGTATCTATCATCTTCATCTGAATTGCTAGATTCATACAAATTTTTTTTCAAACAATTCAGACTTTTGGAAACACACGATGGAATTTAGAACGCTTGAATCGTGAAATTTTAAAGCCCTCTTTTCATATTCTTTTTTTTAAAACCCAAAAAATAATCACAAAATCCGGTATACTGGAAATTAAGTACTAGTAAATATAGATCATGATTATTAGAGTTAATTTAAAGTGTTGTAATATTAATAACTATCCCAGTATTCTGCTTGTTTAGGATCCACAATACTACAATACCAAGAGTGAAGACCTGTCAAGCCAACTACCACTTACTATTGACAAGAAGTTTTCTACAGAAATTGAAATCAACAAAAATAGCAGCGTTGTTCACATTCCTACTGATGTCTTCAAAGGAGGTGGGCTCGTGTGTTATGTAAATGTTCTGGTTCAATTCATCACCATACACAGTGCTCGAACTTAACGGTCGTCCACTCGTCAAAAACGAGTAAAAAATTCCGAAAACGAGTAGTTTTCTTTCCCACTTGTCCCCTGGGCGAGTAGGGTTACCACTCTCTGAGGTTATTATTGTACCAAAAAGTGCTAAAAGCCTTGAAACAAACGTTTCAAAAACGAACAGGCAAAAAGCGCTAGTCATTAAAGTCTACTATGGTTGCGTTTATTTGATTGCAATAATTTTTTCATGTATTAACTTTCAGACACAAATTCACGGCATACATTAAAAAAAAATTGAAAATGATAAGAGTGATTAGTAGTTTTGCTGATGGACCAGTAAATTTTCATTCTACTGGTCCTGCGGAAGACCAGATCCAAAAGTTAATTTCGAGCACTGATACATTACTTAACAAGGCTGCAAATAATTGTTCCTTGAAAAAAGTACAATAATTAAAAATTTGGCCAGGTCGCCATCTTGGTCCTCTACTGCTTTGGTTTTCCATAATTATTTCTTAATTGCAAATCTTCTAAGGCTGCTACCCAAGAAAAATTTCTGGGCTGTTTGTGGCTCTTAAAATAAGAAGTTTAAGAAACCGGCAGTCAAATCCTATAGGCACAGGCCTGTAGACTTTGGTTTGTGGTCTTCCTGGTCATAATGTCTGATTGCAGGCTGAATTTTGTTTGTTTTTTTTTTTTTTCAGAAAGGTGTGATCACTGGCACTTTATTTAGAGCTCTGTTACTGAATTTAGGAAATGTTTTTTAGTTCCGACCTTTTTTTGGCAAACAAAATTATTATTAATGTAAAGTCCTTACTTTCTATTAACAGGAGTGAAGATTCGGAATACCATTAAATGGACAAGTGGACTAGATCCATATTTCAAGGAAAATGATAGAGAGGATCCTACATTGCTGTGGCAATATTTTGGAAGCTCTGATGGAGTGTACAGGATATACCCAGGTATAAAAGCAATAAATTTGTACTAGAACAAAGTCATATTGTTATTTTTTTCGCAGGTAGTCAATTGTAATAAACGTCCTATTCAATGCCAGAGTAAAGTGGTAAAGGTTGTTGTGTTTATGTCTTGTTTTTCCTTTATTTAAGGTTTTAAGTGGCGATATCCAAGTGAGACAGATGTGTTTGATAATCGGCGACGTGGGTGGTAAGAAAGCTTAATTTCTTTCTTTTAAGTATTAACATACCATAACGTGAACAGCTATAAGTTTTTTTGGTTCTTTTTTCCTTAATAGTTTCCTAAATAATGAAAGTATAGGCGGTGATCGTGCTCATGCCCCTGGCTGGTTGCATGTTCGGAGCAAACCCTGTGCGTAATTGGCCCCTTATTTTAGTTACAGCGCAGCCCTGCATAATAAACCTTCATTCATCATTGCTTCTACATCCACTGAAATTTATTTTGACAATTTCATTTCAATGTTTTGTTCCAGTGGTTGAGCATGAAGTGTTCATCACTGGTTCTAATTCTTACAAGTCATGTAAAATTTCAGGTATATTCAAGGCTCAAGCTCACCCAAAGATGTAGTTCTCCTGCTGGACTTGTGAGTAATTTAAACCTGCTCAAATTTATGTCCTGAAATAAGCAGCCACACTATTTATTAAGGGTCCTCCCTTGAATATGCACCCATTCCCCTCTTCAGGGGAGCAAGGGTGGCGCAGTGGTGAGATCGCTTGCCTCCCACCAATGTGGCCCGGGTTCAACTCCTGGCGCGGTCGATGCCATATGTAGGTTGAGTTTGTTGTTGGTTCTCTCCCTTGCTCCGAGAGGTTTTTCTCCGGGTACTCTGGTTTTCCCCTCTTCTCAAAAACTAACACTTCCAAATTCCAATTCGATCTGCAACGCACGGACACATTTAAACGAGTTCATATGAACTCCTATGTGCTTCATGGGTAAACAAGCAATTTACAATTTTTTTTAAATTTTATTTTTTCTAAACTAGGGAATGAGAAGATTTCTTGAACAAGACCCCCATAATGGGGGTTCATTGCTCTATGCCGACTGTGTGTTTTTAAGCTGGGGCTGTATATTAAGTAACTCCCGTTATGAATAAAAATAGGCAAGTTATAACCTTTTGAAACAAGAAACAGTTGGCATTATCTTTAACTGGCATGACAGGATAACGTGCGTGACTAATTTGATCTAACTGGAAATTCCAAAAAGTATTTTAATTCTACACTTATAAAACATGTGTGACATGAGGGTCAACTTTTGGTTTTTTTCCAGTAATTTTCTGTTTCTTTAAACTCGCAAAGAAAAGTTGAGTTTCAGTTTTATTTCTGTTGGATATTGCATTAGTAAAGTCCTTCTAAGTATCCAAGTCATTTATTTGATTTGCAAGGCATATTCCTTTCTTGTAAGAAAAGGAATTATATATTCGATAGGACAATTTTCAAAAAGCGTATTCCTGCCCTTGTAAGAAAAGGAATATATCAACACTTTACATTATAATCTTTTACACTTGACATAAATGCAGGGAAGCAGAAAAGTAAATTAAGCCATTAATCGTTTATTTTGATAATTAATGTTTGTGCAGCAAGTGACCTCGCCCTCTTGTAGCCCCCCCGCCCCCTTAGCATGAAAAGAAAGCAGTGTCCCTGGGAATAACCCTGACCTTAATGAATTCTGCTAGCGGCCTAATGAATTTTGTTCTCTTAACTTGCTGAACGGGAAAGTGAAGTTTTTTGTGGAATTCAAATTGGGGAAGAACTGAAATCAATTTTGCTCATCCAAAAACGTTTGGGGCCTAGTTAAAATTACTTTTGGGCTAGCACATGCTACAGCTTGCCTGAATGGCAAGCTGCAATAAAAGTGACTAGTTGGTACATGCATCTCCTGTTCCCCTTTTCAGAAAAAAGAAAGTTATTAAGCCCTTCTTTTAAACCCCCCTCCCTGCCAATTCTGTTTTCTGATCACAATGACTGTAAACACTTTGTGCACATATTATCATGAGATGAACAAAGTAACTGTCTTATTTATCGGTTGTTCTATAAATCATTATGTATATGACGTAAGACGGAGCATTTTCCCATTTCCAAAATAGCAGTGAAAGTCAGACCATAAATATATCTCCATCAGCAGTTTGGTACTGGTATTTTACTTGTTAAGATTAAAACTAATAGTCTACTTCTCTCTTGATCTTGATAAAACATAACCGTCAATAACAACATCAAAAACAAAATCCCTGGACTTAATAGAGGATTCACCATAGTAGTTATTAATCGTGTGTTTATATGTCATGTATTTTAATGGTATAATTTTTGATGCAGTAATTAACCTTTCAGCTTGTGTAGACATTTCATTCTGTTTCTGTTGATTTGTTGAACATTATAGGAGTGGTAGTATGGCTGGTCAAAAATTGTCAATTCTTAAACTTGCTGCAATGTCTTTACTTGAAACACTCCAAGAAAATGACTTTGTTAATATTGTTGTAATGGTGAGTAAACTTAAATGAAATCAAACATATATGATACAAATAAAAATATTGACATGCATGTAACTATAAGCTCAGGTAATTTCTACTGTAAACTTTGATCTACATAATTCTGTCAGAAAAAAGTACTGGTAGGTGTAAATTCTCTCAACAAATTATCATTCCCATCTTGAATAACTGATTATAGTAGTTTCGCTAAAATTTGTTGTAATATTACAAAACTGACCTGATCGAAGACTTTCTGATGTAACAGTTTTAGCAACAAGAGTTTTACTACAAGTAATAATATTGTAAACTGCTGATTTTTTCCGCACATGTTCAGCCTTTCCCTTCATGATTGGCATGAATGAATATATAAGCAAATAAAATATAATAATAAAAGTATAAAGACATGTCAATGGTTTTTTAATACACCCAAAGAAATAAAGAAAGTTAAACATGGATTTTTCTAAAATAAGTAAAAGTAACATGAGTAAACATTCTTAAGATTTCCTAGTCTCTTTCACAGCTGTTTTTGTCTTGTCATGCAATGCTCCTCCCCAACAAATGGCTGTTTGTTAGGAAGACATGTTGCGTGATGAGACTAAATGTGGGGGTCCCAGATAATGGCAAAAACTGGAAGGCTTCTTCTCACTGCACTTGTGTGATCTGGCTTTTGTGTGATGTAAAAAAAGATCCACTGGGGACATAAAGTAACAATAACTGGCAGGCTAAATACCCCCTTTGGCATCTTTCTGTCATAAAGTATGTGAATGGGGATAGAAAGGGGAGGGTGCCCTCCCCTCAGATTTTTTATGAGGGGAGGGGGTGGCTGTACGCAGGCTAATGATAAAGGTACTCACTAGAGTATTTTTTCTTTGAATTCAAGTATGCAAATGTAGGTGATAAAGGTAACAAAGTAAAACCCTACATGGTATGCCAAATCAACAAGAATGGTAGTATTCAAGTCAACAGGGTGAGTAGTCAAGTCCCCTATTTATTGCTAAGATCGTCAAGATCTAGCTTGAGATCAAGCACTTTAACTGAAACAGGCCAGGGCTGTCATTTAGAGGCGGGGGCTGGGGATTTTTTCCTGGCTACTATGAACGTGCTCCCCCGCTACTTTCAAAGAACAATATAAGACAAATAGAACCAAAAGAAACCGTGACCTAGCTGTTTGATTCCCCACCTGCTTTTTGTATTTACCCGACAACTTAAAGACTTTGTGACAACCCTGAATGGGCCATGAATGGACCCAACCATCCTGGTTTCAAATGTACCATGGTGACGAGCATTGGAGTGTATATATGCCAGGGGAGGGAGGCAAGAAGAATATTTTCCTCACCTCTCAAACTTTCCCCCATCCCCTAAGTTGAATTGATACTCATACAACACCAGGCTAGACTCGGTTCATTCGAAACCATTAGGTAGCGACTCATTAGGCTATGTGCTCCATCCTGACAATCTTATGGAAAGGACTTTTAAAGCAGGAGACTGCATGTGAACAGTCAATCAAGTCTATAACCTGTCACAATTTGACGCAGTTGTTTTGTGCTTGCTGATCAGGAACAAATTTAAAAATGAAGCTGGAAACAGTTGACAGGATACTAATGAGTAGGGAGACTACAGTAGTGGATCCAGGGGGAGGGACTAGGGGGTCCGGACCCCCCCCGCCCCTATCAGACCTGACGTTTGTTCAAAAATTTTTATTGTTTTTTGGTGCCCTCCTATAATCTGTTCGCCTCTGCTCGCAAAGAAGTATTTCCCACGCCAATGGCGACCGGTGTTCGCAGACAGTCCTCTCTGAACCAAGACCCACCAATCAAAAATTCCTGGATCCGCCCCTGGACTAGTAGCCTTTGATGCAGCCAGTTGCCTCACTCAAACCTGTGACAAGCTTAATAAGAGCTTTTAAAATAGGTGGTTAAAATGACCCCGATTCTCTGTTACCATTAGTACCTTGCTTGACTTCCCTAACCTTTTTTGAACTCACATTTTTGCAATTCTAGTTTCCTTAATGAGCAGTTACTGCCTTGTAAGCTAGTCCAGTAAGTTTGTAATTCGAACGCCTGACAAAAAGGGTGATGAAAAGGTTGTGGTTGCATTTGATGCTTTATGGAAAGTCCAGTGTTATTATAAATATGTCGGGTAATTTCCCCATGGGCCTAGGAATGAAGTAGCAAGTTTTTACCTTCCTTGGTAGTTATTCATGCAAGAAACAAACACATTGAAACTTCTTTTGACATGTGGCTGTACACATCATTCTTTGCTTTTTAATTACGAAAATGTGCCAAATAAAGTTTCTTCACACCATACTGATAAAATGATTTTAATATTAAATATTTGTTAACACTTAAGAGTATTTAATGGATTATTTTGTTCACTGTTTTAGGATAAGTTAAAAGATTGTTCAGACCACCTTTTACAAGCTACTCAACAAAACAAAAAGGTGTGTCAGTTTTGTTGTTTAAGAAAAAAATAGAGCGATTTTGACTGAAGCTACAGTGTTATTGGCATTTTTAATATAATTTATTTTATAGCATTGGTTAATTGTTATCATTGCTCCATATAAAATGGATGTCGGCCCATTATTGAATTAATAATGATGAGTAATACTGCAGTCTTTAAAAAAGAAATCATTTCATCAAGAATTTAAAAAACTAACACTTTGAATGCTGAGAACTAAATGACAGTTTTTCTTTATCTGCATTCATGCTAGCAAAAATCCATGAAGCAAATTTAATCTTTTCGCATTTTCTACCAGTTTTTAAAGCATTTTGTTCCAAATGCCAAAGCTCGTGGGATTGCAGCAATCAGCAGTGGATTTGCAAACGCCACAAGTATACTGAAGGTACTCTAAAATTTATTGAATATGATTAATGTTTGTGAAAACAATATCACTGTCTGAACATTGTGAATGAACCGGGAGTGCTGTAATGTTAAATAAATCTTTTACTTTAGCTAGTCTATTTTTCATCTTACTCAGTTTAAAGGGGTTTAAAGGATATTACAGTAAATACTGTTTTAGCTCAATTCTGAGGTGAAGTCATCATACAGTAAAACGCCGTGATGAAGAACCTATCTAAGGATTTAAGAACCTGCTGGCAGAAATTTGTCATATTAATACTCCAAAATATAAGAACCAGTTTAGCCAAGAAAAATCAACAGGTTCTTATATTTGGGGTTAGACTACATTTTCATGAACATTTTGACCAAAAGTCTGGCTTTAATATGGGAAATTTATATTACATTACATAATAAATGTATAATGTTACCATTGTTGAAAACTGCATATCTTCTAGCTGTTAACCTAGTTTTGTTGGATTTTTGGTCAATAAATGCCTATTATGAAGGACAAATACCATTTATAGCAATTTCTTGAAATCAACAATAGTATCCTTCTTCATAAAAGTTAAGAACCTAATTAAGAGCCTATTTAGCCTAAACTTCCAATAAGTACTCCAAACTATAAGAATCTATTTTGCCAAACTTCAAAAAATCTAGCTTCTTCTTCGCGGCGTTTTACTGTACTTTGATTTAGCAACAGAACGGGAACGTCATTTGACGACGGGAAAGCGCACGAAAAGGACTAAACTCGACTTCCGGTTCCCAATTTCTCGCTCTGCCATTGGTCAAGCCAGTTGTTTGATTTGCGCGCGCTGTCGTCAAATGACGTTCCCGTTCTGTGCCTTTACCCATACTCAAACAATTTCAATTGGGAGTAGTAACCATAAGAATATTTTTGGAGATTTTTGAAAGACATAGCATTTAAACCTCCATTTTTTTCAAGTTTCAATCCACGTCCATCCTTGCCATCCTTTCCAACGGACGACAGGAAACAGTTTCAATACCCAAATATAGTGCTGTGTTGAAAAACAAAACTGGACCATTGTTTTTGGGATGGCATTTGATGGGGAAAAAGTTGTAGTTTTTTAAAAACATAGCAAATCACATGACATACGCCCTTTTACTTTCTGAATTGACCAGAGATTTTGTTGGTAACCGGTCAAGTCACCCGAAAGTCATCTCGCCCGAAATTTTTAGTCAAGTCGCCCGAAATTCTAATAAAGTGAGTATGTAATATACCTCGTTCTTTTAGCCTTGATGAAACGAAACCCGCACGTCAAATGAGTAATATATCTTGTTCTTAAAGATTTTATGACACGTAATAAGCGCGATGAAGGTGTTAGGATGTTGCTAAGCATGATAAAATTTTCGGGCGACTTGACTAAAAATTTTGGGCGACATAACTCTGGTTTCGGGCGACATATGTATCTTCGGGCGAGATGACTTTCGACCGTAAATCATTCTTTATAAGTAGGTGGAATATGATTGTCCAATGAGTGTAGTCCTGAAAAGGATTGCTGCTAATGAATATCAAGGACAAGGGAAGGAAAGGCTTTGACAACAATTAATACACCATTTTTTGAGATAATTCTTTCAGTATCATGTTATCTGGCCTCTGGTTACTCTTATAAGGTAACGTTTGGTTTTTAATCATTCTGTAGACATCCCGGGCAGAAAAGAAGTACACATCCTCGAATTGCACACAAGCAATCATTCTTTTCACAGATGGGATTGAGGATAACGAGGCCACAAAAACGAAAGATACATTAAAGGAACTAAATGGGGACAAAAAGGTATGTGCTTTATGTGCATTTATTGGTTTAATAGCGCTTTCTTTTAGCAATCATTTTTAAGGTTGTGCCGCTTGTGACGTCATCAGTCTGCAGTGCAGGCGTATTTTTGGGGCATGCAAAAGCTGCTTGGTCATATTCGTATTACCGTGGCGGTTATCTTTGAATTTATAGAGGTGGCAACCCTTAGGGGCAAGAGAAGGTGGTTGTGGGAGGGGAGGGAGAAGAAAATACACCTGTTCGAGTGCCAGAGTTCATTGTTTTGTTGGGAAACTTCATATGTCAGCAAATGGAGTCTCTGACTAGTGCAGTATAGCCGGCGCTGACAGATTGATGCCTTCCAGTCAGTTGTAAGTTAATAGACTTCTTCTGTGTGCCACGAAATGACAGACAGCGGCGTAGCTTTCCATTTTGCTTTAAACGAAGTGTAAAATATGGACTGAGGAAACAAGCAAAAATATATTCAGTTCTAAACTGGCATCTGGAAAATATCCTGAAAGTTCTCCTAAACAGGCTTTGGAAAGTACTTGATTTACCTACTTATTCGTGTAGGGGAACTATTCTGACATGAAAACCTAGAAGTATAGTCGTCGTTCCTGCGCTAAAAAGTGACCCGGTCAAAATAACATTTCAGATATTCGAGATCAGATGTGAAAACCCTTGTTTGTCAGGCCAAAATTAAGCCACGCCAGAAAAGTGCCGTCCCTGCATCCTTCCAAAGAACTTATTGATCCTTGCGGTTTTCGCGGAAACGTTTCTCAAGAAAGTCGAGGGGCAGTGTCACTTCCAAACCCAAAGACTTAATTGCCCTCTATGCGTGCTTGAGCATCGAAAACCAGCTTAGTAAACAACATCATAAAAGCGGTCCTGGAGCCCGTTTCTCGAACGCCCCGATAACTTTTCGGGCCCGAAAACCTGTTTTATGTTTGTCGTGTTTGCATTCAAGATCAAAGTTTCAATAATTTCATTGAAAATGATAAAATGAAACTATCAGTTATTTGGGATGATTTCAGTGTGAATAAGCGGTATGGTGTGTTTGGTTTGCAGTTGTAAAATTTTATTTGATTTTTTCTGCAGATTCGTGTGTTTACTTACCTAGTTGGAAGCGAAAAAAGTGCCAGCGACTCGTCTCTAAAACAAATCACATCAAAGTACAGAGGTATTGCACTACCATATTACACTTTATAACCAAGTCTAAATATTGATAACAATGGCTTCGTTCGAGATCAGATTATTTTTATATAAGTTTTTTATATGAGTTCGGTCAATTTAAACAGTACACTTTACCTTCAATGACCTTCAATGAATTTATTTTCCATTAGAGATGGCTATTGTTCTTTCGGTGTTACTAATAAACAGTATATTATTAAATGCTAGTTATTAAAATCAAGTGGCTGATTTCTGTTTAGGTTGCTTCTTCAGGATCAAAACTTTATCTGATGTCAGAGAAAAGGTTCTTGTAAGTATCCCACAGATAAACCGGTCACCCTTAGGCGGGGCACTGGGGTATGCCAGCGCTATAGTAAGTATAACTTGCTTTTCAATACACTCAACACTTGTCTTGCGAAGAGTAGCTGTGGATCTACGCCGGCACAAATTGCAGATGTTTGAGTGAAAGAAGCTTCCATTATTGAAGACTCTTGCTTTTAGGGACCTGTACTAACACATTTTTCGGTTCCATTAGCTCAATTGTTTTGGTTCAGCTGTTTATACATACAGTTGACTCCCGATAACTGTAATTTTACCCTCGGTAACTCGAACCCTCGCTAACTCGAACCTCGCGCTAACTCGAACCAAAATCGCTTTCCCCTGGATTTCCTTCATACTTTTTCTCTAATTTTACCCTCGCGGGTAACTTGAACCCTTGACAACTTGAACCTCCTCCTGACTCGAATTAGTTTTTGTTTCCGCTCAAATCATTTCTATATAATTTTACCCTCGATAACTCAAACCATGTTTTAAGCGCTTCAAAAGTCGGAAAAGAAAAAAACAGCGTACTGGCGTCCGAAACATTACATTTTGAATTTCCCATTGACGTGTTGTAGGCATCTAGTTTGTTAGTGGAGGTTGATGTTGATTGTTACAAATCTAACTTGAAACAGCTTTACTTCTCAAATCAGTATAACGCATGCAATTTACTAGGCTATGTTTTCGTTACGTTATGTTCTGATTTATAACGTAAAAGAATCGCTCCTTTTTCTCTCGACATTTCTACAATTAAATGTGATTAAAATGCTCACTGTACAGTAAGAACCAGGCACCCAAGTTAGTCGGGAGGCTAAAATGTTTTTGTTACAGGAACATTTACGTTCTGATTATAACGTAAGAAGAATAATAACCTTATTTTCTTATCCGACATTTCTGCAATTAAATGACTTGAAATTAAAACAACTCATTGTTATCTAATTTAGATTAAACCATCATTTAAAAAGGTGTGTTTTCAGTTTAGATTTAAAAATATTTAAACTGGGCGAAGACTTGACTTCTTCCGGCTTAGTGCCCCGTTCCCGAGGATGAGTAAAAATTGGTTTTTCCTTACTTCCGGCTATTTCCTTCGAGCTCCCGATAGCTCGAACCTTCAAGGGAAATCGAAAAAGTTGTTTTCGATTTTGGATAAAGGTCGATCTTGAATAGTTAGACAGCAGGATTTCTTTGAACTGGATTTTATATCATTGGATAACTTTCTAGTTATAGTTTAACCTTTTTTGTTGAACAGTTCAAATCCACTGCCACTAAAAAACTTTCTAGACGTTTTTTTTAAATTGATTTTTATCATTATCTCTTTTCGGAGTTAGTTAAACGCTGGTTTTTTTTCGGGTTAACGCAGGCGAATTTTTGAATTAACTACTTGAACTACTTTTTGTCTACAGGAGTAGGAATCTAATGTTATATTGGTAGGGGTTTCAGATCCCTACTCTGTAAGGGCGGTGTCTCGTCCGCTGTTTGACTCTAAATTTCTCTCCATTGTAAAGATTGAATTATGCCTTTTTCTCGTCACAATATGGCTCAATTTTTACATTACGGATGTGTTTAAAAATCCTGTTAGAATTTTTCTCAGAACTCTGATAATGTTGCAAGATTGGCCACTCTGATTAGAAAACTGCTGTTTGGGTCTTTGAGCCCTCAAGAACCTCACTTTGGGAAGTTATATAGATGAGTTTTTGAAAAAGGATCCTGTATCATAAGTCCCCGTTGCTCATCCATTTTGTCATTCTAAAACTATATCCAAAGTAGCCATTATTCCCGGCGCTTTTTTCGTCTATCCCTTCTCCTTTGGCCTCGTTGTGTTCAAATGGCGTAAGTTTCACAATGTACCTGTACGAAAATTTGTACAGATAGTATACTAACAGCTATATTTTTCTGCCGTGTTATAAGGAATATGTGAAGGTTCTGAGTCGCCCGTTGGGATTTAGCTTGGGGGACAACACTCCGGATTCGTCTTGGACTCCTATTTATCTTGACAAATTGGTGAGATACTTTTGTTTAAGTTGTTCAAAATTTTGTGGATAATCGGCGACAAGTTTAAACCTGGCACTTAAAAACTGGCAGTTGTACGAACGCCTTGATTAAATTACAGTATAATTACTTAAAGGCAGTTGATGATGTTAATTGTAACTATGTTAGGCTTTTTGCAATGGATTTTTCGAAAGCCTTTGATAATGTGAAACACTCGTTAGTTGGGGAAAAGCTAAAGGCTCTTCATCTAAATACATATGTTGTTAAGTGGTATCTAACCTTTCTAATGGATAAGGAAACAAAGGCCAATATTTTAAGGTGTTACCTATAAATGGCGTTCTGTGAACCAAGGAACAACCCAGGGTAGTGCACGTGGGCCCCATCATTTTAATTCAGTGTTTATTAACGATTTGGCCATTAGGGATAATGAACTTACCAGCATAGTTAAATATGTTGACGACACCACCCTGCTAGTCGAAGTATTTAATAACAAAATAGATCTTTGTCAAGAGGTTGTCAATCAGTTTTTCAGCTGGACTCAAGACAATGCCATGGCGTGTAATCCCAAAAAATGCAATGAACTGATACTTTGTAAGAAGGTTGCTTATGATATAGACCCTGTGAACAATATAACGCAAGTTTCTTGTTTAAAAGTGTTAGGAGTTACTTTACACAGTAATCACAGAGTTAATGAGCATATTAACGTTATGCTGCAGGAGGCCAATAAGTGTCTTAAGGTGATAAGATGTTTACGTAAAGAGGGATACCAACAACCAGACATAGATCACGTTTTTAGATCAATTGTTTTACCGAAACTAACGTAGGTCCTCCTATATACGCCTCCTCAATACCTGAATTAACAACGGTCCAGAATTTTCTACAGCGCTGCTTTAAACGCAAATATATTTCGTAACAAATTGACATATACGATGTATTAGAAGAGGTAGATCGCTCACTATTGAAGAAGATCTCCAGTATGCCCGGTCACCCTATGTACCCTTCCGTCCCCAAAACGAAAGAAAGTTCAGTGCGCCTCCGAGTTCCTAGCAGTCAATTCCCTAGGGTTAATACCCAGCGTTTTTAAAATAGTTTTTTTAATAGGCTATTTTTCAAATATATAGTAGCTATTTAATGTAACATGGATCTTTAATGTTAAATTCAGTGTTTTTACATGGATTTTTTTAAGCCTTGTAATTCTTTCTGCTGTTTCTAATGTAAGTGTTCTTGGTTTTTAGCATGTATTTGTGCTTAAAACACAATTAAGACAATTATTATTATGTTATTATTCCCCAGATGAACTGCACCTACAACAATTCTGTCATTACGGAAGTTTGTTAGGGGCACATTCTGCTGTAGTTACAAACTAAGATTATAATCCGTCTTAAACAGACGAAACTTTGTTGCACAATGTCTTTCTCTAGTAAGGTTGATAAATGACCGGCTGGTGTCAGCATTGTTGATACCGGACAAACACCATGGAAGATTAGCATTGTCAGACAAAGCATTTTAACTTTAGCTTAATTTCTTCAAAAAAAAAAACGAGTAAGGTATAACCGTGTAAATTGTTTCTTTTTTTAAACAGGGACTTGGTTTGATGATCACACTTGTAGCTCCAGTGTTTAACAAGACTGTAAGTACATGCACTGAATTCAACTTCCACTGTAGACCATTGATGCTAATTTTTGTCTGATGACAGTCGTAAACACTTTGGCATGGTCCTAGTCACGGGGGAGATGAACAGTAGGTTGGTTGAAAATTTAACCTAAAATCAATGATTCATTGATTTTTCTCACCGTCCGTTTCTGTTCACCAAAAGGCCGTCTTGCTTAAAAACATAACTATCCGAATTCTTACTCAACTGTTGTGTTGCTTAAACGAGCTATGTCATGACTGGTCTCTCGTTAAAACTTTAAAAACGCGTTGGAATCAGAGAATACCCTAAAACAATGGTTCAGTTTTATTTAAAGTAACTCTACTTATTGTTGGTTTTCACATGACGTCACTAAAATTCAAACTACAAGACTATCAATCCTACTGAGATTTTACTTTCATAATGTATTAGAGCAGCTGAAAACTAATTTTCATACAAATTTTCGCTTCAAAAGGTTTCTTGGTTTTGTGATAGAGTACGTTTGAATTTCTAAGCTTTTGTGTGACGTGGCATTTACATGACGGCCGGGAGAGTTGTCTTTCCAAAAAGTAACCTCTTTCGGGGAATTTTGCGATCTAAACAGTTCATGAATTAGAGAAAGTATTAATTTAATGTTTATGAGTTCCTCGTGGAATAAATTCAGGCTTCTGTACCAAAACTCGGTAATAGATGTTTTTGTTGGTTTCCGTCCGCCTTGTGGGTGCCCATCCAGGTGGGCACCAGCATGGCGTCTCCATACAAATCTCTTTAAATTTGGGTAAAACATTTCTTTGGATATCTCGTATGCGAAATATTCTTCCGCTGACCTGAATCTTGGCGAGAAACTTGGTATATTTACCTCCTTTCATTTCCCAGATTCCGGCCGGACTTTATCTATTGAATGGTTTTGATTTTTTTCATCTATTTTGAATGGCGTGACACTTAAAACTAGCAATATAAGCACGGTGTCGTAAGTACAATCAGAACGCTGTTTTTACTGGGAGATGCAACGTTCTGCGCTTCTAGTGAGAGTTCTGCTTCAAAAAATACATAACTATCGAGCAAATACAGAGTTTAATTTGTAAAGTATACATATCTTAATTCAGTGTCGCAGTTAATTTTACGAGTTTCAAGTAGTTGATTTTGTAAATGTTATTAATTTATGTTTAAGCTTTATTTCACTTATTTGTATATATATATCTATCCATTTATCTATTTGTTACTGACTGCTGTACCTATTATCTCCGCCCGCCTCGACTAGCACCTGCTATTTGAGGGCGGAAATGGACTTTATGTAAATGTGGCTTGTTAATTATAATAATAAAGTGTGTATAAAGTGTGTTGTGATTACGACCCTGATCCTGACGCCTGTTCAAACGACTGTGCATCGTGATTGTATCTCCTTCATATAATAACTGTTAGTGCAATAATCCTTACATAATCCAGTCATTATGACAAACTTGCATTATAAACCTAACTTTGTACTTGTAGAGGCTACTATTTACATGTAACTTTGCTTATGTCAGGAACAGAAGGAGCTTCTTGGTGTAGTTGGAACTGATGTGGCTTTGCCTCAGTTAGAAGACACTGTTCCAGGAAGTGAGGTATTTTGTAAAACGACTTTGTTTTCCCGTGCTTGCAGATGTCTGCGGTTTTGATACATACAGGTATCTGGTCTGTGAATAAAGGGTCGTTGAACTTGCTTCATCGTTGCAGGTTGGTGCAAATGGATATGGGTTTGCCATCAACAACAATGGCTTTGTTTTGTTCCACCCAGCCCTTAACAGAAAGGTAAAGATAAAAATATATATATATTTTAAAAACTCATGTTTTGCAGTTGTTGCAGGAAAGGTCAGGACGCACTAGTCTGCAAAATGTCCCAGTAGTGCACAGCTTTTGCACAGGCGACTGTATTCGTCGGCTGACATGTCGCATCGACTATAGACCTTTTTACCGATACGGCGGCCATATTGAATTTATAAGGTTTTAAGGAGTATTATGGGATGCCCAGGGGGTATGAGCACCATCCGATATACTCCCCTTCAGTATTTACGCGTGCTTTTCGGGCCAATTTTTCTTTAAGTTTTCCTAGAAAAAGATTGTAATGGGAAAAAAAGATCGTTGTGCCGTGTTTGGATGTAATAATAATCGCCTTTTTCCCGAGAAATATACAGTGAAGTTCTCTGTTTGCCCGAAAGGTGCGCGTAAATACTGAGTGAGTGCCCCCTGGGCATCTCGTAATGCTCCTTAAATCTATTAAATTCAATATGGCCGCCGTATTGGTAAAAAGGTCTATTCACTTTGTGCGACCAGTCCCCGCGTGTGATCTCTCTCCCCGTGAGCTGTCCTTTTGCAAGACTAGACCCTGCGTGTGACCTGTACCACATTGTACCCCAGCGACTCGTAGTCTAGTGGTGCCAATAAGGAAGAGCGGGGTCTTCTTTTCAGTTAGCTTTATTCTGCATCCCACAGTTACTGTGCCAAGGTGTATATAGAGGATATTACACGGTGGCGAGAAGATATGAATTTTATGTTCGAGTGGCAAGAACAATATCTCACTCGTTCGCTTCGCTCACTCGTGAGATATTGTTCTTGCCACTCGAACATAAAATTCATATCTTCGAGCCAACGTGTAATGTTCTTTTTATTATATGGAGAAACCATTTCAACAAGAGCAAAAGGCGGGAATCGAGACGTCATTGAACGATACGACACTCGCAAAGGTGACATACGGAAAATACGCCACTCGGGTCCCGGATGAAATGGCGTATGGAATCTACGAGTGGTTTAGTTCCCAGTAAAACACTCTCCTCCATATAATAAAATAAACTATGTAACCTTCTTGTAAGCAACAAAAATTTCCTTATTTGAGTTAAACGTCTGATCTACGAAATGAATTTTTTGTAACTCTATGAAGTAGTATCACTTATTGACTGGTTCCTCGGGCAGACACTGGACTTTTTTGACGTAAATTACGACGAGGAGTTTCTTATCTTCACTCATTGCCTTTCGGACCAATGAGCAACTGTTTAGTTGGTACAGCAAGAAGAAATTGTGTTATTTGTCCTGTCGTACTTTATTTGTTTCTGTGAGGTTTAACTTGTAAAAATGCACACTCTGTTTTATTTTTACCTTTTGCCCTCTGCATGCACATTTTCAAGTTTTAACTGGACTAGTGTAATTTATGCACCTCACTGCTAATCTTTTATTTATTTATTTATTTTTCTTTTTTGTTACGTTTTGTTTAAGTGGTTAAAGAAATATTGTGAGCCAGCTAATGGATCGAAGTTGGCTGATAAGTTTGTTGTAAGTTTGTCACTTGCTGCATGTTGACTCAACCTCAGCTTAGCTGATGGCATACTTTAAACGTTCGTTTAACTGTAACCAATTTCGTTGAAAGATTTTAATTTGGCAATTAAGGCGGTGTGTGCAAGAAGGCCTTGAATGGCTTAAGACAATTTTCAGAAAGCGACATGTACTGATTCGATTGGTTTGAATTCTATTTCGTACCCCAAAATTCATAATCTGGCTCGCAAATGCACAAAAAGACATCGTATCGATTCAAAAGGGTTTATTTATACTTACAAACAAATATAGCAGGAAACGAAGTGATAGTCAAGAATCCTAGGGTTCTTGATAAGAAACCAATCCAAGGATGCATGGAAAAACCTCTGCACTCAATGTTACGTTGTTTATAATTTTGCTTGGGGCCTCGATCCACGATTCGTGAGATTAAAAGCATACATATATGCAGTATGTCTCAATGAAATTAGCCTGTTCCAGGCTCCGAGATGGTGGTGGAAAGTCGTTCAGTAATGAAAAAAGCGAAAAACGCGCGGGGGCTGGGGAGAGACATTTTTCCCGCCGCCACCGCCCCCTTTCCCAAGTCGTGCGCGTCTTATTTTCGCTTTGCTCGTTTTAATACGTTCCCACTATACTATCTGAGAGCCTGGCACAGGCTACAATGAAATGGACCCTTACTCAACATGGACTGCATGGTTAAAATCAATTTTACTTGATAGTTTTGAGAAATAGTCGAAGAAGAACCTTTTTCTATTATTTTAATTTGGAAAATCTTTAACCCTCGCACATCATCATGATGATGTTTTTTTGAAGAGAGGGATCTTTCTTTAATCCCGAACTCAAAGATACCGAATGTTGAGGTAACCAATACTTCCTAGAGGAGTAGGGGAGTTAAAACATGCGGACCCGCGGCACTGAGTTACAATTAACTTGCAGGGATGCGATATATTAAGGCTTTGTATGTTAATTTTAAAGATCTTGGGGCTTTAATAGTCTAACGCACATGCGTAGAAGTAGCTTTCCTGCTGCCAGGTAGATCAGTTTGACAACATGTAACAATGTTTGAACATTATGTTGCACTCACTACTTTAGAAATCTGACACTCGGCGATCTCCTGCACTCACACTAACTTCCTTAAACCTTACAGACCTTCATTAGACCTTCGTTACCATCATTACAACTTCGTTACCTTCCTTAAAACGCCACATGCTTACCGACTCTATTCCTGTGGCTTTCAACAGGTCATATGCGGCAGGCATAAACATGTTAGTATTAAACTAACCTAATAATGGCATTTGATTATGATTAGTAGATACCTGCAATTATAACGTAAAGTAAACTCGCAATACTTTTCCTGAGAAGAGTCGTAAAAGGGTTGTAATAAGTGTTTTTTTATGTTAATGTCAAAGCATAAATCATTCTTCTTACCGCACAGCAAAGCCACGTTACACTGAAAAGTCTAAAATGGCTCGTGACGATTTTTCCGATGTTTTAAAGAGCCTTAATACTGTGATAAAGATATTGTGTTAGATCCTCCCGCCCTTGCTACTCTGAGGAAATAAAAAACGATTGTCTTAGCCTCAAAGCAGAATTGAAACAATATATGGTTTCGTGTTGTGCCTGCTTAGTGGTTCACAATACAGGTTAATGGAATACTCTTTAGGATTCGGTTCTTGCTATTAATACCATACTGGACAAGAATTTGAAAACGTTTATATTGTTCGACAACTCCATAAGCTATTACTTGCTCAAAGCCTTGTTAATTGACAATCAGGTTTCATGGTTTCATTTATATTTCCTCTCTGGATGCTATGAAATAATCCCATTTTTTGTCTCGCTTTTCCTGATTCATTCCGATACAAAATGCTGCGCATTCCTTTCCTTTGGTGCTGTATAAGGTGCTTTTTGGTTTAATCAGAATGAAATTTCTTGGTGTAACCATTCGAAGAGTAGTCTCCCTCGCAGCTGTTTTTTGGATGTCACGCAACGCTTCCCCAAAAGAGAGGGGAAGCGTTGTGTGACATCCGCAAAACGGCTGCGAGGGAGACTATTAGAAGAGCTACTGTGCAGTGAATGCTTTTGAGAATTACCAGGAGAGCATGCAGCATAGTGTTACTTACGAAAATGCTATACGATGACAGGATAAAATGGCTAAATAAATAGTGACGTTTATTTTGTACTTGTATTTATTACTTTAGAAAGATCCCCCAAATATTGCTTTGGATGAGGTGGAATTCAATGCCTCGAGTGCAAAACAGGTATGCTAAAATGTAAAATTTCCTTTTTAAATGGAAGTGTTAGTATGTGTAATCAAATGGCGACGAGTGAAATTAGGGAATAATTTCACGCACGTTTTGTCCAAATCCTAATAATTTCCCGAGCCTTCAGGCTCGGGAAATTATTATGATTTGGACAAAACGCAAGTGAAATTATTCCCTAATTTCAGGAGTGTACCATTTGATTCCCTTTTAATATCATGGGTGACGAATTACTTTAGCAATCTTGGATTTTGACGTGTTTATCCTGGATCGTATCGATCGAGAACTCCACTCTCTCAAATGTTTAGACCTTAAATTTGGCTTATAAAGTTCAGAATTTTTCAGACTTTTTTGGCAAAATACCTGTTAGAATCCTTCTTGATGTTCTCTTGTGTGTTCGGGTTTTCTAAAGCGTCTTTTTGTGCCCTGACATCTTCATTCACGGCATTTTAAAACTTCGTCGCCATCTTGACACTGAGACGTACGGAAGGGTTGCCATGGCAATTTTGTAATTTCACATGTGAAATTACAAATTAACGCTGAAATTTCGCGCCAGAGTTAACGAGTAATTCGTCACCTATGATATTATCGTTGTAAAAGGCAGTCTTCCAATGTTTCTGCCTAAATTAACGACTGACCTTTTTAGTACTAACGGGTTTACAACCCCACTGAGTTTCCAAATCCTGTACCAAAATAGGCCATTTCCGAGTTTCCCCGGGCCTCTGTTTCAAAACGAGGGTAGGTGGTCAGCTGTTGATATGGAAATCATTTTTCGTTCTCATGCAAATAAAACTCATTTTCACAAGAAAGATTGTGCACCTGGTCTCATTTTGAAAGTTAGGGTTTTTGGAACTCGGAAGTGGCCTATTGATTTTCCGTTTTCAAAAAAATTCTCGTTTACACGTCTCGTTTTCATTGTTTTCGCCTGTCCACATGTATTCGTTCTCGAACAGGAATGGATATTCGCCTCAAATTATTCTCAAAGATCTTTCTCTGTTCCTTGAACTCAATTGTTTGATCAGAAAGTTTGTTTTAACAAGCAATTCTTTCGCTTCCTGGTTTAATATCTCAGAACCTCCGAGGCCTGTTAAGTCGTTTTACGTTTGGATTTTCGGATTTGGTAAAAGTAGCCGTTCTTATTTTGTCTTAATATGAAAAAGGCCGGAACATTTTACCTGAATAATAAAAAAATTGAATCGAGATATGCTCTAAATATTAAAAAAAGGTAGGCTTCTTCACAGCCGTTCTTTGGGCCACAACGCTTATTCCCGCAAATGGGAGGAGCGTTGCGTGGAGGCTATAAAGAAGGTAACGCGGATGTCATCGTTTAATAATAATTACCTTTTGCCCGTCCACACGAGTACAGGAAAATGGCGTTTTCAAAAATTTCCATCTCTCTGAGAGCCTTTTCAAAAGTTTTGTTTTCGGTAATCGTTTTTTGTTGTTTATACCGCCGCCTGGTTAGCTCCGGACTGAAGGTTCAAATACGGCCCCAAAACTTTTAACTGAGGAGAAAGTGCTGCCTTTTTGGGGATTTATGGATAAACCGTGGGCCATTGTGTAGGGGACAAGAAAAATGAATCTAGACTGGATCGACTTTTTTAACAATTCCTTCATTAAGGAAAATGTCGAACATGATCAGTTTTCACAATTAGTGACAGAGGTCTCTCTAAGAATGATTGATATCTCGAGACTCAATTGTCCCGCAGAATTCTAAAAAATAGCATATTTTTTCAAGAACACGGCTTGTGACGATGTACTGAATATGTACACAGTTTATGATATATTATGCTCTTTATTTAGTTTGTTCCACTGATTAATTTCATGAATGAATTTTAACTGTTGTGTTTCAGCTTATGCGTCAGATGATTGACAGACTAACTGGCGAGATGTCATTTCCAAACCGTTTAATTTCTGAAGACAAGGTTAGCTATTGATTTCTTAGGTGTCTACCTGCTGACACCAGGCAGGAGCCATAACCTACAGGAGAGAGTAACTCCCATACTAGGCTTATGTCACGGCGTTTTCACGGACCGGTTTATTTTTAGATACATGTTAGAGAACTTTTTCCTGCGAACATGGAAGTTCCGCTCAGAGGCTTGTTTGTGTCGCAGGAAGGCTGGAGAGAAGGAAAAATAAGCGCGCGGAGCGCGATGGGAAGGAGTAAGAGAGGCTCCAGCCTTTTTCCTTTTTCCCATCATGCATCGCGGTAATTTTTCAATTATTGCTGTTTTATTGAAATACACCTAATTGCAAGGTTATCATTAGATCCCATCAACCGTAGCCCCTTAGGGCACTTCATGAATTTTACGCAACGTAGCTTTAGAGTTAAGCACTTCCTTTACTGACTTGGGTTAAACACTGTTTCGAAACTGGTTAGGTCCTTGTTTTTGGTTTGTGGTTGATGCTATATGCACTTAAATTATTTCACCTACATCCAGCAAATCCTCAGTGGTCTAGTGGTTAGTGTAGGTCAGTATACTGGACCATCTGGGTCGTGAGTTCGAATCCTACTGTCTTTCATATCAAATTTTCTTTTTCTTCAAATTGAAGAGACTTACACTTTCATGAACATTTCCAGCAGAAAACAGTTCTACCTTGTGTAAATTTCATGAGGGGAGAAAGGGGCTACGGCTGATGGGATCTAATGCTGACCTAATTGAAATAACGTTGTCCTAGAAAACTAAAAAAAGGAAAAAGCCAAATGCGAATTAATTAGGCTAATTAAGCCACATTCTCAGGGTGGATCTTTTTGCAGCCGTTGCATTTCCCTGCTGGAATTTTTTTTCGTTGATTTTCAGCTTTAAACAATAGCAATTCCCAACAGGCTAATGTCGGCGACGTCCATTTGCGGATGCTGCAAATGCGGTGAATTCACAAGCCTTATTAGACTAATTAATGCCTATTTGGCTTTCCGTCCGTCGTCCGTCAATCCGCACGATATTGATCCGCTGTCTGTCAGCCTCATGCTGGCAGCAGAACAACCTTGTTCCCAGGTTCTCTCCCCAGGGAACGAGGTTGGTAGCAGAATCGTGCTAAAATAATCGAGTTAGCCATGAATACAAAATTAATCATCGTGGAGCCTGGATATACCCTAAACCTTTTGTTACCTTATGCTGATATTCAGCTACTAGCGAATGATCTACCAGGTTGGGGAAACTGAGAAGCGGCCATAAAGTCAATCAGCTGCCTCCTTATGGAGTGGTAGTGATATCCTCGTTATTTCGTTATGTAAACTGTGTTGATCAAAATATTAGGACCTTCTCCGTTTGGGCTCGTTTTTAGTCAGTAAGTAGATAGCCCCGACCGAGACGCGTTCTTTTAGGCAAAACGTGCGTTGTATAAAATTTTTGAGGAAGAAACATAATCTTTGCGCGGTATGCGTAGATGTAGTAGCTCAGAGAACGCTTCATGTCACGCTATTTCTTACTTTGTAAAATTTGATGTGCTTATCTTTTAACAGAAGAGAATAAGTTGGAGCGAGGAATTCCATTACTTTTACAGCCCGATAGAAAACACCTCTTTCAGGTAAATATGATTTCACGGCATGCATGTGTGCAGTTCACTCATTGTACGTTCATCACTGTGTTCTTTACTATGTTCGGTACGAATTATAAAGTTTTTCAAACCCTGCATTGCACACCTTGTTATTTTTTTAAGTGTTGCGTCAAGGAATGGGAAACTTTATCTTTATTAATTGAGTGGTAAAAAAGCAATATTTGTCCACGCCTAACAATCTCGGCAAAGTTGAGGCGCCTTTATGACAGACAACTTTTCTTAGACTCGTCTTCTTACTGCAGTTATGCTTGGCTTAGTTGAGAATCTTCTTGTTTCTTTGTTAGAGAATTTTCTTCTTTCTGCTGCATACAAAAGTGCACCGGTCATTGCTTTCTTCTTTAATTAGCTGAACTTTGTGTTTTCGGGCTGGGACGGTAGTGTTGCTCCTTTAGCTGCTCGCACAGGCTGGGATACATGCATTTTCGCTGCGTTGACACGATTCTAAGTGAATTGCTTTTTTTTATTCAGCGCTGCAGTGGCGATTCCACAGAGCGGTCTTTATACACTGGATCTTAATGACGTCAGAGATATAGGTATGTAACTTTGATTTCCATATAACGTCAAGTTCCTTTTGTAAACCATCTGTGTCTGAAGTGTGAAAAGAACATTTCCCCTCTTGTCTCCTGTCATTTTCCGGTTACCGGCCGTTTCGATATAAGTTTATACAGTCGAGGGGTGGATAGTTTCAGGTCCTTGGCTTAAAGAACGAACAATATTCACCCAAAATGTTTTTCTTGTTAACGCGCAAACTATAGATCATTTTCAGTGTCACGCAACAAAAAAATAAATTGAAAACCGTCCAGTGGAAGAAGCCAAGAACGTTAAATGTTATAAAAGACTATTTTATAAACAATTTGTCCAAGTCTCAGGTCTTTGTGGCGCACAGTTTCTGAGTTATTTGCCGAAACGTTTCACACACCTTTGTAGAACCTTGTATAGAGACGCCATATTTTTGTACCGCTTTGGTGCACCAATATGGCCGCCAGAAATCAACTAAAACATCTAGAGGTCACTTTTTCTATAAAAGCTCTTTCTTTTCACTCGAGAACTAGCATACGTGCACATAAACATATCTTCTAATACTTGAAATGGTTATAATACCGCTGAAAATCAAGAGGGGAGACTTTTTTTCAACGAGACAGCATTCCTATTTGCGTCACGCACTGTGAAAACTCGGAAGTTCAAATTGCTGTATTTTTGAAACTTGTACAAAGATTTATTTTTTGTTTATCTTCAACCTACTGTAAATAAGAATTCATAAAACCTCGCTATCTTGACTTTACAATTTGATGACGTCACTGTGAAAACCATTTATGCTTGACGGTGGGTAATAAAAATGTATCAGATCTCTCTTTTCAAAAGAAAAAACTGAATCGCGTGATTTCAGTTTAAATTGAAAGGCTTCCTTGGTTTTCTACTCGTTGCAACTGCTTGTACAAAATTTGTACATTCTCAGCCGAGTTGTGACAAAACATTTCCCATATTCCTGAAACAAAAACGATGAAAAGAAGAGACCAATTGTCAAGAATATACCAGGCAATCGGCTCCTAAAGATACCTGAGAAGGGAAACCAAAGAGTTAAAAGGGGGCTAGGCCTTGTCCATGATTTTCCTGTAAAGATTAAACGCGGCCGTTGGAAGCAAAATTACTAATAAACGCCACACCCAGTCAGAAGAATGCAGCATTTGCTCGAGGACTTTAAGACAAAATGGTACCTGTACGGTACTTGGTAATCGGCTATAATCACAAGTCGGCAGACAATTACGATTCTATCTCAGCAAAAAAGCGAGACACTGGAACTTAAGACTTACTTCTGTTTTATATGAGATTCACTATGATTTGCCTTAATTGTTGTCAGTGATTTTAGAGATATCGTTTTGAAATACACGTCGCCCTTAAATATGTTTTAATCCTTAATAAATCAACTGGTCAATTCCAGCTATGACCACTGTCAAAAATGTTGATCGTCGCTTTTTGTCGGTTTTAATTCTGTAGTAGGCAGAAGTCCGTCTATTTTGTATCATTCATGATTTACTTACGTAATCTCCCTTTCCATTTAAACGTTTGCTACTTTCCATACGCTTTGACTTCAACTCAGTTGCATTCAACTTCATGTTCTAAGGCTTTCCCAATCTTTAGATTTTACAGATGTACAGCAGTATTTAAGCAAAGCTAAGAACGAAGATGTCGTGGTTGCACCGTGGTAGGTTAATATTCTACCGTGACGTATTGACTTTTAGCCAGTTCGGTACTCAAACGAAAATTGGACTCTTCCTTACAACTCCATACCCTTACCTTCACTGTATTCTATATTGGAAGGCAGGTATGTTCAGCAAAAACGAAATATTGCTTAACCTTCATATAGACTTTTATTGGGGAAAAAGCGCCAGTTTCGGTTCCTTTGGAAAACTCCCCACCCTACCCTACAGCTCAGTCACTCGACTAACTGAAGAGTGCGCTGTTAGAAGTCTAGCTAAAAGTCACAGAAAATAGTAAACAGTTGCTTTACTGATAGTATATTCTTAAGAATAGCACAAGAATCCTGTTCACTCATTTCCAAAATAATATTCCCTTTCAGCAAGGGGTATTTCCTACCAGTTCATTAGTAAATACTGACAAATCAGAAAAGTTGTGGTTTTAATTTAGATTCATAGTTTCAGTTTGTCTCTTTTTAATGCCGTCTTTTGTGCTAACTTGTCGTGTTGTCTCGTCAGGAAAATCTGTCCAAACACCACTGTAGCAGATGCCGATCACATACCGGTCTATGGGTCTATATATCCAACTGCCGAAGACATCATCGATGATACAAACCGTGAAAACAACTGTATGTCACTTGAATTATTGTAGTTCATTTTTAGTAGATAGAGTTTACTTGGTGGGAAGAACTCGCATGTGAGTTCTCCGTATAAGTTGAATGGCATTTTGAAAATAGGCTGATTGTGGGCAATTTGTTATATTGGAAACGAGAAGGGGACTGGAGCCGAAATGTATCCCACAATTCTTTCTGGGAGCGCACCGGTCAGCTATTGGCCGGTTTTTTCCTCAATCCCTAGTAACAGTCCCAGAAGTCATTGCGAAATACAGCTCAGCGTGGTTTCCTTCTCGTATACAGCCATTTCGAGGAAAGTTGTCGTAAAAAATGTGCACGCGACAATCCAGGAAGGTAGTATGGAATACGATCAATTCACTGTTCCTGACACTGTAGCTGTCGAACCTACTTTTGTTACTTTCCTCAGCACTCGCAAACATATGTCCATGGCCTCTCGTGCCATTCCCTCAAATTTCGTTGAAGAACAGTGAACTCAAGACCACCCACAATACCTTTCGGGATTGTCGCGTGCACTTTTTCCGACAACCTTTCTCGAAATAGCTGTATTAAGTGGTGAATAAATGTGAGGGCATTCTGTGATTACCCTGAGGGAGTAAAATATTGCACAGGCATTTATATGTTAAGCCTTCACTAAAAAACAAACGAAATGTTTTGGTTCAGCATCTTTCTTGGCACACACAAAATGGATTGGCTAAACGTGCGAACAATTTTTGTCTAAACATGGAACAGAGTGAGCCCACATGATGTCTTTTGTACATTAGTGCTGCGATTGTGCTGTCTACTACTTAGTTTCTGATTGGCTGATATTTCTCCCTTGCACTTGCTTTGCTGGCACAGTTCGCTAAACAATCAAACATTTATTAGTAACGCAAACTGTTCGATAAAATGTTTGATTTCGGTCAAACTCTCTCTTTCAACTCGATATCGGACAAGCATACTTGGTCTTCGAACCTCTGTTACGCGGCCCTGCTATTAAGCGGTCACCTATCAATTTCCCGAAATTTGCTTCCCATATTTACTGTAAATTTGACCTCTATTCAACGTGCACTGTTATTAAGCGGATGCGGTCACCGTTTGGATTTCCCAAATGGCTAATGTTATCAGTGTAATTTACCTCTGTTAAACGATCAGTTTGCCACATAACAGTCAATGAATAGCGTAGTCTTGGTCACGAAGAACTCCCGCTGGCGCTGAGCAAAGTCAGTGACTTGCTTCACCAAATTAGACGACCATACTGAACTGATTTTTTTTTGTCTTCATGTTGAGTGATATTTTAAAGATTGCTGATGATTTGCTTGATTGAAAAGACGCTTTCCTTACGAACGACATTACTGTTTCGGTAACATCCAAATACTTTTATCATATTTCACGTTACTGTTGTTGTGAACAAGAACTTGTAAATAGCTAGAGTAATCAGTTTTGCCGTGTAGGTCTATTTCTGCCACGCTATGGGCTAAATTTTTGGAAAACCTCTATCAAGTGATCAACCTCAGTGTTTTTTTCTGCCGAGTTGATAAGCGTTCCTCGTGATTTGTTAAGTTAGCCTATCCGTTAACAGAAAATAGCAAGGCTGGATCAACGGTTCTGACTTAGGGCCGGCCCATTGCAGATGCAACGTTTGTTTCTGTGCTAAATGGTGTTGTCTGGGGTAAGAAGATGGAAGTGTCTGTGAAGTAAGAAGGGAAGCGTAGGGACGTATAAGAACAATACATGAAGCTACAGTTAGTGGTTTCTATTTTTTTCTAGGTGATAGGGCAAAACTGAAACACTTGCTCTTTGATGCAAATTTAACCATGGAGGCAGCTGCTAAGCACTGGGAACTTAAGTGAGTTTAGTGACTCCAGTCACCTGTTAACAACACCTTGTAGCTGATTGGCTTACCAGTGTAGATGATTGGTTCACCTGGGTAGATATGGAGTTCCCAAGGCAGCGACTGATATAAATAACCGTGTGTGCCTTAAGCGCACTCCCCTGTTACAGTGAAACCTCGATTTAACGGAGTGCCAAGGGACTGGGAAAATTTGTTCGTTATATCGAAAACCTCGATTTAACGAATTTTTGGGAAAACAAGCAAAATGTTCGTTAAGTCGGGGTATAGTTAATGATTGATTTCTAAAGTCCAGTATTTCCGGATCTGAACAATTTATGTAATAAACATCTGTATACAAAGCTATTGTCTCAATTCAGAGCTGTACATAGCTACCGCACTATAAACACAAGAAAAACTACTGTACACATAAATTTTATCCTCGTTGTTCTGTTTCGCTTTCATCTTTAGCTATGTTTCGGTCACATGTTGACATTTATTCGTTATGTCGAGGTATATTTTACGTTTGCGTTTCTGGATTATGTTCGTTATAACGAGGATTTCGTTAAATCGAGGTTGCACGACCTTGCACTGTACCATTAAATGCTCTTCGATACAATGTATTTTGTCTTTAGAAAATAGTAACCTAAATAGCCTAAATTTGTGCTGATTACCATTTATGTAAGAATCTGTTTAGGTTAACTTGGGAAAATGGAGGTTCTTAGTCGCGGGTTTTTAACGTATCCTTACTCTTATCCCTTAGAGACTAATTGGAAATTCCTAGTAGTCAACTTGGAGGAGGGTCTTAACGGCCAAAACGTTTAAGGGAGAGCATAAAACCTAAACAGGGACTTTAGACAAGTGGGGGAAGGGGAGCAAAGGTAATGTACCCTCCATGGGGAAGTATGGATATCCCCTGGGGCAATACAGTACAGATTTTGAAATATTCTGTTGTTTGCAGAGATGGAATAGAAGATATATTTGTAGCAACGCTTGGAGGAATCATGAGGTGGCTAAATTCAAGGTGTGTTCTTAGATAAGAATTGGGCTTGTCTCGATATTGCTTAACTGATGTAGCTTATATTGTTAAACGCCAGTCAGTCAGAATTGTGTCCTCCCTTAGTAGTCAGTACACACGGACAAAAACAGACGGAAGACTGATGGAACAGGAGATTATACAGAAACAAGGAGATTGCATAAGAGAATTCCCTTGTGTACTGGCGCATCAAGATACAACCTCACTGAAAACATCACCGGATTCGTTGAGAGAATTATGGGAGATGTTAAGATCATGCCGGGTTGTACCATCTAGTCTGCGAGCAAGCTCTCCGTTTTGGGGATATCGTTAGGAGTCACACGGGAGCAGCTCACTCGCGCGTTGTCGGGGTGTCTTCGCTCGCCATCCGAAATGGGGGGTTTGCTTGCAGGCTACATACAGTCTCCTGTATTGTTTTTCATTACAAACCGGGATTACGTACGGTGTGCTTCCATTAGTACAGCAAAATTGTGAGAAGGTATGAGAGCCGGTCCAACAGCCTCAACATATCGAAAACAATAGCCAAAATATGTTGTGATAATGTTGTGACAAAAGTTCTACGGGTTTAAAATCTTCACAACATCACGAACTGTCAGCAGTGTTCTATGGGGAAGAGTGAGTGTCAAACAGAATGTGAGAATGTTATGACTGTTCTCCACTTCAAAAACAGGAGACTGGACCGAGTTTACTTTCGCAAAGACTTTTGGGACTGTTACAAGGGACAGAGAAAAAAAATTGGCCAATAGCTGACTGGTACGTCACCAGAAATGATCCCACAAACAATTGCGGGGTACATTTTGGCACCAGTTCCCTTTTCGTTTTTCGTTCCTTAAGTAGCGAATTGGGTAGCCTGTGCATAGACGTTGTTTTATGTCAATGAATCCCCTGCGGTTTATATTTTATCACCCGCGCTCGACAGACTTTGAAGAGAAAATAAAGGGTCTGTGAGGAGGCTACGTATTGGGAGATTACATCTGTAACATGAATTTGCATGTAATTGTGATTAAGCTAGGAACCTATAGAGCGTTTTCACTCACATGGCCAGCATCTGTGCAAATTCATTGGAACCAAAGAAAGCGTTTGTAGAAGAAAAGAGTTCAATTCCCACAGGATTGTCTTGGTACACCAACATGGCCGCCGTTTCATTGTTTTGGAACACCAATATGACCTCCGTGACGTCATGTGAAAACGCGTCTATAATTACATCTAAACACCTTCTAATTAGAAATCATGAATAGGCCCTTTGCAGCTTGCCATTCACGTGGTACAAAACCGCCATGCTAGAACGCAAAAGTCGCACTGGGGCAAGACCAACAAAAGGCATAAATAATTTTAAATAGTAATTTCCTTTGTTTGTCTTGTCCCAGTGCGACTTTTGCGTCCCAACATGGTAGTTTTGTACCACGAGAATGGCAAGCTGCAAAGGTCCTATTATACCAAACGACTTCAGTTGTCTATGTTATCTTTACAGCAATATTACATTGCCACGGTATTACACTAAAAAACAGTTCTACAGACAGGCAGTTCAGTATGCAGACAAAGCTGTTGGCGTGGACAAAACAATCATTGTTTTCTCTGCTCCTTACAGAGCACATGGTAAGAAAACAAACACAATCGTACGTTGGGAATGCAAAAAACGTTTCTAGTTGTTCCACCGTAGATTTTGAAGATATTAAAAATACTTTTGCTGGTTGTGTAGGGGGAAATGACAGCAAACGTATACGTTTGTATTTTCCGAATTCGTTAAGAATCCAGAAGGTTTTAGTACAGGGTTTGTACAGGTTATGGAAAACCGGGATAATCATGAAATTTAAGAATTTCATTTTGCAGGCCTGAAAAGTCATGGAATTTACTTGTCGCTCATGGAAAATCATGGAAAATTTAAAAAGTTTTGTCTGGTGGATTAGTTACTGCAGATGACAAAGGAAAGACAATGTGAGATAGAGAGAAGTAATCAAACATCGCGAACGGCACACATTTTGATGGACTCCAGAGTTTTTCTGTTGAACTTTAGAACTGTTTAAAGTTAAAAATACCTTAAAACAAGAATAGTTTTGAAAATTTTTGAAAGTGACAGCGTAACCCTTCATGGAAAACTTGAAAAGGTCATGGAAAAATTCATGGCCGGAAAGTCATGGAATTTAAAGAGCTCAAAAGGAAACAAACCCTGTGGTACCTGATTTGTTTTGTCGTTAACACGGTTTGATTTGGAGTCCAGAGATTTTAAATCCGGTATCTAAAGTGAATACTTCATATTTGAATGAATGTTCTCGGATTTACTGACGGATGTTCGCCTGTGAATCCAAGTATTTTAAATGTAACAAATCCGGGAAAATTTTTAATCCAGAAAAGTCTCCTATGGTGTAAAGAGCCAGCGCCGGAGTGTTTCTTCTCCAGACTCGACAGGGACATCACGACCACTTGGGGATAGAACTGAAGGTCCCTGGAAATCGTTTTATCCGCACAATTCATGAGAGATGAGAGTACATCGCCGGGCCAGCATCATGTGTTCCTTTACTTTTCCTTTGAAATGAGAGTAGCCTAGGACCAGGCTCCTCTCAGTAGTGGGGAAAGTTAGGGGGAAAGTGGGGAAAAAAGGTGCTCAGTTCTTTCCCCTCCCCAGTCCCTAGCTCGGCTCGCCTTGCTCGCCAATTTTTTTCTCCTCGGAGGAGCCTGGTTCCAGCGTGGTGTGAATATGAGGGGCCATTGGATAAATGCAGTAGACGAGGCCAAACGTTTGATGTCGCTATCTAGTGACACGATGATTATGGAGTGACCTAAGTAAAGATCGAGAGAAGTGTGAAAAAAAGTTTTTGTAAGCTTTTCTGTGTTGCTGTGAAACACACCCCCACTAGCATTACCATGAACTCCTTCTGCTAGCAGTGTTTCTAATTAGGGTTTTACTTTTGTGTTGTAGGTTACCAAAGTGATGTCAACGAATCTGTCACGATAACAGCAAGTGCTCCTATCATTATTTCAGACAAAAACAACAACAACAACAAAGTTGTAGCTGCAGGTGAGTTGGACTGAAGCTTCGAATGTTGTGGGTCGGGTGAGAGCGTGATATGATTCTAACCCAGTACGGGTTGAGTGAGTGTGTCTGAGAGTTCGAGCTGAAGGGTCCCTTTACGTCAGGTAACTTTTCTTGCTGTCAACTGGACTACACCATAAACTTGGCCTTCAACAATAACGTCACAGTCAAGTCTGCTTCTTGACAAAATGTTGGTGGAGCCTAGTTTTTTACCTTTGCGGTTAAAAGTCTATATACCGTAAACCATTCTCAATCCTTCGTAACAAGAACGCTGAGCGGAACCATTGCAGCCGTCTGTCTACAGTGTCGATAAAGTGATGCATAAACTTATTTAACAATTAATGAATGAGGCTGAGTATCTTATGAAGAATTATGTAGATCGAGGAAAGTGTTTTCCACCAAGGCCGAAGGCCGAGGCGGATAACAGCCTCCGCGGTTTACGAAGGAGTCCTAGGTGGAGATAGCTGCAACGATGCGCTCCAAACGTCAGGTTTCGAATATTTTTATGGTGAGAAATTGGCTATATCAACTACGGAAATTGTTTGCTGTTAACAGCGTCAATAGGGCTTACAACCCGGTCTAGAACAACTTTTGTCTGTCCTTGAAAATGCTCACCCTACAATTGTGAGGTTCCCAGTCTGTCTTAAAATGTGGTCGGCTTAGTAAAATGCCCACTTGACTATTTCTTTCTGCTGGGATATTACGCTTGTCGAATTGCGCTGGCCATTTACAACGTAAATTTGAGTGCTTTCACTTTCATTAAGAAACATGAGATATTACTTCATTACCGTTGTTGGATTCATACATTAACAATGGCGTGAGCATCTCAGTGCCATCTGTCGTTTCCCGTGATGCATGCGTAGCCTGTCTATTATTCTAAAGACTACTTGAGATGCATTTTCACATGGGATTGCTTTTCAAATCTGGCACCTAATCTTGTCTCTTCCTTTGTGCCACGCCGTAACTATAACTTCAAGAAGGCTTTGGAATATACAACTGATTTATTTTGCTGTCTCTTGACTAAGGTTTATTATTAAGCCATAAACTAAATTAGAAAGTTTATCCTTTGGATAAAATGTTTCCTTTCTTTTAAAAGAAGTAGTATTTATATGATTCTCAAGTCCAAGGCAAAGCAATACTTTTAAAAATAACAACTAAACACATTTGCATAATTTGCTACTTTATGTAGTATTGATAGTGGTATTACGATGATTCCGAAACCGACGTCGACTGTTTACGCTCTTATTTATTGTTTCTTTTTCGCTAAATCACTGTTGATAAAAAACGAGATGTTTCCAGTTTATTTTTTGACAAACCAAGTGTATACAGTACAGTATTTCTGCCGTTGGCTTTTTTGTGTGTAATTTAATTCTTTGTTTGTTAACAGTGGTTGGAATGCACGTAAAAGAGAAGACTTTCACAGAAAAGTTATTCGACGCTGTTGGAAGGGTAAGAGACGCAGTTTACCAAGAACAAAACAGGGCTCGCAAATTTTGGCGAGCTTCATAATATTGCGGCCTTGGAACGCATAATTTACTGTAATTCGTGTAAAGACTTCTCTTTACCCGAGTGTGGGGGGGGGGGGGGGGGGGGGGGTACTTAGGTTAATTTTTGCTGGGTATGTGCCGCTGGCCTCTCAGAGGCCCTACCCCATTATAGTCTATTCTGTGGCCAATTATAGACCCCATCTTAGCCACTTTTCGGCAAATATGTAATTTTCGCGATCCCAACTTAGTCACTTTCTATTTTTATGAATTGACCCATTTTTTGGATTGAATGAAGAACACTTTACTTTTCATCTACAGTACAAACATTCTGGTACGTTTGCTAACCGTAAATATGAAGAACTGTCTTACCCCAAAAAATCCAAAAATCTGCGACCCCATTCTAGTAACTCTATTGAAAATACGACCCCATTTTAGTCAATCCGGTCGTGAAAATGCGACCCCATCCAGCGGCACATCCCCATTAGCCTCTTATAAGGAAGTACCCCCCCTACTTCCTTTTGTTCCGGCGGACAGTCCATACATTGACTCTTGTTTAACTCTCTCTACAACGGCAACGACCACTAAAGCGTGTCCCCAACTGCCAAAATAACCTCTCGACAATGGCCAGTTTTTTCAGCGACTGATGAAAGTCAAGAGTGGTCATGATATTTGATCGGTATGGCGCGTTGATGATCAATCGCGGCAAGCGTATTTTGATTGTGTTCCATTTATAAAATAATGCTGCAGTGAGCATGAATTGTCAACGATTCTTAAGGTGAATGTTGCGTACCTTGCTCGTCTTGTCATGTTAGCATTTTGATTTAAAGCATCATTCAAGTGTTTTTGTGTATTTTGTCTCTGTATAATTATTATATGTGATTGGGTTACCATTATGAGATACCCTAAGCATGAACTCAGCATAATCAACATGTTGTACTCCTTAAAAAAAAAAAAGTCACATTATCCCCCTACCTTCTCATAAGGGCCACCTCTCCAGAACCGCCACTTTCTTCTGTTCCCAAGGTGGCTGTTGTGGGGAGGTTTAAAGAGATTACTCGAAATGAACTTAGTAGAGTACGAGAAATGTTGGCCCCAGTTGGAAGTGTGCGTTTGTATATCGACTTGTGGCTAGTTTTTGTTCCACATTTTTAACACGTAAATTTTTGTTTTCGTTTTTCATTTTTACAGGAGAACTGCAATATCTCAAAGGTAAGTGTTTCAACTCTGAGTTTGTGATGGAAAATCGCATTATTCTATTTGTCAATGCCCTCGTTATGCGCTATGTTTGTAAAAAGACTTGTGATGTCCATCGAAATATGAAATGTGCGGTTTTCCACCTTTGTCTTTTCAAAAAAATTTATAAGGTCGGTGGTATCTTTGGTTACTTCCTAGAAAGATAGATATGCTCCTCTCTCTGAAAAAAGATAACTCCGGTCCATGTCGTTAGTCGGTTAATATTTTTCCTGTCGGTAGTCGGTAATTTTTTCCCGTTTTGTCGGTAGTCAGTAATATTTTTCGCCCTTTGTTTCTAGTCGGTTTCAAATACTAACAACAATAAACAAAGCTTGTAGTGATTTTTAGTTAAGTTCAGAATTTATACCTGGCGGTGAGAATTAACATTTTGTTACTCTATTTGTTTTTAGTTTAAGATCCACAATTTTTGTATTTGTGTTTCAGGAACATTACTGTCGTTTTATCGACTATGATGGCTTTGTGGTGGCGTCAAATGTCGAGAGTGAATCTGAGGTATAAATGAGAAAGTCACGGCCCTCAAACAAAACAGGAGTTTATACGCTTCCAGAACAGCAGCGAAAACATCACTTAAAAAGTGACCTCGTGTTCTTTGAAACTTCAGCCCGATTATCCCAACTCGCTAACTTTGTCACGATTGTAAGGGAAATTGCCTGGAGCTGAATTCCTATTCAAGTTTAGAAGGAGAAAGGGAAATCCATCGTCGTGTGTTGAAATTTTAGGTCGTAGTGAAAGGAGCGGCAAGAAAATGTACCAAAAAGTGTAATATACTTGCAAGTTTGTTGTCCTAATCTAAACCTTATTGCTTTTTTGACGTTCTTGTTGCTGTCGACGTCATGGCCTCGTAGCATCTTAAACTCCATAATTACAACATCCCGATCCCCTGAAAATTCAGCTCAATAGGGAGCAGCCATTTTTTTGATTAGCGAGTTTAATTTACGTTAGTAAGTCTAGTGTAGTTTACATGAAAACTTTAGAAACTCCCCGCGATAATAATGATACCCTCCCCCCCCCCACACACACTATTCAGCTTCATGGATAGGAGTACATGTATATCCTACAGAGCAAGATAAGAAATTCTTTTTTTGTGGGAAGCACAATTTGTTCTGCTTAGTTTGTATTTTATGTCAACCGACGATTATGCAGTAGAAACTGAGTACACTGGAAAATCAGTTTTCTTTTTGTTTTAACATCAGGTTGGTAAGTTCTTGGGCGCGTTTGAAGGAGGAGGAACCGTCATGAGAACATTTATCAACAGATCTCTGTTTGAAAAGTTAGTCTTGTTTTGCTTTTTATTGTAAATTTTATTGATTGAAAAGCAGCTTTGGGATTTAACATCTTAAATAGACTTTTCCTCGGTTTTTTTTCAACTATGGACATGGATCAGTTAAAGAAAAGCCGTCAACAGCACTGGAAAGAGCGCCATTAGTAAAATTGCCAAGTTTGAAATAGGTTCGTCTTAAGTGAGCGAAGATATTATAGCTTCGCGAAATTACGAAAATTTACAGACGTTTGTACGGTAGGTGGCGGGGAGGGGGGTGGGTGACGGACAAGTTTGTGCCCCCCGCCCACCACACAAACGTCTCTAAAATTTAGCGACTTTGAGGAGCTATATGTTCGTCAGTTTTCTACGAATCACTTTTAAAATTGGCAGTTTTACTCATTTTAAGGCACTATATTTCCAGCGGAGGCGACGGATTTTGCGTCACTTGTCCATGTCAAAATCTGAAAAAAATCCGTGGGTCTATTATGAACTGAAAGTTGAGAACGGCAACAAATCTATAAATCTACAGCTAATTGTTAAACTGCGGAACAGAGAGTTAAAATTCAGAACAATGTCATGGTTAGTGCACTTAAAGACAGCTTGACCGGCCTGTCAGCCTTTACCTGGATTTTTTTCTAGGGAGTCCTAGGCTTGTCGGTCGTGCTCATATGTAGCATGTAGCAGTCGCCTTCCGCCAGTCAGTTGAAGGACTGCACTCCATCGTGTGTAAGGCGACTAAGGCTGGGACCGACACTAAGTTTCCTCTCACAGAGGTTTCCCCTTGATAGAAAGTCAAAGAAAATGACTGAAGAACTGCAGGAATTAATTCCACTAGATGTGTCCGTTTTAGGGAGCTGTGCGTCTTATAGAGATATCCCTCGTTAGCAGAGAGTTAGCTAGCTATGGCAGTACGCTTCTACTCAGAGAAAATTATTCATGCAGGGCTGGGGATGTTCTTATTTTATGCAGGTTAACTTTTACTAGTACACAAGAAGAGTGCAAAAAACCAGAGGAAAAGACTTCAAATGCCAGGACACTTTTGAATGTAAGGCCAAACAAAGGGATGAAACAAATAATTGCAAAATAATACGGCATCATGGTAAATGGTACGTGGGGAAGACAAAACGCAAGGCTCGTGTTACACCTAGTACTCCTTCAAAAGCCCTCGAAGTTAATTTTAGATTTCAGGGGAGCTTGAAAAGCTCTTGAAAAGAAAGTGCTTGAAAACTTCTTGAAAAAAACCAGCACAATCCCTGTATAAGCGGCTTTCTTTGAAGCGGACGTACTGTTGTGCACGTAGTTTTCCTGTTGTGTGGTAACTTTTGGTATACTGACTACTTTGTTTTCTGATTTGTGTAGCCTCTCTTTGCGGTGACATCATACGTTCAGTTCTGGACGCAGACTGTGTTCTGGTAAGTAACTCAGTATTTTTATGAGACTTTATTGTCACGATGCAGAGCTCTGTCCGTTCGACAGCGTAATAATGAACGTAGCCTCGTAATAGCCAATGAAAAAATGTTGGCCTTCACAAAACAGTCACACAGTGTGATTTGACACGGGCGAGTGGGAAAAAATGGGTGGAAGTTAAATTGCCCGCCAAATTTGCCACCCGCTTCGCGTGGTGACGCCGCCACTAAGAAAGTACCCCGGACATAACAATCCCGCAAGCTTCGCAGGCTAACACGACATCGACTCAGTCTCAAATCAGGCGTGGTCTCACGCGTAACCCAAATGTGGTGAATTCTTTAGCTTAGTACCCGCTGAAAGAAACAGATAAAAGTAAATCATCTGAATACTGATGTAACATTTATTGTTTTTATGTTTACAGGTCGCTGGCGCAGTTCAATATTTACAGTCTCTTTTCTCGTGGAGGTGTAGGTAAGTTGTTTTTTGATTCAATAGGTTAGCGGTTTGATGTATTTGTGGATGTTAAGGCCCGTGTAATCCCCCATATTACACTCTGTTTGATCCCCAAATTTTGCGCAAGTTATTGTTGTCAAATGCTCTTGGGAATGTGCAGTTTCCCCTGAAGCATTTAGCCTGCGTAGCAGGCGCCAGTTTTTTGAGGGCGGAGAGAGGTGAGGGAAGGGGAAATACTCGAGAAGGACTGTTCCTAAGATAAAAAAGGGTAATTTTGAGTCCCGGGGAGCAAGGGATAGGACAGTGGTGAGAGCGCTCGGGATTAAATCCCGGCTTCAACTCCATATGTTGGTTGAGTTTGTTGTTGGTTCTCTCCCTTGCTCCGAGAGGTTTTTCTCCGGGTACTCCGGTTTTCCTCTCTCCTCAAAAACCAACATTTCTAACTTCCAATTCGGCCAGGAATCAGGTAGACGATGAACCACTTTGTGGATGTGCTACCTCCAAATCTTTATTTATTTATTTAAAGTCGACGAAGGACCAGTTATTACAGTGATTGTTTTTCTATAAATAAATAAATAATAAATGTTATTTAGCCAGGGTTATCTCTTCAGAATAAAATGCTGTTATCAATGAGGGCTCTGGAAAAATAATAAAACTAAATAAAATAAATAAAATAATATATTTAACAATTATTCCACGAGGGCGCGTTGGATATGAGATGATAGATAGCCAACGAGGCGCATAGCGCCGAGTTGGCTATAATCATTTCATATCCAACAAGCCCGAGTGGAATAATTGTTTTATTAAAAACGCCCACGAAATCTCGTTGAATCGCCCCGACTAAAACAAACCGGAAAAGACAAGGGACTTCCGCCATTGACATGTCACACGTCTATCAAAACTGTCAACGCGCGAACCGGGCTCGCCTAGACTGCATGAATGAAAAATCAAAACATTGTGCGATGAACATTAGTTTTTTAAACACTCATCGTGATTCTAGGATTTTACACAGCAGAACAGCTTAAAAAACCTGGCAGATAATGTGAAGGAAAGGAATTTTTAAGTGACAGCCGTCGAAATTACTATGAATTTGGATTTTCGGTGCAGTTATAAAAGTAAGAACAACGGAGAAAAACTACCGGTATTACCTCGGTCGCTTGTTATGAAGTTGTTTGAAGCCACAAGCTGGTTTTGCTGAACGAGAAAAGAAGCTATACTGCCGCCTCGATTGCTCTAGTGAATGGCAGAATAGCCTGTATTTGTAGCTGGTTACTTGTGATTTATATTCTTGATGTCGGATAAACAAGCTGCAGTTATCTATCGGCGAGTGACTCGATCGGCGAATGGCTTCGCGATCATGAAGAAACAACACTTGTCTTCTTTCGTAGCTGGTCAAGGTACTTTAGTTCCATGTGTTTTCATGTGTTTTTCGACAAACTTTCAAACAAGCTCTCGTGGCTTTTTTGTTTGTTTCTGTCTTTTTTCTTTCGTTGAAATTGCATTTCTAGTATTCTATTCTAGTATTCTATCCTTCGCGAAAAAAAATCTCAGCTAGCTTCCAATCTTTAAACTGACGCGTACACCGACCATATATGGAGAACATGGTATATTTAACAATTATTCTTTGAAATCGAGGTGAATAGTGGCAAAATATTTACCGAGCCGCGAAAGCGGCGAGGTAAATATTCCCAAAGCCACTATTCACCGAGATTGAGAAGAATAATTGTTTTAGTATATACACACGAAGTGATCTCAACAAAATCAGAAAGGAAACCATTCAAAAGTAGGATTTGATTGACAGATCAAATCACGCGTAAGTTTAAAAATAGATCTTTGCAGAATTTTCAAACATGGCAATTCACAAGTTTACTTATTTCGCAAACAACAGCGTAATGGCTTCAATGGAATCGCTAAAAGTTTGAACTGTTTCCTTACCTGAGAAAAAAAGTAGAGCTGTGTTGTTTTCTGTTGACTCGCCAAGTTTATAGCCAAAAGGGCATGTTGTGTCGTTCTTCGCATGAAGTGCTGACAAAAATGGCGGCTCGGTTGCTCGAGGTAAGAGGTCGTCTTCCTGTATTATTCTTTTTCCTGTTTACTTGAAATGTAGAATTTCTGCAAACATTTCCTTTTAAATTTGTTTGTCATAAATAAACTTCGATTTTTGAGCCAAAATTTTCTTCTTAGAAAACGCTGAGTTCACGGGAGTTGTAAACAATCCATCGAGCACAAAACTCCTGATACAGTAAATTGAAAAACGCCGTATTGAATCCTTCCAAGTCTTTTCTTGCCTTAAAAAAAGTCAGCCCTAGGATTTTGTCGACTTTTAAAAGATCGTTCTCTAAAAAAAACGGGAAAAACACCGAGCTCACACATTATCCACTCGCTAGGAGGTGAATATTGTTGAATAGTCCGAGATAGCGAACCAATCAGATTGCTTAAATCACCAAGATCACTGAGTGTGTATGTACTAATTAACAATTATTCTTTGAAATCGAGGTGAATAGTGGCAAAATATTTACCGAGCCGCGAAAGCGGCGAGGTAAATATTCCCAAAGCCACTATTCACCGAGATTGAGAAGAATAATTGTTTTAGTATATACACACGAAGTGATCTCAACAAAATCAGAAAGGAAACCATTCAAAAGTAGGATTTGATTGACAGATCAAATCACGCGTAAGTTGAAAAATAGATCTTTGCAGAATTTTCAAACATGGCAATTCACAAGTTTACTCATTTCGCAAACAACAGCGTAATGGCTTCAATGGAATCGCTGAAAGTTTGAACTGTTTCCTTACCTGAGAAAAAAAGTAGAGCTGTGTTGTTTTCTGTTGACTCGCCAAGTTTATAGCCAAAAGGGCATGTTGTGTCGTTCTTCGCATGAAGTGCTGACAAAAATGGCGGCTCGGTTGCTCGAGGTAAGAGGTCGTCTTCCTGTATCATTCTTTTTCCTGTTTACTTGAAATGTAGAATTTCTGCAAACATTTCCTTTTAAATTTGTTTGTCATAAATAAACTTCGATTTTTGAGCCAAAATTTTCTTCTTAGAAAACGCTGGGTTCACGAAACGGCTTCTTCTACGCGAATACACGGGAGTTGTAAACAATCCATCGAGCACAAAACTCCTGCTACAGTAAATTGAAAAACGCCGTATTGAATCCTTCCAAGTCTTTTCTTGCCTTAAAAAAAGTCAGCCCTAGGATTTTGTCGACTTTTAAAAGATCGTTCTCTAAAAAAAACGGGAAAAACACCGAGCTCACACATTATCCACTCGCTAGGAGGTGAATATTGTTGAATAGTCCGAGATAGCGAACCAATCAGATTGCTTAAATCACCAAGATCACTGAGTGTGTATATACTAATAGCTCATATACCATAACGGCTAAGCCAATCAAAATGCTAGAATTGCATTATCCAATGATTCAGTTTTTAATAAATATATATATATATATTTAACTAACCTAAATTACAGCAACTACAAATACACTAAAAGTTAAAAATACAACAAGATTTAAAAATTGTTTAGAAAAGCTAAAATAATAATAATAATAATAATAATAATAATAATAATAACAACAATAATAGACACTTACATAGCGCGGTATCGACTAATTGCTCAAAGCCCTGTACAATAATATGGTAAGAAACTAGAATTAAAAACTATTATGAGATAAAGTAGAATTAAATAAAGCTACTAAAATCAAACATCCTAGGCTAATTTAAATAAGTATGTCTTCAACTGCGTCCTGAACAGGTCGACAGATGTAACACCCCTGAGTTTAGGGGGCAATTGGTTCCATAACCTAGGAGCAGCCGCGGGAAAAGCCCTATCATCATACATCTTTAACCTAGTCCTAGGCACGGCTAGGACATTCTGGGAACTAGAACGAAGTAATGGTGGACCATTAGTGTACAGTCGACTCTCTCTTAACGGACACCTCTATAAGACGGACACCTCTGTAAAACGGACACCTAGAGTTGGTCCCTGCCTTTCTTTACTCCTTTTATTTGACTCTCTATAAGACGGACACCTCTCTAAGACGGACACTTAGTGCCGGTCCCAAAGGTGTCCGTCTTGGAGAGAGTTGACTGTAGCGTAAAAGTTCGGATAGTTAAGTTGGTGCCAAGCCATTTAGACATTTGTAAACTAAGAGTAAAATTTTAAAATGTATGCGATAATTTAGCGGTAACCAATGACGTTTGAACAGGATAGGAGTGATATTGTCAAACCGCTTAGATAAAGTAACAATGCGTGCAGCAGTGTTTTGGATCAGTCTTAACCTGTTTAACAGGTGTTTAGGAAGACCATATAACAAAGAGTTACAGTTATCGAGTTTAGAGCTAATAAACACATGTACTAAAATTTGAGAGGCATCGTCACTTAAGTACTTCCTGATCTTAGCTATGTTCCTTAAATGATACTGACAGGAAACGCAGATTTTGTTAACATGGCCGGTTAAATCAAGACTGATCTATAATCACCCCAAATTTCGGTCGGAAAGTTTGGGTTGGATCTTCTCATCGACCACTTGGATAAACTCAAGAGAAGGCCTGCAACGAAATTTTGAGCTGATGAGAACAAGTTCAGTTTTATCCTGATTGAGTTTAAGACCATTGTTCACCAGCCGACAATCAATGTCGTTTAAATGCATTCGACACGACGCTTAGCCAAAGAGAGATCATAGCTACAGTCAGTTCTAAAAGATATATACAGCTGGGTATCATCAGCGTATAAATGATACTGTAACTTGTGGAACTTGATGATATCAGCAATATGAGATAAAGAAGAGGGCCCAGAACAGATCCCTGGGGTACACCGCGTTTTAGGGAGCGCTGTGTTGACCTACAGTCATTGACCCGAACAAACTGCGTGCGCGACGTCAGGTATGACTCAAACCATGCAACTGCAGCACCGTTTACTCCAAAGCAGTCACGCAATCTTGATAACCATATCGAATGATCAACTGTGTCGAAGGCAGCTGACAAATCCAACAAAAGAAGTATAACAGACTCATTGTTGTCAATAGCACACAGGGTGTCATTCTGGACTCTTACTAACGCTGTCTCGGTGGAGTGAAAGTTCTTATATGCAGACTGAAACATCTCATCTAAGTGGTGCGCCATGACGTGATCTGTGAGTTGTATGGCAACTGCCTTTTCAACAAGCTTTGAAAATGCATTTAAAAGCTAAACTAATACAAAAACTTAACAAGTAACTAAAAAACGTTTGATCTACATAATTCCAAAATACGAGTTTTAAAATCACAACTGACTTAGAATCCTTCATTTCACTTGCAATATTGTTAAAAAGTCTAGATCCATTAAAATAAAAAGACTTCCTTGCCGCCTCACTTCTGACTTTGGGGAGCAGCAAGGTGTGCCCACTTCCCCTCGTGTTGTGGATAGTTCTAAAAACCTTAAATAATCTTTGAAAGGTAAACGAAGAACCACTTTTAAAGCCCTTTTAAAGCCCTTGAAGAAAAAAGTCAATGTGTATGTTGTAGTTGATTTTTATCTCAGGTAATTTTTCTTTTTCTTTTGTTTTTGGGTATAGTAATGTATGCTAATAAAGATAAAAAATTAACTACAACATAAATAACATTGAGCTCATGCCGTCAACATTGGCGGACAACAGTTTACTGTTATCCTCTGACGTCATACATTTTGCCCTGTTGCCCGCTCAGAGACTTGGCGGGAAAAAGTTTAATAAAATCATGCGCCTTCCAAGTAACCAATAAGAGTGCATTATTAAGGGAAAGATTCCAGCTAAATAACAATGAAACACATTCTTTCATTCGCAGCTGTGGCTGAAGGGCAACAGCAACAGGACATGATCCCATGCTCTCAAGAACTTCAGTTTTATAAAGGATATTGGGAAAAACAAGGGCAAGGTACAGTAGCTTGTGAGCTGGGTTTTTTTTTAATATTTTGAAGAGAGAGAGAGAAGCCACTGACCAAACGTTGATTGCAGTCGGCAGGGATTCCGCATTACTAAGGACGCTTTACGCTGTCGTTTGTAAACAAGCTCTCCATTTTATTATTCTCCCACTCGCGTGATTTCAGATCCAAAATACACAGCTGTCTCGTTAGACTACGAGTAGTCCCGCATTTGTCCTCAGAGATACGCTACTTCGTTGGTACATTGATGTGAAGTGTGAAGCCCAAGGTTCTAGATTCAGTAATGCCGCAATTATGACACACTCGAACTATTGGCTTGTGTTGGCTTCAACAGAAGTTTTTATTAGCTTTTGCGCCGAATTTTGTTTGTTTTGTGGTAATGGACTCTTCTGTTAAACAAAGACAAGTTTTACTTGGTACAAAACACAAATGTGCAGTTTATTTATAGTTATTTGGAAAACCCACTGAGTTCTCCGCCAAATCGACCTTGCACAATTCCAGATAGGTCAGGTTTCTTTTCCGGTAACTTAATGTCAGATCGATGTTGTAGATTTCTTTCTTTTTCGTAAGGTTTAGTGGTTCTTTTTTCAGAGAACTTTTTGTTTTCAAATTTAACTCTTCCGGTGCGATCCTGAAGTTGTGTTTGTTATTAAACGCACAACATACTGCTTTTCCGCAAGTCGTTTTACAGTAATGTTGCAAAACAAATTGCATGTTTTTTGCCCGTTACCGTAGCTTGAGCAATCATTGCGCATTGTGCTTGTTTCAGAGTAGTAATCACGTATTAACTGTCGATATCCTCTTGAAAAAGCTCTCTTCAGTTCTTGTGGTGCGCGCAATTGGTACCTGTTCCCTTACGCGTATGAAGACTGATCATAAATATGTGACATTCTTCTAGTAAACAAGACGCTGTGTGAGCGTATATTTGGGCGTGGTCGTACTACGGGTATGATACTTTGAACATGCCTTATTGCAGCTAAAGAACTGTCATCATATCTTACCAGAGAAGACAAATTGTTTGCTGCACCACACAGCTTATACAGTATGTCCCAATCCACAACAAAAATACTGTCACTTCACGACAATGTTTGAAAATATGCACATCTTCAATGTAGGCATGCTTGGAGCCAAATTACAACATAGGACATAAGTGGTTACAGCCCAGAGGGTAAGGTTTATCTCAGCTCCACTGATACTGACAGATGTGTTTTCACACCCATCACTTTGTACAGTGTATTCCGGTTACTAACAAGGGCAAATAAAGTTCCTTAAGTCCAGTATCCACAAGGATTAATAAGAGAGTAACACATTTCATAAACTGCTATAGGGCAGCACTGTTTACAGGAACATTGGTAACTATTAACATTTGATATACTACAATTTTCAACATTGCTTGAGAAAAGATGAGGTTCAAAGGTGGCAATATGTACACCTTTGAGTTCATATATATCCTCATTCCTATGTAGAGGCTGAAAATATTGTACTAATTTATGCATGGATGGTATTTCCAACAATACACATGTCCCTTCACTGTGACTGTTATGATACATATCTCTAGCATTAGAATCAAATGCATTATATCCCCCAGCCTCAGTGCTGTAGATACCAACACAAATAATTACCACCATTAAAATGAATGATTTGTAGTTCAGTGCCAAGAGTGTTTCAAATGCTGTAACCTGTGAGTGGCATACAGCTATTTCGAGAAAGGTTGTCGGAAAAAGTGCACGCGACAATCCCGAAAGGTATTGTGGGTGGTTTTGAATTCACTGTTTTTCAAAGAAGTTTGAAAGAATGACACGAGAGGCCATTGACGTATGTTTGCGAGTGCTAAAGGAAAGCAACAAAAGTAGGTTCGACAGCTACAGTGTCAGGAACAGTGTATTGATCATATCCCATATTACTTTTCGGGATTGTCGCGTGCACATTTCTTCCGTCAACCTTTCTCGAAATAGCTGTGTACAGTAGTGATGGATGTTACAAGTATAACTGTCAGTGTATTCAAGGTGGAAAAATTGCTCCAACACTGTAACCATTCCTGGCAATTCTGTTAACATTGACATAGATTGTCCAACAATCATTATTTGAGTGACAAACAAGAATATAATTGAATACCAACAATCATTATTTGAGTCATCCCCAAATCATAAAACTGAAGTAATCATTTTGTTTATCTTAAACTGTAAATTAAAGCGCACAGACTCACTGTTTTGTTTTCCGACACATCGTTTTGTCCACCATTTTCTAACCCAAAAATCATAGAGGACAGAACATATCCTCGACTACATAAACTGAAGGTCCTGGATTCTTCTCTATATCAGTACAAAGCTTAAATTGGCCAAAATTAACCCGGTGATTCAAACTGTTTTAAGCAGTATAAAATGGATAGTTACATGTACAGTGGGTCAAATTCTTACTTAGAAGCCTATTTGGATATCTCATTCCACCTAAATCGCCTGTGCTCTGATGCTTGGATGACACCTTCCCTCGTTTACGAACTAGTTTTGGAGTTGCCCCTTAAGTAAAAACCCCACACTGTTACAGTTACTTCTGTACCTGTTTAAGTGTAAACCTTTTGTACTTTTAACGTAACAATGAATTTCAGACGACAATGGTGTATTTTTCCGAATACTCTTCCATACAAAAAGTGTCACTTTCCGTGTTTTCTGTAACAAAGATTTTAATTTGTTCATTGGTAGTCTGCTAGGGGCATGACGGTAACCGGTCGTTTCGTTCCATGGTCAGATCGTTGACATCGTTCCAAGTCAGATCGTTCCAGTCAATAGTCAGATCGTTCCATAAAATAGTCAGTTCGTTCCACAAAAAGTCAGTTCGTTCCACATATGAAAAGTCAAGTAAATCTTTCTAAATTTGTTGAGTGAACTTTATGGCGAAGAAAAACGTTTCGTTCATACCAGAAGCTGGTAAAATAATAATCGATCCAAAGTCGATTCGATCCATCCTAAATCGTTTGAAAACAAACAAGAGACGATTTCAACCAGCCACGGGCTTTAACAATTAAACCGCTGCTTTGAGAGTTTTTGAGCTAGAATCGATCGATAGTTTTGAAAGATATAGCACAACAAGTAAAAGCTAAGCCGTTCTGAAGGTACAGTATTTCGAAGCGCTTGTAACCTAAATATTTCTTTGCAGCGCCCGATTTATGCAAATTTTGAAAACAACGCGAGTTTCGAATTACAATCTCGATGTTATGGTAATTTGTCAAGCCGAAAATATAATGGACTAACCTGATTTAAACCAATGAAATCGTAAGTTCTGTTATAAATAAATTTCACACGACGAGAACTCAATTTAACTTCTTTTATTTCCTCCACAACGCAATTTTCCTTCTGTACAACTAGCTCATTACCTTCTCTTGTCGTCACCTCGCTGCCATCAAAACACTCTAACACAAAACTTGCTGATAATGCAAAATCCCGACGCTCAGCATCGTATGAAAAAACACAACACGCAATACAAAAAACAAGTACATTAACCGTCACCCTGCTAAACAAAATTGAAGAAGAATTGTTGCAGTTATCACAGTAGTTCCAAAAGAAGCCTCAGTCCCTTTTGGTTTCAATTGTTGACAATCGTCTCTTCCTTCGTCAAAACAGATTTTTATCACAGGCAACTCGCTGTGTTCCGCAATGCAAAATCGAAATCACTATTGTCACACTGATAACCAGCTACACAAATCTTGCGACTCTCAAACTTGTTCAACATTCCTCTATTCAAACTCTTATCCATTTTACACGTACACTCCTGATATTCCGATTTGTTATTACGTCTATGAGTCTTTGATGTCATTGAATGTCTTGATAATTTCCTTTGTCTTTCTTTGAGTTCGCGGACCAGCCCATTCCGAAAACACTCAGAGTTATTTTTTAGTGCGGGCCTACCGCGAACAGTGTGTGCATTTGTAAGTTTAACCCGGAATAACATGATTGAACAATATGTTAACACGTTCCTCGAAACTCCGCGGCCAAATGTTATCCAAACTGCTTCTCACTGCTGCTTCGAAAAATTTCGGATCAAACGATATCTAAATCGTCCCTCATTGGATTATCCACTCGACCTAACAAAATCGACCAATCACAAAAAATGGACATAAAATAAAGAAAAGAGCAAATTCAGATGACCTCTTAGGAAACATGCATTTAAAACTGTCTTTCGATGATTGGTGCATTTCGATCCTCTCGTCAAAAAAATGTCAGACGTCAATCATCTTAGCGGACCTCTTAGGAAACGAAAGTTTTCTTCAACGGGTTCAAAAGGTCATTGTTTATGGTTTGTGATTGGTGGATTTCGATCCGTTTTTTGAGTTTCTGTGTTTCAAGGTTCGTTGCTTGTGATCTTATTGTGACCAAAACCCGACGTTAATATTCCAAATATTTTTGATAGATTTCATTCCTGGACTTCAGACTTCCAAATTTCGATGAGGCAAAAATACTGAAGATTCAGATTAAATTTTGAGATCGTAAAAGTGCGATTAAGTGCCGCCCGGGGGAGCGAAGACACGAGGGTCTGATATTGTACAAGACGTTCGCATGACAGACATTCGCCTCGCTTCGCTTGTTTACTTGCCTTGTTTACGTTAGCACGTATTGCGTGCCTATTGCACATTAGCGTCAAAACAAGCCGTTTCCATTACTCTATTTGGGCCACGCCCAAATAATAACACAGTTAGGTAAAATATCCAGTATAACAAACATATCCAAAAAAAGAACACTGGACGTGTAACCTGAAGGCCCCGAGTTTAAGTCCTCTAGCAGCCACGCTTGTAATATAGCCAACTTGTTTGCCTCCCACCAGTTGGGATTCCTAGCCATGTTATGTTCCATTTGAATTATTTGCGTTATTATCCCTGAAAAGCCCCATAAGGGAAAGGATAACAAAGTATAAGTATTAAAAAATCCATGCCGAATAATTTATTTGCTTCGTCAGGTTGTTCTCAAGGCCTTTTGCCAAACGATTGTTCGGCATTGGGTGTTTCGAATAACACCAATGAGAATAAAACAATGGAAAAAAACTGTAAGCTGTGTGATCTCTAACGGTTTTATGGCCTCATCAGTCGTTGTCTTGATTTAGTTAAACCCTAAAACTGAACCTATACCGATATCCACATCAATCACCTTTCCATAGCAATTACGTTAATTATGTAGAAGATCGATCGTGTAAGGTACTAGTCTTGTGTGTTGTGTTTTTTTCCCTGCAAATAAACTATACCATGGCACCAGTCTTCGTGAGCGGTCCCTGCTGTGTTTTGCCGTTCCTCCTTGTTCTTCATCATCCTTTTCTTTTACGGCAGGAAATATTTCTAAGATACTTTTCTCCATGCATGGCTTGTCATGAATTCTAGCGTCACTCAAGACTTCTTATGATATGACAACTTCAACCGCTTATCTAACTCTCTTCTTTTCAGATACGGCTGAATGTCAAGTTAATCCTGGTTGCTCATGGTAAGATAAATCATGGATTAGCGTATTGGTTTACAACAACAGCTTTTATTTTTGACTTGAATGGATTCTGATCTTTGATTTTTCGCATTCCGGCTGCGTTAATAGTCTTGTCAGAGAACATTGTTAAGCTTTTTTATAGTTATTTTTGAGTGGTGACACTCTGGCTTGTATACAGCCCCGTGGGAGCAAGACAGCAACATGGCCGTAGGTTAAGACCCCGCACCCCTGTCACCACAAGCTGGACTTGGCTTTTAGTGGTCCCAGTTTAGCTCCTCGACCTACTTGCTGCGTCAATAAACTACTGGATTTGATCGTTTGAATTATTTGTGTTTACTTGCCTTGTGCGTCTGTAAACTAGCTAAAAGAATTAAGTACAGTGCCAGTGTACTCAAAGCATTTACAATTTTGCACTTTACTAAACTCCAGGGGCTACAATTGTTCGGACTTAAATGGGAGTGTGAAAATTCTGACTTTTTTGTCTCTCTCTCGTTTTTCAGGAGGTTATATATAGCACCTGTTACTGGGACCAATCTTCGACTGGTAGTAGAAAGCCGCAGAATTTCCCCGTGTACATGTGATGGTGATACACTGACAACACCACCAATAGATTGTATCTTTCAAAACTGCTTTTCATAAACTCTTACCCCGGGTTTCAGAGGTGTTTTTAACTTAATTCCGGAAAGTTCGCTCGAAGCGCCCAGGAAAATAAATCCGTCTCGGGAGCTTTGTCAAACCGTGAACATGGTTTATTTCATCCCAGGTATATAAATCCGAGAACGGACCTCAGAAGTCAGGTAAACAAACTCTATAATACAAGGTGTTTTCTTAGTCAATCCGCGATTATTTTCAGAACAGCTTAAACGGACTAACAACATTTTGGTGCAACTTCGTCCAACGCGCCGGATCCGATGCTCTGCTACCTAGATCAGGTCTAAAGGAGTTAATAATTTAGGGCCCGTTTAAACAGGGCTGACACTATTCAAAGTTGTGTTGATTTTGGACCAAAATGCTGTAGTTGTTAGAATACCTTGTTGCACAAAGTTGGATGTTGTGGATGATGTTAGATCAAGTTTAAATGAGTTAAACATTTGGGTTCAAACACCATTCAGAGTTGTTGGATGACGTAGGAGCAACATGCTGAATACGATTAACTGAATGTTTAGGGTGCCCAATAGGTTTCTTGGAATGCTGGATTTGTCTCACTGAAGACGGGTATGCAGGATGCGAGATGCGGGATTCGGGAATTTAAACATTTTGCACGGGATGAAGGGATTGAAGACCTTCATTGGAGAACGTCAATTTTGAAAGTTTAGTTTTTGAAACCGAAGTCACCTTTAATGGCTACGCCATCGCGCACCATACACAGAAGGTGTGTGCATTAGTGGCCGATCTTAAAACCCCTGGGGGCTTTGTTGATAGAACGATATTTAGCTTGGACCGCAGTTGAAGACGAGAAGTGGACCTTCGTGCAGATGTGTTTCTGAATAACTCATTTTAAGTGGATACAGGTTTTTTGTCTGCCCTGCTTATCGGTTGACAACGTTTAGGGACTCGGAGTTGAACAGACTGAACATAGCATTGCTTACGAGGTTTTGTTAAACACCGCATAAACACTGTTATAATAACCGTCTCTACACATGAATATAGAGGACGTTTAGATGTTATCGAAAAGCGTTAATTTATTGTTAGGATTAGGAAATCATCGTTACTTCAGGGTGTTCATTGGGCATCGGACATCGGAGAATCCGTTTATTACGCAGAATTCTCCTGCTAACGGTCATTTGCCTATGACTATTTTTTCCTCAGATGTGGAGCCTCTTTAAAAATATTTTCCTGAGCGATGTGGAGACCAAGGCACTTGTACCCCCAACCTCTCCTATATTTTGCAAGCCCACCCTGTGACACAGGCAAAATAAGAATTAGTGCAACGTTACACCTTTCTCCTGCTACTAGAATTCTTAATGAAAACCCTGTTACTTTATTCCTTAACCATTTGATATTTCATAGTGCTGGAAACTGTAAATAACCCAGTCCCGGCAAAAGTATCTTACAGGAAACCGCCCGAGCTCACAACACCTTGTAATGACAGTGCAGATGAGGTAAGAACCGGCCAGGAAATTACCGTTACTATGCGAACTTCGAATGTCAAATTCACTTTACTATGGACTGCCATCAATAAAACCATGCACATGGCACTGGCAATTTGAAAAACTTGCCTGAAGTTTATAAGTGGTGCATCCAAAAGGAGTGAGGAGTAGGTTAGAGGTAGGGATACATTAGCGAGGACCTTAGGAAACTGAGGTTGAAGTGCATAAGCGACGATATAAGGGACCTAAAGTGGGCCTATATAAGTGAGGACATCAGGGATCTTAGGTGGGTTTACATGAGCGAGGAAATCAGGCACTTTGGATGGACTGCATACCAATTGAGTTGATTGGGGGACTCTAGGTGGGGGTCCATAAGCGACGACATTTGGGACCTCAAGTGGGGTTACATAAGCGAGGACATTAGGGAACTTAGGGGGTGTGCATGAGCGAGGACATCAGGGACATTAGATGGACTACATAATTGAGTTGATCAGGGACCTTAGGTGGGGGTGCATAATCGACGACATTAGGGATCTCAAGTTGGGTTATATAAACGAGGATATTAGGGACCTTATGTGGGTTTACATGAGCGAGGAGATTAGAGACATTAGATGGGCTACATAATTGAGTTCACTAGGGACCTTAAATGGGGGTGCATAAGCGACTACACCCTGCACGTACATATTACACTAGTTTGTAAATTTCGTTGCCGTCCCTGCACAATTTAGACGTGAAATAATCCAATTTTAAGTTTACGTGAGAACGAAAACGACAAGGCGATGATTTTACCGATCTCGGTCTGAAGTCGGACGCGGTCCCCTCTCCTCAGCTCCAACCTAATTTCTCTTCTTTGAAATAACTGGGTGACTTGGAATAATAGCGAAAACGTTTGAAAGGATACGAAGTCTATTTTTCAGCGACGTTTTCACTGGCGTCGCCGTTGTCGGATCATAAGGTTCCTTTTCAAGATATCGCGGTCAAAGTACCAACCAGTTCCTGCCGTGGCCCTGCAGATCATGTACCTTGCATATAATCGGCGGGGAGGCGAAATTGGTGTTCACTAGAGAGAAGAATCTTTCCCGGCTATGCACAAGATACCCATGAAACACAAGGCTAGGATTGCTTTCTCCTTCGTCGAACGTGATTAATGTTCTGTGATATTCTGTTGCAGGGGAAGCCCCCGTGTGCATTGGCAAGCATATCCTCTCCTGCAAGGCTCACCGTTTTTTTGGTGCTTATCTTGACGTTATTCAGTGCATGAAATGACAACTGGATATAATGGATATATCCTCAGACTGTACACCAGTCAAGCAGAAACAGAAGAAAATGCAAGCAGCTTTTATGCATTTAACGTGTAGTCAAGAACGTGTAGCGAGAATTGTTTTTGCACGCTAATAATGTAAATGGGCAATTTTGTATTCCTGTTTTCTTTTTCACCGAATCCTTTTGGCCCACATTTTTTGTAATCATTTTCCTATTATAAGCGCGAACAAGGACGAAGCCGACCTCGTTATTTTTAGCACGTGCCTGATTGTTTTCATCTCAGATATTCAGACCAGGGAGTAACCAGCCTATGGACAGTCGTTTGGGTTGGGGATAATGCGAATAAATGCGTTCCCTCACTCTCGTTCCTTTCCTTTTTGCTGACATCCCTCACTGGACAGATAATTGCATGATCGAGTTCTAGATTTTGTAAATATTGAGGAAAGTTCTCCTCTGCAGTTTTTATGCGAATTTTCACTGCAGGATTCTGTCCTCGGACGTACGAGTTCTCTGTTTTATAGCGCAAGGGCCTTAGCTTTTGCAACAAACCGTCACGTCACAAAATATCCACGTTACGAAGCGTTGATAACAATTTTAAAATGAAGTCAGTTGTTCTTTTTCTCTTTTCTCTTTGCGTTGTTTGCTTACCAGTGTGGCTATTTTGTATCATGTGACGGATTATTAAAAAAGCGTTAAACGAGCTCGCCTTTTAACTGTGGGAGTTTAGATTTCTTCAAATTGTACCAGTTAATCGTACTGTCTGTGCGTCTATTGTGTACAACGTTTTGTAACGGCTCTGTTGTAATTAAGTTTAGACGAAAAACTCTATAACACCCCGGAACGTTTAATTGACTTTAGAAAGCTTTTGTAAAGTGTATTTGCCGAACTCTCGTTGCACCTTAACTCCTCTCTATATTGAACTTTTTATTGCGGGTAAATTTTAAAAAGGCAATGGTTTTTAGTTTCATCTATTACTCTAAATGTCCTTATTTGACCTCACGCTACTTGGCTTCATGTCAACATTTACCAGGTACAAGAGAAAATGAGATTGTTTTTATTAACAAAACTAGAAATTGCTTTGAAACCATCGAACTGTTTTTCATATTTATTAATGGTTAGTGGAATTTTTCTAATTTGTAATGTTTTGTCCGGACTGATTATTAAATGGAAATTTTCTGCATTGCTTTGTGTCAAGAGAGAATGTTGGACTGTAGAGATGCGGAGAACTGGAGGCGAGTGAAGTATTGTGGTCAGTCGATGTTTGATCGAATTGCAGTATGGGACGGTCTTTAGGAGGCTATCATTTCTTTCATTTCTGTTACTGGCTATTAGCAAAACCGACTCAGTCTTAGCGCGAGAGTTGGGCGAGAATCTGGGAAAATTACTCGAGAGGACTGTAACAAAGTTTTGCAAGGAGATTTAGCCCACGTACGATTGAAAGCTGGCTCGAGAATCAAACACACCAAGTTTGGGTTAAAAGTACGACCTCGTCTGAACTTATACGCGGTATTTTTGAAGACGGTGATTTTTTTCTGCGCTTTCAAAGAGTACGCATCCACACGTAGCGTATTCATAACGTTTATTCCCATCTACACGAAAACGCTTTAAGACGCAATAGCGATAGCGTCCCTTACAGGGCGTGCGCTGTATGATGTGCGACACACCTCCGTTTTTGTCCGAAAACGCCGTTTATGTGCGAACGAAGGCTAAAACGGCCGTGTTCAACGGATACGTGTAGACGGCGCTTAATTAAAGCTTTTCAAATAACGAGGACACTAGAGTTTTTCAAATAAAGAGGACAAGATATCCAAGAACTGCAGGTTGTTTAATAAATTCTTTTAGCTATCTACAGGAAGAAATAAATACCTTTGTACAAACATTTATTTACAACGTCAGAAAAGTGCAACCCCTCTGTCAAATCTATTCAAGTCTTCAAAGAAGTAAATCCCTAATTTACACGGCAACCAAGCTGTTGTGTGTGAACACTTTAAGATTATTATATCTCTATGGGTTTTATAACAGGTTTTCTAATGTGCCGCATGGTGGAACCTGGTTCAGTGGGCTTGAATGGCGCCAAGGACCCATAGGGCCTGGGGATGGGTAACTCGGAGTCGTCATCCGGGATATAAGCATTGGGTCGAGGTTCAGCAGTGGTGTAAATACCGCCAGGCAGGCGATAATGTTCTTCTTCCTCTTCGCGCTGAAAAAAAAAAAAAGAGTCGGAATACTTCGTAAGACGAGTTTGAACATAAAACAAAAAGGCACAAAGTATGGCAAGCTTGGCATCAACCACTAAGTGAAATCACCTCTACTGTACTTTCAAAAACGACGAAGTTATTATTATTTTTTATATCCGTGAAAGAGGTATTCTGAACAACATAGATCTGGCTTTTGAGTTAAGAGATAAAATTCATGAGGACTGCAACAGACTTGTGGTATTTTTACAACGATGTACAAGTTAAAAATGTAAATGTCACGAAAAAGCAAATACTCAGTTGTTTGTGTTTCAACTAGCTTACAGACATCCAAGAGAGGTAAATTATTACATGTAAATTAATGAATTCTAAAATGATTAAAACCCCTTGTGGGCTCCCCGAATTTCCAGTCGATGCTCTTGTTATGCGGCCATGATCCCTCCTTTATGGTGAACCCCACTTTGGAATCTGATTGGAGTCGTATGAAAGCCTACTTGAGGCGTTGATTATTACTTCTTTTTTAGAAGTGCTGAAACAACAAGTTCATTTATTCAACTTCATTTAGTAGTAGTATTTTTAATGTCACTATAGTATACCTCCTTCCTTTCTATCAACTCCTTCTCCCTGCGTGCTTCATCTCGTACCATTCTAAGCCACTCTCTCTCGGCCTCTTCATTAGGAGCCTCGCCTCTCTCCATCCGCACATAACTTTGTTCTAGCTCTTGTTCTTTACCCTTCACTTCTTGTTGAAGCTTCATGGCTTCCGCTTGGTTCATGGATAGTTCCGATACCAGCGCCATCATTTTTCGCGTCGTGTCCTTTATCTTAGCCTGATATTCATTTACCTAAAGAAACAAACGTTTATTTATATCAAAAAGAGATTTTAAAGCGAAGGTCAGTAGTACGTTCCAGGAACCGGTTGTTCAAACATAGGATCAGTGGCGCTATTCAGTATTCACCCAAAGAGCTTGGTGGTGCCCAGACAGAAGAACAAAACTCAAGTTCCAATCAACAAAAAGGCCCTTAAAGCGCCAATAACCTAAAGGTTTTTATTTTGTTAATTGAAAGTGCACATTACTAAGAGGAACCTTTGCACAAAAAATTCTGCATAGATTTTTTTGCAACGTTCAAATTTGCTGCCATTTCTACACATCATACGTCTTAATCTTCTCTCGGACGCCTCCTGGTAGGCCGGGGAAAACCTAAAAAAAAAAAACGAAATTACAAACAAACCTTCTTGGCTAATTCCAGGGTATCTTCCTTGCCAGTTTCTGATTTTTTCTTTGTTCTGTCCGCTAGCCTAGTGACTTCTTCAAAGATTAAATCTTTTTCTAAAAGTTTTTCTTCCTTCTCAGCTAGCCTTAGTTCCAGTTCTTCAATTTTCTTAGCGAGCACCTCAGGTTCGGGATCTGCGCCTCCCAGAAGCCGAACACGGGTCTCATCCGACGGATCTTCGAGACGTTTCTCGAGAATGGCGAGTCTTTCTCGACAAGAGACAAGCTGAAACCGAACAAGAGAATGTCAACACTCCTATCGCTTCTGAAACCTGTTTCTCGAAAGGCTGGTAACTTTTCGGGCCGGAAGGCAAATTTTAAATTGCTTCTTTAACTGATATTTTCATTGTATCATTTTCAAATTTATTGAAACTTTGATCTTGAATGCAAACACGGCAAAAATAAATCAGCTTTCCGGGCCCGAAAAGCTACTGGGTCTTTCGAGAAACGGGCAGCTAAAGTCAACTTCGTCCAATAAGAGAAAAGTACGTTTAGTGTTTCACCAAGGGCAGGGAGGTATCTCTTCGACATGCATACACAGACCTTCCAACTCCTAATCAACCGACAAAATGGAGCTTACTTACTTACTTGCCGGTGGTTGTGTTTTCGTTGAGAGAAAAAAGTATTTTTGGTCCACAGCGTTAAAGGACTTCACCAATTCCGTGCGTGTTTAAAGCTAAAATTACTTTGGATGTAATTTAAATCATTCACGCACAGTCTTAAACACCTACTCAAAATTATCTTAGAGAACTAGCCGAGAACATTCGGAACTGGGAGCTTGATAACAACTTCACTGTGTACTACCTCCCCACGAGTGCAACGGAAATTCCGAGGCGGGGGGAGGGTGAGTCCAAAAGTAGGCAATTTCAGAGGGGGTGGGGGTGGCCTTTGGAGGTCTTTTTTTCTGGGTACCCAAGTAACATTGGGGAATTGTTGCTGTTCGGCAGTGGCTTACCGTTTATTATTAGCTAAGAAAGATCTCTACAGGGCAAAATTGAAAATATTAGACCATGAATTAACATGAAAGAGAAGATTTTTTCTCACTTAATCTCAGCCACGATTACATTTCGCATGATAGTATACTGCAACAGCATTTTTGACGGAAATATTATTTTCATGGGGTACCGAACCAAGACGGAAAATCATGGAAATTCCAGGGTATGACAAGCACCACCTAGAATGGAAATTCCAAGGCGGGGGTGGAGGTATGGATATTTTTTGGAACTACACATTAAAAAAGCACAATGGAGGGGAACAAAAGCTGTTCTCGGCTGTCAGATATGGCACAAATGTTAGCATTTCAGTGCACACTACGGGTATTTTTTTTACACTCAACCCCACAAAGGTTCTCGGATACCTACAGTCAACTCAGTTTCGGGACGAGCACCCAGACAATCCGGGACACAAAAACGCACTTATAACCTGAAATGGGTCCGTGGAGGAAGATTTAAGGTTAAAATCAGTCGCTTAAAACCTACTTGTATTTGAAGGGTAACCAGTTCATTATCCAGAGCTCTCTTGTTTGGCATGTTCTTTTGAGCCACTGCAATAGATCGCTTTAGCTCATTTACCTGACGGACAAGCATTCAGTTAGTTAGAATCTAAGGCCACCTTTGTGAGATAGATTATTCGGTCAGTTTGCTTCACATAATATCTTCGACTAAAACTGACAGTAAAGCAGTCCATTAAGGTTTCAATTTTCGTTTTGCCTAGTTGATTCTTTCCACGAGCTTCGCGTAAGAGGAACTGCGTGCGCGAGCCAATCCCAACTTTCGCTTGTTTTTTCTCCGGACATTGGATATTGTGATGTAGTCTGGATTAAAGCTGCAGTTTCTTTTCTGTTTAAGATAATGAAATACGCTGAAACGATTAACTTGTCATGCTCTAAAGCGCCAATTTTATGATTTTAATTCTAAGCGTCATCCTTAGCGTTGAGCAAACTATCCGTGGACAATGGTCAGCATCAAATCAAACTCGTTGTCAATCTCTTAAGAAAAGGAACATGTAAATGGACTCACATCGAAACGAACGACAAACTCTTAAAATATTTCATTGTTACCTCCATCTTCAAAAAGCGTATCTCTTCTTCTCTTGCTTTTAGCTCCACGTCACCATTACGAATCATCGTGTCTAGGAAGAAAGAATAAAATAGAATATTTGATATGTCTGATGTTTAAGAGACATTTTATACCTCAAAAGGTACAGTAGCCGTCATTGTACACATGGCGCATTCGATTGTCATGCAAAGAAAGAGAAGCTTTGCCGGAAGAAGCAGAGTCAGTAAACATAAAGGCTTCTCGTCTGTGGTCAAAAACCGTTAAAACACTCTTACCTTGTATGTTAAGCTTCTCGTAGAATACACAGACCTCCTCGTTTGTTTCGATGAGGTGTATTCCCCTGAACAAAACAGGAAAAGAAAAAGAACACTGAATGTAAAAGATACGTGGAAGTGACTTTTTCAATAAAAATCGCTGTCATACAGTGTATTAAAACAGAACGGGAAAACGCTCGAGTTTCCTTCACTCACATATCATTTCTTTCTTGCACCGCGCGTTCATAGCGTTTCCGTAATTGGACCATGTTTTCTTCTGCTTTATTAATGAGATCGTTAAGCTTGGCGATATCCAACCTCTGAGAACAAAAGAAATTAAAAAGAATTTAAGTTTCGCCTTTTCTTCGATTTGTCGAAAGCAATTCCTGACTACCGACCTACAATGTATCACGTCAGAGAACAAGAAAACTCAGAGAGAGTGCACACGATTATAATCTGCAAGAAATTCTCAAGTAGGTGGGCCTTAATTATACTCTGTTGTTACACCAGACCTGTCCAAACTAATTGGCGGAATAACTTTCAATACGAAACATTTTTTAAGTCTAGTTTCATTATGCAGTTCTCTCTAAAATGGAATCTTTGGTCACCGAAAACGATCTCCAGACTGGAGATCTGGAGATCCGCTCCCCAGTTAAGGGTGCTGACAGGTGTACTATGGACGGCAAATAGAGCGTTTCCAAAACTTAACGCTGATATCAAAAGGTCATGTGATCGCCATGTTAACGTGAGCTTGCTCAACTATTTATGAAGGGCCGAGACAGCATGACGTTTTCAAATATATCCGGATTTCCAAATAGTTTGGACAGTGCGATACTTCTTTTTTAGGAGCAAAAATATCAGTGTGGACAGGTTAGGCTTCACTTTCCGAACATGCAGATACTGTTAAAGGGACTGTGCCGTGATTGTCTCGTTCATTTTGTAAATAATGTCAATCGTGCGTCTTTATTCGCAAAGGAACTTGAGAAGTTACGTGTGAATGGCAAAATATCACTTTCGTGTCAAACAAATATGGGATCATTATACGTCTCTGGGAAACTGTCCACCTACCCCTCCCCTGAACCAACATTAACACTTACCTTTCACTTGGGGCAAAATGTTGGTCTAGGGGAGGGTGGGCAGTTTTCCAGAAACGTATAATGATCCCAAATATGTTTCCCAGGCATTATAGAGCGTTTTCACGTGACATTACGGCGGCCATATTGGTGCTATTGTGTACTCCGAAACATTAAGATGACGGCCACGTTGTTGTTCCAAACAAATCCTGTGGGAGTTGAACAATTTCTTTTGTTCCCATAAATTTGCACAGATGCTAGCCACATGAGTGAAAACGCTCTATATCAAACTTTAAAAACAACAAATGTGAACTTCAAAAAAATGGTACGCTAACAAGTTTTCAAAAACTGCAATTACAGTCGGTTTCAATCTTCTTCAACTTTTTCCATCCGCTTCTCCTTTTGTATTGTATCCTTATGCTGTTGTTGTCGTCGCCTACTTTTCACGTTTTGAGCGGTTATGATTACACTCAGTTTTGTGGCGGTTGCCTGTGTTTGAATGTTGACAAATTTCGTAACACAGCTCCCTTGAACAAGACCACATGCAAGCCCCACAAATCTAAACTACTGTAACTACAACAACGAATTGAAATCTTGACAACCGAAATATTTGTTTTCACCAACCAGTTGTTCTCGTTTTTCTCTGTTCTCCTCTTCAGTTTTGGATCTTTTGCTCATCTCATTTCGTAAACTATCACGGATCACAACCGCGTTATTCCGTTTCAACCGAGCTTTCTGTAGAAGTCTGTGAAAAGAAACAGAAAAAGAGACAAACTTCGCAATGGAAACAAACTGCACTTGTTTTGCAAATCCCAAAAAGAAGGTATGGAAAAAAAATTCAATGCTGTAAGAGTCATCAGCAGTTCTAGACATGTCCCGATTCCATTATCTCCTCACCACACATTATTGCACCCAAGAGCAAAGGGAAATACAAAACAAAACATACATACTAAAATGGAGAAAAATTTAAAAATCGATATAAATAAGAATAAAAGCTGTACGGACAGATCTGAAATCAAAACTTTCCGGTCAGTTTTGCTTAACTGTTCTTCACACAGGGAAACCTGTAGGCACAGGCCAAACATTGCAAGAGGAATGTTGACAAAGAAATCTAATCAGCCACAAACATTACTAACCTGTCTTTTGCATTGACTTTGGAGCGAAGAATTTCAATTTCATTTTGAAGTATCTTAATTTTTTCTCTCATTTCTGCCGCTTTCTGCATTAAAAAGGAGAAAAAAACGTCAGTGCGGGTTTGCGTGTAGCACCAAAGCATCTACTAAAATGCAACATTTGATCTGAATTTACCTGAGTGCTTGTTTGAATTAAGTTGACGCATTTGTTTCGTTCGTTTTTTATCACATCATACAGTTTAGCAAAGTCTGAAAGCCTGTTAAGACAATTATAAAAAATATTTAAAAAACAACGTTAAAACAATAGACTACTGAACAAGCTTAAGGGAAGAGCAGACCTTACAATTCACTACAATGCTAACAATACCTAATAATGCTAACAATTTAAACCCACTATCCGTAAGTGAGGTTCGTAATTCACCAATCAATACCAACCACGGTGCCACATTTGAAGACCTGCAGTCGAAACGTCACGAAGAATGACAAAGTAGCCTGTTCATAGGACCTTTATTTTGTCTTTAGAGATTTTTGTGGGCCCTTGTGACCTTAATCAAGACTTAAGTTCCACGTGAATTGTTCACTTTTGCTTACTCGCGTGCTGGCACGCGCTGTCACATGTGGCACGCGCGCGAGTATCCAATAGGGCACGTGAGCTAATTTAACGAGCTTGTTAACGGTATTTAGTCTTGTAACCTGGAGAAGGCAGCATTGTCGAAACATCGGTTAAGATTCTTTTGAACAGCATCGATTAGCGTCGATACAATTTTAAAAACTTTATTACGATTTTGACGGCCGTCCTCCTCGAATCTCTCCAAAGTCTCTACTTAAACTTAGAGAAAATAAATAACTTCCTTGATACACGTATGTATTGTAAGTTACGGAAACTCGTTTTTTTGGCCCAAGCGCCAAGTGCGTGGGCTATAAATCCAAGCGGAAAAAAATCGGTCCATCACTTACAGAAGGACCTGGAACTCGGTTAGTATTAAAAACGTATATCTACAGTTGGTGTATTTTGTACATGGACCAAAATCGATAGCATTCATTTATAATTATTTTCATCACATTGTATAAAACCAGAAACTCACCAAACTCAGTGTCACTAACCTATGTTGCATTTCAGCATATTTCTTAGCACTGTCCTGAATGCTGAGATTTTTGGTTTTCAAGTCCTCAAGAGCCCGCTGGTATCTCAACTGAAATACAAGAAACCAAAATAACTTTGAAAAACCAGGGAAGCCATGGTGTAACATACTAGTACTCATACACCCAGCCAACCACACAAGGGATCTGATCATGTGTTAGTTCACAACTGTTTAAAACCTTACAGTTGATATAGAGATGTAAAACATTTCCAAAGAAGAGTTGCATGAAAACTCATTTTTTTAGTTTACGAGTGAAAGGGGCAGACTAAGCCACATCAATATTGTGCAAGTAAAACCATACATTTTTACCACTGTTTTACATGACAGTATAGCTCTTACACACTTCCCAGTGTAGCCTACCTCGGCGCGCATGTAATCCCTTGCTTTTTGCTCTCTCTCATCTGCCTGTTGAGAAGAAAATGAAAATTATTCCAATTCCATTTTATATTATTAAATTTCTCCTAATAATAATAGAATCTTCTGGCATGATCACACAAGATGAATTTTCTTGACATTTTATACATTGATCTTAGGGTTTAAAGGGTTAAACTTAATAATAGAATCTTCAGTTAAGTACATCTTAACTGCTGTATGCATGACATATATAGTCAAACCTCTCATAAGTCGCCACCCAAAATGATGTGTTGGCCACAACAGAGTTACACGACTTTCATTTACACAGCCAACTCTGGCATTATGGACACCCCACTATAACGGACACTCTGATTATATAGACAGCAGCTACATCACAGGCAAAATATATTAGAGATGTTTGACTGAAATAAACTTCCGCTATTACAGACTCGCTAGTGAGGACACTAATTTACTTGAGGTCCCAACAGTGTCTGCTATAAAGGGAGTTGACTGTAATTATTATTACAACAAACCATGTCTCATTAAAGGGCCAAATTTTAGCTTGTTACATTGTAAAGATACCTTAATCTGTGCTAATCTTGTTAAATCAATGACATCCACTCTGAGCTCACTTTGTTCCATTAACAATCTTTCCTCTTCTTGAATCATCTGTTCAACTCGGGCTCGTTCATGGGCAGTGAGAGCATTCTGCATGCAAAACAACATTTTATTATGAAAACAAAAGAAAATCTCAAATGACACTCATACAACACAGTAAATCTCTTTCTCAAGAATCACCGGGTTGTCAGGAAGAGGATTGTGTGATTATAATTCTGTTCTGTAATATACAATGTACTGATCTTTTTCCAAGGACCTTCATAAATTATATATCATTAATTCTGAATGTTCATATACAGTGCAGTCAGACATGTACATCTTGTAAAATTATCAAAATTATCAATTATCCTCTATGGTGGCATAGATGAGCTATGGGTTCCAGTGACAAGAAGTGGGGTTATAATTTAACAATTTTACACAAATTAACTGTATGGCAGCATTCACACCAAAAGCACTGTCACAATAACTGATACATGGCTTTCATACTTTAGTACACTACGTGTAGCTAACCTGTTGTGCAAGAGTTCTCTTGGTAACATCCACTTCCCTCTGTAATTCTTTCCTCTTTTCTAACAAAGTCCCATCATCTCTGGGAGCACTGTCAACTTGTGCCTTCACTTTGTCATAAACTGATCTCACATGTGCAAGTGCATCTTCTGCCACTTTCATTTGCAATTCACTCTTCTTCAAAGCTCTGTCAAATTGGCAGTACAAAAAGCACAATAAACCCACATGCATGACAAGCATCAACAAAAATGCCTATATTATTAGTATTGTAAAATGAGTATTTATAAAAAAGAAACATTTAGTAATTCTTCCTTGTGTCTAATGACTAGAACAATAATATTATTAGTTTTTAACAATTTGCAGACCTGTATAAAACAATACTTAGTAGATTAAGGAGTATATAACTGATTAAGAATACAAAGTGAAACAACAAAAAAATACTTGTGATTTGAGGTACATCACGTAAAACAAAAAATTAAAAATTCAACCACTGCCATACTTGAGATCTCTTTCCTTTTCTCTCATCTTCCTGGCATGAATATCATGGTTGGATTTCTTCTCTATAGCAGCATGTTTCAAATTCAAATCTAAAGTTCCCCTGCAAAAAAATGTTACCATGTTAATAGCAGTTGATATGGCTATAGTTGCACCTAAAACATACATCATGTATATTGTTTTGAATTCTTAGTTTTTCTTGATCAGTAATGAACAAGACAATTTTTCATTAAAGAAATACAGGGTTGTATACCTGTCTCCTAAAAATTCAGCCTGTCTCTCCTTTGCAAGTTCAAATTCTTTTGCCAAAAAATCTACCTCTCTTTCCTGAAACAAATTAAAAAAAACCTAGTACACACTGTTCAATGTAATAGCATTTTTAAACGTCAACATCTTAAATGTATCCAAGCAGTGGTGAGCCACTAGCCACTCGCACACTCAACTGGGACCTGAACAATGTACAACATACATTGTACATTGCTCCGTACCTTGGATTCAAATATATGTCGCTGTCGATCAAGTGCTTCCGAGAGATCTGTCTTCTCCTCCTCCAGGTAATGCTTCTTACTTTCCATTCTTTGCAGCTCTTTGGTCACCTCATTAACATTCCCATCAAGATTTGCTCTCTTTTCCTCATTTTCTCTATAAAGCATACATTATCATGATGATTAGCTTTAATCAAAGAGTGTATTGATACAGGTATGTTTATTCCAGAACCACCAACTATACCACCTGTAAATCTAGTAATTAAAGGCTCAGTGTAAAGATTTCCTACTTGAACATGTACACATAAATAATTATACAATGTACAACTATGTTACAGGTCAAATTTGATTTTGGGTTAAAATTTGTTAACCTCAATTGTGTCTATGTTGATTCTCAATTTCCTAACAAAATTTCATGTCTAGTATAAATTTACCTGAGTTGTCTTGTCAAAAGATCAGTCTGTTTGGTGATGTGTGCTGGCTGTGAGTGTACTTGAACCAGCTGATCCTGAGGATATCAAAGAGAGCAGATAATGAAAATTTAAAAAAGAAATGCATTGTGACAAGTATTCACATATTCATACATCATGGGCTGCAGCTTAGGTAATTCAATTGACCAATTTTCAGGTACATACAATGTACAAGAAACGACGGAAACATAATGTTTTTCTCACCCCACGATACAAAAGAATAACATACAAAGTACTGACAGGAGTTAGTAAACAGACAAGGTGCAAGTTGTACATGTACATTTACAGGGGTGTATCGTGCAGATGGCTCAAAAGATTCTGGAATCCCTCATTTTCTCTTTTTAGAATTTTAAGACTTAAGTCAATGACATGATGTAACATCCTCGGAGACCCTGGGGGGGCAGATAAGACAGTATGACCAAATATTGACATTGAAGCTGGGCAAGCTGACCTTCTGTCAACAGATTAAGAAATGAGAAATTATACTTGGCGAAAATGTCAAGGAAAAATGTGGAAGGCATGAAGAAAAGTGAAAGCACTTTAATTTTCTTGAGTGCCTTAAGAAGACCCCCAATTTACAAACAATGGTTTAACCAGACCAGTTCCAAACAGTGTACAGTACATCTAACTATGGTCCTGAAACACATTCTGCTGAAGCATAAACCAGTTTCTGTATGATTGGTGCCAGCATTACCCTGAAAAATATGTGTACCCATTTTTTCTGGAACTGTAAGCGTAAATGAAGTATCCTGCCTAAGAAAACAACATAATGACCCCAACAGGGCCTGAAGAACCTGGACCTCTTGATTAAACCACAGTCCTGAAAAGCCCTAACCACGAGTCCAACACCCCCCGTAACCACTGTAAAACTGCAACATGTACATGTAACTGCCACCTTAGAATTGCAGAAACTTTTTTTTACAACAAATGTAACAATTTTACTTCACTAAAGATTGTGACTGACCCTCAGTTTCTGTTGTTCATCCAAGTCCTCCTCCACTTCTTTTCGCAATGCATTCACTTGTGTTTCCCTGTTTTCGACTTCTTCCTTGAGGCTTTTAGCATCAATAGTTCTTTGTGCAATTTCCATTTTAAGTTCCTCAACAGATTTTTGCAGTTCTTTAACCTGCTTTTCAATTTCTCCAGGTTTGGGCATCCTAGAATACTCTCTCTCAAGCATCATTTTCTCTTCACGTAAACCCTCCAGTTTAAATTCCAACTGGTATTGTCTTTCATCTGCCTGAGCAAGTTCATTATGATGTTTTAGCAGTTCTTGTCTTAGTTTATTGACTTCAGTGTTGTCGCCATCAGGAAAGCTATCTCCCTTTTCTAGTTCAGCTCTTTGACGCTGCACCTCTTGATGCATTTCCTTTGCTTTGTGGAGCAGTGAAGATTCCTGCTCTCTTGTTGCCTTAAGACGCTCATGAAGACTGGTATATTTTGCTTTTAGCTTGGCTACTTTTTCACCAGCAAGTTTTCCTTGTGAAAATAGCTGCAAAGAGGAAACCGGGTAAACAGGAAAGCAGTATATAAAATTATACATCTAAAATGTTACTAGAAAATATAACTAGTGTATGTTTTCTTTTGGTCATGTTCAGCATCAGAACGTAAATGTATCCTATAAGTGTTGACCCGAGAAAGATCAGAGCACTCAAAAAAGACAATTTTGATTCCATCGGATTGTAGCGAAAGAGTTAAAAAGTGGGCCGTCTTTCGTCCAAATAATACTACGACGACCTAAATAAGGACCACTATTATTAAGCTTACATGTTTCAGTTAAATACAATTTTTTATCAGGCCGGTCATTCGGACTCTGAAAGAGAAATCCTTAGAAATTACACCACAATATATACTTCTTTACACAATGAACTGGAAAAATAATAAACGACGATACAAGTTTAATAATAAGCTTACCTCGTCAAGGCACTGAAAAGCTGGGCTAGCAGTCACATCGATTGGTCCTTCCTCTTGATTCAGACGAGGAGCTATAGCCCAGATCGCTGGATCGATTTCTCTGCTTAGAGATTCCCTTTCTTCACCCTCACTCATTCTGGTTGTAATGTCCTATTCAGCTAGTGCAACTAGAAAACAGAATACAAGAGTTCTCAAACTTTGCCTCCATCTTTGAAGGAGAAATCAAAATGGAGTACGTTTCTAGGAAACGAGGCTGTCAACAACCTCCCGCCCCAGGCTCTGCTCTTTCAACAAAAAGCAGCTGTTGAAGGACACTATTCTTCGGCATACACGGAGTAGTATGTTTATCATGTGACAACAAAATGGTTGACTTGCAGAGAACTTTGTGCTTTGATGAGGATATTTTACCATGCTTGTTAAAGGAAAGGGAAATATATAGTGGGCAAAAGGCAGAACAGGAAAATGGTATTGTTATGACAGGTTATTTCTCACGCTGTAGCTTTCTATTCATCTGATTCTTGTGTGTTTTAGGTCGAGGTAAACCAGAAACTCATAAGGGGTTTTCAACCCCTTATGAGTTTCTGGTTAAACCTAATTATAATTATCTACATCTACATCTACATAAAATTTAAAATCCTACAAAGGGGGGTACCCACCTCTACAAGACATATATTTGATAAAATTCAAAAAATAAATAAATAAATAAATTGGAAATTGAAAAAAACAAATGTGGCAAATTTCACTTGCTAGTTAAAAACTTCAATTACTCTAATCTAATCTAAGTGCTTTCTGAAACAATGGGTTTTTTTCTATAATAACAACATTGCTAGGCAATGAATTCCATTCCTTTCTTGTCCTGCAATAAAAAGAGTTTCTGCAGGCCTCATGATCTCTTGCAAAGAAATTTCATCAGCAAAAGGTTTCAATACGCTAAAGCTTATATTAATTGTAAACAATTATTGTTCCCTTTATTTTTTTTTCTGGGCTTTAGATGCAGCTACGTTGAAAAAGAGGCTCCAGATTCGCATTGTTGGACAGGAGAGAGATAACGCATTAATTGTATCTTGGAATGATACAAGTCCTGGTGGTTCTGTAAGTATTGAAATAATTCTTTAGTTCAAATGGTCGAGATAGCAGCTAGTCTCCCTCGCAGCCGTTTTTTGGAGCAGAACTGCAGAAATTTTTAAAAACAGTGTGACTTTTATAACCATCACACTGACGATGGCGGATGTACCGTCGAAACATGTTTGTTGAAATTAAAAAGTCGCACCATTTTTAAAGATTCTTCAGTCATATTCACACGCAGATCCATACCGGTTTCCACAGTTTTACGAAAATCGGTCCGATATTTTATAAATATTTTGATAAAAATAAAACTTCCAAGTTGAAATCTGGCCCTGCAAATATCCCGTATGGGCATGAATTACTCAGAAACCCAGGAAAGGGGACATCCTCCTTCCCAGGGTTCTTTCTTACCCGTCCCTGCAAAGGGCCAGAGGGAGAGACCCAGGATGGGTCTGGTCATGTGGTTCCAGAACAAAATTAATTCTGAGGGAGGAGTTCTTTGCCTCACAATAAATATTTTGTGTCTCGTTCATGCAATGATCCTAAGGGTCCACAAGAGGAAGATAGATTTGCTAACCCTATAACTAACATAGGCACGTTAAACGTGCATGAGCTATTTTGAATGCTTCAGTGTAACTTTAATGCTTTGGTGTAACCTTACCAAGAGTGATGAATCTACCTCTTTCATCCTAAATGTAGACTGGGTTTTCATGCGAAATTGCGTATTGCGATACATAAATGAAAACGCGAAACGCTCAGCTGAGTCGATCCTCAAGCTATATATTCACTTTCCTCTGTCTTTTCCTGTTACATCATGCAAGTTAAACAAATCGTTAAAGTGAAATAAATTTCTACTCACCAAACGTTGATTAGAAGGAAAACTCTAAGGTTTCCTCGAAGTTTCTTAAGCCAAAATGTGACTCATCGAATACTGAATAGTTACGAAATACCAGGATTTTTATCATTGTGGTAGATGGTTGCATCATCATAATTCATGAGGTTTTCACGTGCAATTCTACTCAGTGAAACAGTCTTTAACTCCGACAGCATATTTTTTCATGTTTTAAAAGCTATTGCTTCTCAAAAGACAAGAGCCTTTTTTAAGGCATTGGTTACAAAACGAAACAGGTCTTCATACGTCCAAGTTACTATTTATCATTGTGAAAAGCCAATCTGCATGAGATGTACAGTCACACAGCTGACACGTGAAAGTGTTAGACTTTGCCCCCTTTCGTCGTTCGTACGTGAGGAATTCGAGTTATCATTCAGTAAACTAGTAAACAGATTTATAAAAATAACTCACGCACACAATTTGCACATGAAGATGTTGGTCTTTGGCCCTTTTACAATTCGTACATAAAAAAAAGTCAAATTGTTCACTACAAAATTTTCTCAAACGATTTTAAGAAATCACCTCGGCTTCATTATAACATCTGCAATTAAAGTATGTTTCATGCAACGTCAAGGTTGATAACCTAACATTAATTTTATTAACAGTTGTGAAACAGTCTTTAACTCCGACAACTTATTTCGTCATGTTTTAAAAGCCATTGCTTCTTAAAAGATGAGAGCCTTTTTTAAGGCATTGGTTACTAAACGCAACAGGTCTTCATACGTCCAAGTTACTATTATTATTGTGAAAAGCCAATCTGCATGAGATGTACAGTCACACAGCTGGCACGTGAAAGTGTTGGACTTTGCCCCCTTTCGTGGTTCGTACGTGAGGGAATTCGAGTTATCACACAGTAATCTAGTAAACAGAATTATAAAAATAACTCATGCACACAATTTACATGTGAAGATGTTGGTCTTTGGCCCTTTCACAATTCGTACGTAAAAAAGAGGCAAATTGTTTTACTACAAAAGTTTTCTCAAACGATTTTAAGAAATCACCTCGGCTTTATTACAACATCTGCAATTAAATTATGTTTCATGCGACGTCAAGGTTGATAGCCTAACATTTATTAACTTCCAAGAAAATTTTCAAACTGCTGAAATATATTTCTACTTATATCATGTTGCTCCACTCAATATAACAGTATCTAATTATTGTGTCAGTTAGCTTCTTCCAATTTTATTCCCTTACGCTACTGTTTCTACTGAAGTTATGCATCTTTACTAAATAGAACGAAAAAGGTCGGTTGAACTTTATAAGCAAGAGAATAATATTTTTAAAGCTTGTTTACAGGATTAACAATACTCGATACAGCTTTCAAAAAAATAAGCTGCCTTTTAAACTTCTAAAACCACATTTTATAGGGCGCATACTTTCGAATTAAAGTCTATATCTAAATATCAATTGTTGCTTCATTGGAAGAGATTTGACAATATATGATCTTTTATACTCTACCCAGTTGTAGCAGGTGAAACAGAACTCATACTGACATGCGTTGTACCGATAGCCGAATTAGGTCAGAAATGCCTCGAAGCAGCATCCACACTTAAATATGAACCCTTAAACAGCTGCATCACTGTTCACAGCGTTTGAATCATGAAGATATTTTATGTAATGCTCCCAAACACCTGTACCTGTAATAAAAGACGAAAAAATTGTGAAGGATCAAGATGGCGGTCTCAAAGCGCCCTTGTTCGACCTTTACCAATGCCATGTTTAAATAGATGCCAAGATCTCATTGGTTCCTAAGCATCAACTCATAGTACCTTCAACCTTATTGGCTCTTGCAACAAACATCCGAACATACAAAGATACAAAGCCACAAAAATACATACGCTCACACTACTGACATATGAGCTATTTTTTCAAAATAGCTCAATAACTGAAACCATGGGAAATTTCTGCCTAAACAGAACTGCCACTAGATAAGCAAGTTTGCTATTTTACCAGAGGAGAAGGCAAACTCTCGCGTTGTCACTAATAAAAATCTGCAATCTTGAGTTCTACACAAGTGTGTTTATATTGAAGGGAAAATCCCTCTATGTTAAACTTGCATTGAAAGTATCAATTTTGCCTGATAGTGGCTGCTGGTTATCGGGCCGAATCAGTATACTGCACAACCTACACTATTAGGGGTCTTCAGTCTTCGGGAGCAGGGACTTCATATTTGCTGAACCGTCAAAATAATATTTTAGATCTAGTGACTTTCCAGAAAGCTATAGTCTGAAATGAAACGTCAGCTTTCTCCACCCCCTAACCTTTGTTATGATGGGCAATAGAAAAACATATCGCTTTTAATGGTAGATAGAGATATATAGTTCTTACAAACAAATGCAAAGGATGACCACAATGCGACAAATGAAAACAGGAAATCTTGTGGTATAAACAGAGAAAAAACATACAACATAAGCTTTCAAGCGAAAGGCTTTCTTGTATATGGTCCATATGAAAACTTTATTTAAAAACATATGCAACCCAGTGATTTCTTAATATTCTCTAAAGCTAAGCATACCTAACCCTCCCTCCAGAAAACTTTAAAAAAAGGAACAATAAACGATTGGCGGTCGTGCAAGCCAATTTTAACAAAGATGCTTATGGCCATTCAGTTGATTTTAAACGACGACAAAAAAATTTCAAAGACACAAAGCCGTAGATAAAAATATACTCTTTCTAGATTCTGTTTACCTCTTTTCATTTGAACAATCAAACTGTGTCTGGGCCGCGTATTCTCTCTTCCTGTTGCTTGGCCCTATTTGATTCATTTTCAATGTCTGTGACATGAGGACGTGGCGACGCTTGATACATCTTTTCGATGCCCTTTCAAACTATTATAATCTTAGTCTTGAAGACAAATACATTAATCAATTTTGTTTTCTAATGTGGCCTCGACATGTACAACATAGAAATGGCAATTCAAATCCAGTGCATTTTGATCGGTTTGAATACCACTGCATAAATAATTTTTGAATGCACACCAGGTGAATCCGCGATTTCCTCTGCATGTGCCAATATTTGAAGAGGAAAGTATCCCTGATAGAATAACATCCAGATATTCTGAAGTTTATTATGCTTTTGCTGTTAAAGGATTTTGTGCATTATTTTTGGCGTTCAAAATGTCTAGACTAGTCATGACCTTTAAGACAAGGTCAGACACTGTTTGATGACTGCACTTTGCATCTACGTTCTGCAGAGACAAATCTCACACTAAGTCTTATCCACCCCTCCCCCAAATCGTTTGTTTGTAATCTCCCAGATGCTGGGAGACACATGACCAGACCCAACCAGGCTCTCTTGGCGGGTAGGAGAGAGAACCTGGGAGCGAGGTTAGAAAGGGGACTGTTGTCTTCCATAGTTTTTGGTAAGTTGTGACACAAAGGAGCCCACTGTCCATAAAAAAAGGGTCTGGAAGACTAGATAATAAATGGTAGGAATTTTAGAGGCTGGGACGGGGAGGGGTTGGTAAAGTTATAGTGTACCCAAACAATCCACATACACTGCAAATTGATAGTGAGTGCATATGTTACGTTTCAAATTCATCCTTATTACCTTCTCTTTGACCAGGGTTTCATTATATAAGTTTATGTTCCGGTTTAATGTTATCCCTGGTTTAAATATTATTTTCCTCTGTTTCAAACTCAAGGCGAACAAAAGAAAAATACAACGTTTAAAAATTTTACCCAGGAGATAAAATTGAACCACAACTTTATATACATCATTAAATTCTAATTATACCTGTTCCTTTGTTATGTTGGTAATTGAGAAATTAGAACTTTGCATATATGCCTGTGGTTTTTTTTCCGGGTAGTGAATGTCTTTTTTTTGCTATTACATTTTTCTTTAGGGAAGCTATAAAGTGACATTTTTTGGACTTTATGAGCCTTCTCAGCACCAACTTAGGGTATGTACATGTATTTATTTTGAGCATTCAGTGACTTTACGTTAAGGGTAATAGAGTAATGTAGGATTGAAAATTAGAGCTATGACATCCTGCATATTGTGCATGTCATTTTTATTTTGAACAAAGAAAACCATGTTCTAAGCCATTTTCAGTTTGCCCAACGCTTTTATCTTAACTCCATTATTGTGAACAATTTCAATTAAGCATACAGCGTAGACTGGAAAAGGACTAATTTTCATAAATCAACCCACTAAGAAAGAGGTCTGGAGGTGAAATGATTTCTCAAACTGTGGCCTAAGTTAGACTTCATTTAAATAATCAAGCCATTAATTTTTTAAAGAATTAGTAAGAACGGTTGATGTTATAACCCCATTTCCTTTTGGTTTAGATCCTCTTTATCCATGACAAAAAAGTGACAGTGGTAGGGGCATCAGTGAACCAAGAGCGGACCCTGCTTGGTGAGAATAGATATCAAATTACATAGAAAATAAAGATAACTAGTGACCAGCCTGTATATTAACTTTATAAAAATTTATAAAGGCCTCTGTTATTTAAAAAAATAATAAAAAACTTAAAAAAATAAGAAAAAGAAAAAGATCTCAAACACTAGGGAATTTTTGGTGACGTTTTTCTTTAGAAGTAGTTTTAAACTTTTTACTGTGAGAATCAAAAAACCATGGACACCTGTTCTGGGATATTGTTGTGTTGAAAGGATAAGGTCAATCATGTGTGAGAAAACTATATATGGTAAGTACCATTGTTAATTATTTTCTGATTGTTTGGCTTGCTCTGTTGTGGCAATCTTTGTTGTGATTGGTCACAACACAATAAAGTTGCGTGAAATGATAATAATTATTATATTATTTCAGACAACTTTATTGTGTTAAATTCTGATTTTCACAGTAAACTATAAATTGAATTCGCAAATCTAAATCTCAGTGAATTTGCAGTCAATTTTTATATCTTTATATTTTATATTAGCGTTCACTGTTACGGAGTGTTACTTTGGATTGGTGGATGACCCATCCAGCCCTGTAATTCCTGGTTAGTATTCATTGTTGTTAATTTCATGTAATTAATGTCCACAGGACAGCTGAACAGTAGAAATACAGAATTATATTCTAGTTGTATGTGACTCAATAAGTAACTTATGCAAAATTTGTAGTTTTTTTTTCTTAGTAACCACTGTAGTAAAAATATCTTGTAAGTGCATGTTTGAAAAAAAATAAATGTGCCCCTTTAATACAGAGCAATATGTACTCCTACTTCTGATTTCTATCCTTTTCCACTGTCAATTTGTCATCTAAAGTACTGATTGTTCTTTTTTCCATGTCATCTCTGCAGCAATCTACAAGTCGTTTATAGCAGAAATTCGACCGCAGAAACGTATCTACTCATTGTCCATTGAAAGACATACCTTCCAAAGAGTCCAGGTGATTGTAATTAAGTATTACTTTACCCCCTTGCCTACCAGAGCTAAATACACCCAGCAACTAGCCAGACCTTTCTCAATGACCGGAGTTCATTTCTTCAGGCAACTTGAATGACTGAACTTTTAAACATCACTCATTTGCCTACAGGGGCTGTTTGGTAAAGATTAGCTGTGGCACAAAATTTAATTTGGTGTATTGGTTTATTTTTTTTGCTAGTTTCTGTATGGGGAATACCTTGGTTATGGAAGTAACTCCAAGAAAGAGTCCCATATGCTTTTTTTGCACCACAATGTAGGTATGTTGTGCTAATGTGTATGTAAGTATATATACAATGTAAGCTGGCGGTGTTTATTTTTTTCTAGCCGTGCAATGCGATTCTAAATTAACAATCATCCTCTGCTACAACCTATATACCTATTTCAATAATGTATAGGGACTTGTGGGACTTGATTTCATTGGGCAGCTGATTATCTTAAGTATTATAGGACTTAGTGTATTCTCGTTGCAATGCAAAACAACATAAAGAGTCTGTAAGTTTTCCCTAGTTTTATTGGTCAAAGGCAGGCATGGATCCACACCAGTTTCCACCGTTTTACGGAAATAGGTCAGATTTTTCATAATAGATATAATTCTGATGAGTAAAAAGCTTTCCAAGTTGCAAGGCGTCATCTAAGGTGATTGTAACTGGCCAATATATCCTGTCTGAATGGCTTGGAAACCCAAGAAAAGGGCACTTCAGGAAGTTAATCTAAAAAATTTCAAGGGGGAGCATACAGCTGTACCCCAGACCCCCCCCCCTCCTCTCCTAGAAGCTTGCGCCTTTGACGCTCATTTAGGAAATCGGTCAATATTTATCCTAGATCCGTGCCTGAAAGATTGATTGTCTTTCTATTTCAGCAATTGGGTTGTATCACATTCCCATGGCCAGGTCTGGAGATAGGGGAATGGTGAGTTTCTGAAGACCTTTATTCTTACGCATGTCCAAACAATGTACATCTGATCTTTAAGAAATAAATAGTGACGTAGTATTAATTTTGAGACAACAATCATGCAGTGAGCTGCAGGTGCAAGGCAGGAGATTACAGTAATGAGTTAACTAACTGTGTTAGCTTGATTCAACCTATTTTTTTCACTGTTTTCTATTAAGGTTGATATATAATGGTAACAGGACTGAGTGGAGTCCAATTCGGTCTGTAATCATACGAGTGATTAACAAAATCGGACGACGTGTAGCGGGAGTCCGTCCGATTTGTTTAATCACCGAATAGGACGACATGAAGTTCTGTTGCCAATTAATCATAACTATAACATAATTTGTGATATTTTACGCTTTTTTCTAATCAAAACACGAGAAATTCTGAGAGTCTCTTTTGCTAGCAGTGAAAAAATGCCATTTAAGCGTGCGCATGCGATGGTGCGTACTGTCCAATTATAGGCGTGACGTGTACTGTCCTATTACACTATCCTTTTTTTTTTGTTTATAATTTTGTTTTTATTATTATTATTTTTTTTCTATTACACCATCCTATTTGTGATGAAATCAGGACAGTTGATAGCCAATCAGATTTGAGAATTTTGCTATGTATGATTAATCAAGAAATTCTGGTACACTATTTTGTTATTTTTAGTTTATAAATGGTCAGCCAAGAGTTCAGCAAGTGACGGACAAATTCTTTTGGGCTCAGTGGGACAGCCAATATCAACGCCTTTACTTAGTTTATCCAGAGTATAAGGTATAGTATGACGATTTCTTTTTCTGTTGGAATCAATCCTTCAGAAAAACAACTTACCATAATTATTCGAAAGTAGGTTGAGTTTGATCGTCCGGGTGAACGTAGTCCTGAATAGGACTGTTGTTGTTGACAGTGACTGACGTTTCGACAACCTGTGCGGTAGTCATCTTCAGAGTCAAAGTGAGTTGTATCACGTCAGTTGATGGTATTATACTCTGGTCATTGATCTGATTGGTCAATTACGTCGCGATGTTATTGGTCGTCTGTCAGTTGAGCCGTGATGTTATTGGCTATGAAGACTCGTAATCAGTAATTGGTGCGTTTCGATCCGTCTGTTGTCAGAGTTAAACAGTCGTCTATTGTTAGTCAAATTGTCAGTTCTCCAATCGTTCTCTCGTAGTTACTTTTGTTTGATCTCGTCAATAAGTCGTTTGTACGGCGCTGGTAACTGTTGGCTACGATTCAGTGGCGTTTGTTCTAGGTTAATAAACCAGCTTTCTACAGTAAGACGTTGATAGTAGTCTGTAGAATACGATATACATGTCGCAGAGTCCCAGTCAATTTGATGTTTCGTCTGTAAATGGTGCTCAGCAATGTGATTGTTCAATCAATCAATCAATAAACTTTATTTACCCTCGAATTTACAGTATAGCACTCAAGTGCTAATATCTTCCAGCCAACTACATTAATAAATAATTATAATAAAAAGTTAATTCTATATAACAAATAAGATAACTAACTACCTAGACAACTAACTTGCAAATTATCTTGATGTAGAAAGGTTTGCAGTTCCTGCCCTTTTAAGTAAGTTATTGTTCCCAGTAGATATCAGTCGTCGAAAAGAAGTAAAATCAGAAATTGTTGACGTCACCATTCCTCGTCGCTCGTTTGTGTTCGGTCAGTCGCGTGCTTAGGTTTCTGCCGGTTTCACCAATGTAAGAAACCTGGCAGTCGCAGCATTTGATCTTGTATAGTGCTCCCTGTCTGTCCTCCGGTTTGTCTTTGTCCTTGACATTAGTAAGCAGTCGTCGTAAAGTGGTTATCGGTTTGTGTGCAACACGTATATTGTAAGGTTGTAATATGCGTGCAATAGTTTCAGAGGTGCCTCTGATGTACGGTATAGTCGCTGTCGTAACAGGGCCAGAGTTGGTCTGAGTGTTGGAATCAGTGTTACTGTGAGTGTTCCGTCTAACAAAGTCCGTGTTGTAATTGTTCTTACTAAAAACGTTTTAAGATAATCAGTCTCGCCTTGTAGGCTGTCAGGTGAGTCGCAAACTAGTTGCGCTACGTCTCGTCAGAGTCCAGATAATAGTAGCCTTGTGAGAGGTCGGATTGTACGAAGACTGGTCTAGTAATCGGTCGGTATGTGCCATAATTATTCAGTTAAGCCGTGCTCTGGACACTTGCTAAATTTTTGGACCTTCAGAGTGGGTACTTATTCGAGGTGGGCACTAAATTACTTGATTCTCACCATTTTCTACAAGCAGAAAGTTTATTTTGCCACAACCTGGTAAGATGTACCAGTGGATAATATTAACTGATACTTTTGTTTTGTTAGAACAAGTATGGTTATGCTGAACTTGATGGGGAAGATGTCACACCTGACCTCATCTTTACATCATATCAGTTTAACGAGAGAAGATCTCATTTCAGAGTGGTAAGCCTTAGAATGACTGTTGCAACTGTTATAGCCTATCTTATTATAGGAAATTAACCCTCCATGAAATTAACACGAATTTCGAAAATTCGCGTTAATTTATGTCGCGCAAATTTTGGTTAACGTCAGTTTCCGTGACCTTAATTTCCATTATCAGTGGCCGCAAATTCTCAATACACTGGTGACATTCTTCACACGTAAGAAAAAGAAGTATTTTATCAAGGTGGAATTCCACCAGTAACAGTGAAACTGTGAAGAACCCTCCAGGTGGCCAGATTTCTTCGGCTGACCCCCTTCGGACGTTTAGGGAAAGTACCATGAACAAAGGTTTCATTTCGGATTATACGTTCAACTTTGTTCGTATTGTCTCAACAAGTTTTGTTTCTTTTCGAACGTCGTGTTAATTTCCTTTATTTTGAAACGTTTCCCTCTCTCTCGCCTTGATTTTCTGTATTCAAAAGTCGTTTTCCACCAAATTCACGGAAATTTTTAAGTCGCGTTAATATCCAATACCTTAATTTCTTGGAGCGTTAATGTCCTATAACAAGACGCTATCGGAGCGTCCACTTGGGTGTCGTTGTATTACGCGTATGTGAGGATTCTCTTTGTCAGGCACGTGTGAGTGCCGCAATGTTGTTAATTGCTAACGAAGACGTGAAGCCATAGTGGATGTTGCTTAGTATGTGAATGGCTGGAATTTTTTCCCGTAATTCCTATCGTAAACTGGCTCAATGAATAGCAAACGCGCAAGACAACCAAGGAATGTTATGGACTGGTAGCAACCTCTCCATTTTGAGTGGCAAGCAAACGCGCGAGTGAGCTCTCACTTTCTTTCCCCGCACATTGCTCACGCCTCTCCCCCTCGAGCCACTCGCTGTTAACTTCTCTCGACATCCCATAAATGGAGACTTTGCTCGCGGGCTGTTAAGGTTTTCATTGCTGTGAGAGATGGTTCATCATGATCATAATGGCTCGGTCAATTCCAAGCATACCCATACCCCTAAAAGCATTTGTCAAGTGCTGACATCTCCTTTGGCTCTTGACATCTGAGGAAGAGCGGACAAAATTGCTCAAACTCTCGTCTTAGCCAAACTCGTCGATTCCAATCTTTTTTGCGAGATTTGATATCTCCAATTATCGGAACAAATCGCTCCGTTTCTAGGTAAGAAAAAACGTCCTTCCAAACTGAAAAGTATCCCTGCTTCGTCTTGAAATGTTGAAAATGCTTCGCCATGATTTTGTATAATGTTGTAATAATGTTTGATGTTGAGTAAATAGGTAACTCAGCACAAAGACAACGTCTTTGAGCAATATTTTGAAATCTTAACTTCATCATAAAACACAAAAATTTATGATTAAGGGTAGGTTTTGGAAGACCACATTAAACTAAATAATAACATCAGTGAAAAGGAAACACGTAAAATGTTTTAGCCTTTTCCTTTGAAAAAGCTGCCATGTAAATTGTAGACGTTCTCAAGGACTGATGTCTGCTCCGGGCATGATACAAACACCTTGATATTCTAACGATCATCTTTCTAACCAAAACCTTTCCGAAACATCTCAAAGTCTTGCAAGATTCTTCAAAAACAATAATTATTTTTCCAAATTTGGTGAAAGCTGTGCCTGAAAAAATGGGAAAAAAGATAGAAAACTCAAGATATCCAAACACGTAAGGTCGAACTTCATGGGAAAAAGAGACTGCAATATCCTGAGTTTTTGGCTACGTGGAAGTCAGCGGTTTAAGTTGCGTTATGACTTGGATTGGTTGCCCACTTCATTTTTGGCCGTCGGAGCGGCGCGACGGTAAATTCGTTCCACGTTGCATGTACACGATGAAAACAAACCAACAAACAAAAAAACACTTCCGAGCCTTTCCTTACCTCTTTCAGAATACCACAAATGATCGATTTTTGACTTTTTTGCTTCGAAGCATGCGAACCAACGCTTGTAGCCATTGTGGTCATATTTAAATTAATTAAACCAGAGGTCAAGATAGCAGCAAACTAAGTAATTTTCACCACTTGCTCCTTTTAAACAATTTTGTATCAGCAATCATTTTCAATTGAACCAAGCGAATGTTTTTGTCCCTTTTCTTCCATTTCCCGCTCGAAAGTCACTAGTGCACAATACTATAGCTAATTCAGTTTCACATGACAAACCACATTAGGTCACGGTCGCGCAATCGGCTCATCCGTCAGCTTAGTGTCTGATTAGTGGCACTCAAGGGAAAGGGTTCTGAAGGCGCAGACCCCCACCTTATTATGGCTAAACTGAGGCCCTCAGGGGCTGGATTATTGGGGCCGCCACTTACTTAACGATCTGAATCTGCCACTGTAGAGGGAAAAAGGCCGCAAGTCCCTCTAAACATTTCACTATAAAGTTTTAATCGATAATAGTTTGGGGAAATGTTGAGAGAGACTTCAGGCCTTTTCCCTTTGACTCCCATGGTAAGTTTAATGTCTCCCTTCTTTGTGTGGTTGAGAGTTCAAACTAGATTCTGTCAAACGGCTGTCAGTTGTGCATAGTCTAGAAGTTGACAGAATTATTTTAAAATCTATATGGAAATGCTTAATTCCTGCGGTAACTAAATCTCTTGTACTTTCAGCTTAACTTCCCACTTCCTTTTCCTGATGTGGATCTTTTCTCTAAGACGAGGTAAATGTTTGAATACATAAAGTATACATACAATGCATAAGCTATGAGGATGTTAGTGGAAATCAGCTACATTATTTTATCCTTTCAGTTGTTCTTTGCTTTGAGATTTCTTTTATGAACCTACTTAATAAGCTGCTGCTGCTGCAATGCTCCTTACACCATTTCCAATTTGCCACGTACTTGGCCTTTACTAGTGCCAGTCTAGAACATGATTTTATTTCCTTAATGCAAATTTTCTAAATTCTCTCATATGTTGTTAAGTGTTTACTGTTTAACACTCTGAATTATTTTGCAGTCATCCAGAGTATATTGATGTTGCTCTTGCCCAGACTGTCTCTGGTAAATAGCAATCGTTCAGTTGATATCTGTTCGGAACTGAAATTCTATTTTCTGTTAGATTGTTGGGACGTGTGGGAACTAGGCCTTAAGTTAGTGTTCAGGGGCTTGGACCCCCCTTTGGTTTTTTTGACATGTGTTTTTTCGCTTGTGTTGTGAATTCTTGTAGTTTGTATCATGGTTATGCTTCGTAAATACAGCTGATTTATGCAAGAAATCGTTTTATTCAATATCCATAGCATTCATGCTTTTTTTTAAGTGGGGTAGAATTCCCATATTTGCTTCAAAGAGAGTCACAGCGCTTATCAAACTTTTTCAACAGGCCAGTGCACTTTTTACGACGCGGACCTTTGTTGTTTTTGTTGTGTTAAGGAAGCAATGAACAGTATGTGTTTTACAGTCAAACCTCATTGTACGATCACCTCTCGTAAGCGACCACTTATCCAAAACACCCAAATATTTTTAGTCAAAGCTTTTTTAGTTATAACCTCTTGTAAACGACCACGTCTTGTAAGTGACCGCGACCACTTTTAAGGATGACGGTTTTAAAATTTTCCATTTCCCCTTCTAAGCGACAACCTGATACAGTAGTCTGATCTTTGTGTTCGCTGTATACTATGCTGCTCAGAGTATGAGAAGGACTTTTAGAAACAACGTGGATTTAAATATATTGTAAACTAAAAGTGACATGTAATACATTCTCTCAAAAAAGTAGATATATCTGGACTTCTCCTTGTAAAAGACCTCCTGCATCTCGACTCTCATAATCGACCACTTAACTCTTCGCATTTTAGGTGTTTAGTTGGTTAGAGTCTTGATTGCAGTGATGAGGGTTGGCATCAAGCCTTCTTCACGTACTTAAGGGAAGATGAAGAAAAAAACAGAGAAGATTCTGGTAGTTGTAGTTGTAGTAAATTGGCATCATCGTCAAAATAGCCTAGTAGTTTCTTTGCAAAAATTCACTGTATTGAAATAACAATTTTCCCATGTTTTATTACGTATCCTCTAACACGGCTTTTTTTTATGCAGAGAAACATCTGAATATGCAAGTGGTTTCTTTACCTATCAAAGGTAATGTAAATAAGTTGTTCATATGTTTATAAGTTCTTGCCGGTGTATTAGTCAATTAATGGAAGTTATAACGTATAACAGTCCCTATTTGAAAGTACATAGTACGACTGTTATGCCGCTGCCTTTCAGTTTGTGAATCTTGCTTTGTTCGTCTTCTTCTGATGGTCTTTTTCAAGTAATCTTTGACCTTATTATGTCTTCCTTGTGTTATATGGAATGGTAATGTTTGGTATCTTTGTTTTTAATTACAGGTTCTTTTTATATTTGCCTTCAACACCCAGTATCTGGAGAAACAACTGAATCACAGGTATATAAGAGTTCTATTGGTTTATCCGTCCTAAAAGGACCTCTCCTGTTTAAAAGGGCTATCTCAGGGGTTTCAATATTGCTGTTTTAAGTCAATTCTTTGCTGAAGTCATTATCAATTCAGTGCCTTTACCCCTAAACAAAATGCTCCTGCATTTACAAGTAGAGTTAAAAAAAAGATACATTTGTATATACCAGACAAATTTCATCAGGGAGCAATAACCATAATAATCTTTTTGGTGATTTCTGGAGGCAATTGGGAATTCGATTGATGCCTCGTTTTAACTTCTTAAAAAGATCATTAACAGATAGCGCGACATAACCCCTTAACATAAGTTTAGAAGAGTGAGGGGTGCATATTATAATTACAGAGCTCTTCGGGACCATCAGCAGAGGGGCATCCCAGTCAGTTGGAATATTCTGTCTATGTTCTGCATCATGGTGAGTCAGTCAAGCTTACCTACTGAAATAAGTTTGGCTCCTCAATCTTTATTTTTGTTGTGCTTTACTTTCATACGCCCCTCCTCAGGCCCCCCTCCCCCATTACAAATGAACTGTCCCCATGAATACTATCAGCCAACCCTTCCCTTACCGACGCTAGTTTAAAGGCTTCCGCTTGTTGCATAAAAAAATGAGAGAGAACGAGAGCGAACTAAACGAGAATTTACATGTACTTTAATTAAACTAAGTTGAAAAAACTAAATTTCTGTACAGTTGCTAAATAGTCTACATAAATTAACCTCGATAGAATTTATTTTTTTCCAAATGTTTACCTTTTTAACTTTGGGTATATTTGAATTTTCCACTGAAGGTTGTTTGATGCACTGCGTGTTACCTACTGTGACCCTGCCAACCACTGATCTACAAAATTATCGCCTGTTCTTCTCTTCTCTCAGTAAGTTTTCTAACTACTATAAAGTTCATTACAAAGCTCGAAATTTGCGTTTAACGCCTGTTGCTTATGCTATGAAATAGATATATCTGACTGAATTAATTGCGATGTCCATTTTGGTGGAGTTTGGTACTGTTTCGAGTTTAAAGAAAGGTAACCTGCATAGCAGCGGTTTTGTTCGGGCGCACGCGCAAACAAGGTTAGTGAGTAGCAAAGCGGCGAGGAGCGCGTGAACGAGCACCCCAATCTCCTCGCGGCTTCGCTTCTCTCGCCCGCGCTAACTTAGCTAGTTTGCGCAACCAGACAAAACCACCAGCTTCGCAGGCTACACTTTCAATCAAGAAAACATAGGCCAGACACTAGCAGGCACATGGCCTGGTACCTCTGAGCACTGAACGATGCTTCTTTGGAACACCTTTGCAGGATTATTCAGTAAATTAACTCTTCATCATTTTATTCATTAGTAACGCGTGTAGAAAATTCGCCGAAAACGGGAATAGTCCTTTTTATCTTCAGCTACTTTAGACCAGCATTATTAATGACTGAATTTTAACTCACTAGATGACTATTTAATGGTGTTTCTTCCTGGTCGCTTCATGCACTTGTTGAACTGTAGTCCAGAACGAGAACCTTGCCATCACATCATCTTACAAGGTAAATCCAACTCTCGGCACTGTTGATCCTAAAAAGTGACACATGGTGCTTCAAAATTTTCTGTCGTGAAATGTATGACTTCCTTATGTTGTTATTGTGCCTTTTGTGCTAATTGTCATCCCACTATGCCACAGTCGAAAGATCCAAGTGGAACTAGAGGTCTTAAGACTTCAGTCCTAAGCATTGAGAAAGTACATTTTAACAACTTTGAAGCTCAGCTCCTGTTCGTGAAGAAAGTTATACTGGAAACATACAGTGGTAGTTGTGTACCAGAAAGCATGCTTAAGATGTCAAGGATCGGCGCAAGGTATCTTTCCTATCTTGAAAATCTGATCCTCTCTGTGCAGTGGGGGTTTCTTAATTGAGCGTGTAAGTATGTGCGGTGTTTACGTTGGGCTACCCTGTATGGTTGTTATCGTAGGCAACGCTATTGGTTATCTTTTTTTTCTCTGAATCAGTTGTGTGCGTCCATTTAGGTGATGCTGTCCCAAAGCTTTCTTCCACGGACGTTTCCTCAGATGAGCCGCGGTTGCTATTGTATCTTAATAAAGAAATTTCTACTTCTTTACAAACAGGTGAAAAAGAATGGTTTAAATTTATTTCTTCTAAACAAGACTAAACTACTTCATTTATCGTATCTTCGTTTCTTACCTTTTCGTTTTTGATTTTTTTTCTGTTCTTTCTTTGAATGTAAGGTTTTTTCCTCTTTTTCTTGACCTATTTTACTTTTTTTTTTTTTACCTAAGGTAAAGTTGTGTCTCTTTTTTTTTAGGGCCTTACATTTTTGACAGCATGTCTGGCAATGCATACAAGTACAATTTTGATAAGGCAGCTCTTGCAGACCTTTTCGCTAGGTATGTCGCACAGCTACGCAGCTGTGTAAACATTTACCGCGCTATGAATATAACTGAGAACCCGAGACCGGGCTGGTTTATCGGATAGCCCACCTTTTCACAAAAACATTGACAATTTTTTTAAAATGTAAATAGTGGTAAGGCGAGATTTCCGACCAGTTGACTGGGCTTTTATAAGGAGGCCCTTACCTTTTTGAACAAAAAGATTTAATCTTTTGGATAGCACATGATTTTTCCACGCGTTTTTGTGGGCTAAGCCCCTTAAATATAAGAGCAGAAGTACTAGCTTCACAGTCCTGGTGGTGATGTTTGACTATTACAGAAGATGCCATTTACTTTTCATTTAGACGTTCTCAGAGTGTTATTAGGGAGCTACGTCAACCGCCGGCAGTGGACTTTTTTTGCATTCTTAGCTTCGCTTTTGCTCAGATTTTCGGACAAACCGTCTTTATAAGCGTGAAGACACTTGGCAGTACGAATTTGCTAGCGTTAAGGACCCCCCCCCCCTGCGTAATCTCCCTATTTATAAAAGGGTGGTGGAGTGATCTTAGTTGATTATTTTTCCATTATTTTGTCTGGACAGGACCCATATGCCAAGTACACGTTTGGCTATACTTCATCTGGCTGTTATTCACTTAAGAGATTCTAACTTAATAAAAAAGGTGAGGTTTCCAGCAAGAAACCCTATTCACGGGTGACCGCAACAGACAATCCATGGGCAAACCAACAAAGAACCTGTTCCCAGGAACCTAACACAATCCTTTGAATACTGTTATTCTCAATTCATGCTTGGATGTGACTTGGTCAAACATTCTGTGTACAATCTTCCTTAATAGGGAGCCTAATCAACGACGACTACAACGGTAGTGAAAGCGTTATTAAAAAAAACTTTATTGCGCCAATTTGCACCCGCTTAATTTGTCAAATGTAGGCGATTTCTCCTAAATTTGAATTCTTCGGGGCCTTTATCCAGCTTCAAAAAGAGAAAGTATGTTCACGTCCTCCATAAAACGTCGAATTCGGAGATTTCATGTCGTAGTCATGTAGTGGACAAAGAAATGTACTAAAAAAAGCGTGCACGTGGAGAGCTGTTGTTGCTCATGAAACCGTCGTCGTCATTGCTTAAGTTCCCTAAAGCTACGGGGAAACGGATGTAACAGCTTCCAACATTGTTGGGCCAACAATGATGGGAGTTGTTGCGCCCGTGTCGGCAGTTGTGAGCAAACGGATGCGACACCTCCCAACAATGTTGGGACCTGCAGTGAATCGTGGGAAGGATACAGCGTATAAGACTTAGGAGACCATTTGTAATGCGCTTGCGTGGCCCTAACAATGTTGTGTGAGCTGTTGGGTGAACTGGGTTAACGGATCCATTGTTGCGCTATCTTTTGGCGATCACGGAACAAAAGAAATGCTGGGAGTTGGCTCAAAAGTTTCACCACAACAACTCCTAACAACAAGCAGCGACATGCAAATGGACACAACATGGAACATCCAACAATGTTGCGTCCGTTTGCACGGGGCTTGATAATGCTGAAAACAGCCGCATTATTGCGTTGGTAATGAATGGCAACAGCAGTAAAGAAAAAGTTTAATAACTGAGTAATTTACTCTGGCTTTAAGAGCAGCGATGTTAGTTTGAGAGGAAGGGACCAAATATTTTGAGATTTGTTTCTTCATTTAGTGAATTGTTAAAATGCAGTTTCTGTAATTTTGTAACTTCCTCAGATTTTTGAGCACCTAAGCCACGACCCTGCAAGTCCAGAGTGTTTAGACCTTCTGCGAGAATATCTTGTGGGTAAGTAGTCACTTTTTGTTTAATTTCAATTTAAGACGGAGACCTGACACTTATGCCCAAGACTGAACGCAGGTTTTTTTTTTTTTAATACAAGCATTTCATGCATGTGTATGACTGGGTTATATCTTTCTTTTTTAACGTGTTTTTCTTGAGGACACTTTGTGATCTATTTTTACACCTCCCTCATGTATTCAGTGGGCTCAAGGGAGGATACCGACGTAATACAGGTTTAACCCTTTAAACCCTAATATCAAAATTGAGATTCTCATTTACTGTCCTTATACCTTCTCAATGGAAGTAGTGGGGAGAATTTGTGGAAATATCAGCTACATTCTTCTTCCCTGATCATGTACTCAATTCTCATGACCACTCTGTTTTCTGAAGCATTGATATTATAAGGAGAAATTTCATACTGATCACTCTTAAGGCTTCAAGGGTTAACTTCATTGTCATTCGACAGGTTCAACGTATGGAACTTTTAGAAGAGAACTGGAAAGAGAAGTAATCACTTTAATTCCGTTCACCTGTGTTGACACCTACAGAGGCCATTTGGAAAAGGTGAAATTTATACTGCACAAAAACACCAGCTGCATGTTCTGAGTCCATGTACATGCAGGTTCTTTACCATAAACAAAAAGTTTCCGGAAAAGCCGGGCGGATTACGACTTTTGGGGTTGTTAAGGGGGTAACGGAACATCTTAAAAGGTAGTCCTGTTTTACCGGACGGAATGTTCCAAACGGAAATTCGAGTTTCATTTCTTCAAAGCCGTCTTTGATACCAGTTCCAGGCTTTGGCTTTCGCGGCCGTTTTTTGGCAGATGGAACTGATTTGAGCAAATGGTAAACGCGATTCCGGGAAGAAATTTACCACGCCTGAATTTAGTTTACCATTTACGCTAACAGTGAACGACCGGAAAACAACCGCAGTTTTTTTTTTTTTTTTCGTTTCCGTTCCTTTTTTTTTTTTTTTATTTTATTTTGAGGCGTTATGTAATGCATAAGCTGTGCGGAAGGTGCGTCACGATCACGTTTTTGATGCTTAAAAGAAATTGTTCAATTCTAATTGGCTAAAAAGGAGTGTCGTCTATAGACCGCAAATTTCACGAGCCTAAATTTTGTTGGTCTTGGAAAAGTTTACTCGTGTTTATTTATTCCATATTGCGCTCGAGATCATATGATTTCCTCTACAAATTCAATATAGAGCAAGCCCTGCCAGAGTGCCACTTGATTGTTCTTTATTCACTTTTTTGCAGGATATCAACAGAAAAAGAATTGCCCAAATTTCCTGCTCGTTTGTAAAAGATAACCAGATTGAATTTCAGGGTGTAAAGGTTTGTAAACATCTAATCAGTCTCTTAATGGAAACCAATCGACCTTCTGCAACAAGACTTCGATCCCGCGTTTGTCTCTGACTTTGTGGTTTTGTTCCTCTCTCAGGGCAAAATGAAACAAGGGGATTTTTGGACAGCTCTACTTCAAAATACAAAGCGACTGCCTCCACGGTCAGTTCCACATCAGTTACGAGCGTATGGTACACATTTCTCTAGTCAGAAGAACCTCTTATTTGTGGGGCCTTGTAAGAGCTGCGTATATAGGCGAATCTTTGTTTACATTTTTTGCCTCATTAGCACATGCCTTGCATTCTCTTGTCAAGCTTTTAAAACAAACTCTCTGAATATCGACAGAGCATATAACTTCAGTTATCTGTGTAAATTTGAATCAGATATACCGAATATTTTCGGAGAAATTATCTTTGGAAACTCGGAACTTTGCAAAGAATGTATGGGCTTATTAGGGAGTTTAAGCAGCAACGTTTTTGAGCGATGCACGTCAACTGGAAGTAAGCGTTTTTCTTTTTAATATATCTTGGCGCTACCAAATTTGTATTACAAGTGTCTTTACTCTTGTAGAGACGATTTGCCCAAGAATTTGCTCAAAATCACAGCTCAAGAGTGCAAAAATGTCACTTCCGGTTGACGTGCGTTGCTCAAAAACGTCGTTGCTGGGTCTCTTTTTTAAATTTAGGCTGATTTAGCAACAGAACGGGAACGTCAATGATGATGGGAAAGAGCGTGGAAAGGACTTAAATCGACTTCCGATGCCAAATTTGCCGCTCTACCATTGGTCAAGCCAGTTGTTTGATTTGCGCGCGCAGTCGTCAACTGACGTTCCCGTTCCGTCGCTAAATCAACCTAATAAACGCTTTTGCAGTTTTTGAGAGCTGCCATTTGCCTTTTTATTGCGTACATAGAGCTGAAAATTGCACAAACTGTTCAAATTAACCAACTTTTTAAACTTTTAATGAATGCTAATGAATTTAACACAAAGGAAATACAAAAATTAACTGCAATATATACAACTGTCCACTTAGTGTTTGGGTGATCACCTCCCACCACCAACTCAGTTGTTCGACCAAGTTAAGTGGTCGCCATCATTAAAAACAGAATCGGATTGGAAAAAACTTGAACAGAATGGCTTGTTTTTAAAGGTTCTAAACTGTTCCAGAGCTTAATAGCTCGATAGTAAAGGGTTCTTTTTTCGGAGGCTAATCTGAAAAGAGGGATGTTCAGTTTTTGGCCACTTCGAGTTGTTTTTGTGCTAACTTGCTCACGAGGTAAGAATTGGGAAGTAAGATATTCAGGGGCGTGACTGGTCATGCATCTGAAGGCCATGATAGCTTGGCGGTTATACAGTTGGTCCTTAACAGGCAACCGGTGTAGTCGCTCTAACCTCTGTGCTAGGCCGTGTGAACTATGTTCTTTTAGGAGAAAACATGCTAGATATTGTTCAATATTTACGTTTAGATAGTTAACCCGGTTTTAACACACCGGTTTCTGCCTTATGCTACATTGTCTTGAATCCTTTAGATAACGACCTTGTTTGCTTTGTATGATTGTAAATTTCTTAGAAGAATTTTCTTTATTTTTCTGTTGATCGCGGATTAAGGTTTCAATTAAAAGTCCCGAATGCTGATTTGTTTGAGCAGGAGTCTGATAGTGACGAGGAGGTGGGTAGAAGTTAGTCTTATGATGCTTGTTTTAGTCGTATCACTTTTGTTTTAGGTAAATTCTGTGCAGAAGAAGAAGATGTCAAACAAATTTCATCAGGGAGCATTAATCATAATTTTTTTTAGTGGTTTTTGCAGGCATGGCATTAAAACTTGAAAAAGCTGGCTTAACTTTGCCAAGTTTCCATCCATGTCCACCCTTGCCATCTCTAGCAATAGACGACATGGAACAGTTTCAATGCCTAAATATGGTCTTATTTTTGGAATTCAGTTGATGTAAAAAACATTTTAGCATTTTTTCAGTGGAGCAAAGGTGTCGCAGTGGTGAGAGCGCTCGCCTCCCACCAATGTGGCCTGGGTTCAAATCCCGACCTGGATGCCATATGTAGGTTGAGTTTGTTGTTGGTTCTCTCCCTTGCTCCGAGAGGTTTTTCTCCGGGTACTCTGGTTTTCCCCTCTGCTCAAAGACCAACATTTCCAAATTCGGATTCGATCTGGGACACACTGACGAGTTTAAACGAGTTCTTAAGAACTCCTAAGTGCTTTGTGGGTGAAAAAAAAAATTAAAAAGATAGCAAATAGTATGAAATAGCCTCTTTAAAAGATTATCATGATTATTATGATGATGACGATGGCAATGTTCATGATAATGATGATTCTAATAAAAGTGACAGTGATAATTGTAAGAATAATGATATTGGAAATTCTGCTTCTTGTTCTTATCGCAAACGGCAAAGGGTTCCACAAAAGTGGCGCAACACGTTTTAACGCTTGATTCCGACGCGTAAAACAATTACCTGTTGGAAAATTTATGAAAAATGGTGAAGAAGAACGAAGAAAAAGAATGATTCTAGTGGGTTTTAGAAAGAGCCGGTCGCTGATGAAAGATGGAGCCTGTTTTTTCAATGATTTCAGTAGACAATAAGGACCAGTTTGAAACTGTTTCGAAACTTTACTGGGAACCAACTTCGGAATTTGATGAATTATTCTAGCTGCAACATTAATTCCCGTCTAAACCATTTAACGGCAGTTTGCGTTGTGAAAATGCATGCAGATAATATGTTTATGTTAATGACGTTATGATTTTAATTGCAGACTGAGGATGCACCACCGGAGACTAGTCTTGTGCAGTCGCTCTACAGAAGACTTTCTGTTTCCAAGTAATGGCATGTTTATTAATTCCCTTATACATAGTAAACAGCGCGAATTCCTCCCTTCAAAGTAGCTCGTCGTTTGCTATTCTCGACAAAAATATTCTCTCATGTTGGAATCCGCCACTATGAAAATCAGAAGGAAACTGGTGCGAGTTAATTTTCGCAAAGACTTGTGGGACTGTTACAAGGTACAAGACCAATAGCTGATTGGCGCGTCCGAATTAACGATCCCAGAAACAATTGCGGGGCATATTTCAGCTCCAGTTTCCTCCTCGGTTTTTAAGATGGCGAATAGACCTTATTCAAGACACCCGCCATCTTTGCACGCGCTTAAGGAATGATGGGAGAGCAATGATGTCACGTGGTTTCTCAGGGGGCAAACAAAAAATGAAATTTGCCAATGCAAGAAACCTTAAAGTGGTGAATTAACAGGGTCTTTCCTTCCATAGGCGGCTTTCTCGTGCGGGAAGTAGCGAGTCTCTTTCCTCTCATGGAAGCAACAGTAAGTGTTAATGACTTTTTTGACTCTTTTGCGCATTTATGGTAGCTTACTAGCAGTTTTATTGAAAGTGAGGAATTATATCAACAACTAAGGTTAGGCGGAACGAGAACCTGTATTGATGTTTGTTATCTTCCTTATAACCAGGAAATAGAGATTCCTTCGATACCACAGAACAACGCAGATCAGTTTTTGAGATCAAAAAACAAAATTTGGTGAGTATGCCACACATCTTGTACGTATGTAATATGCAGAGAGTACGAGCATGTTGACTGGCCTACTTTACTATCCTGTGAATACAGCCGATTCTCATCGCTCTTCATCGCTGGGGACGCTTCAAAGCGTGCCTGGCGCCGAGGAGCGCTGAGAGGCGGCTGTATTCACAGGTTTCTCCTGTACAGCATACTATTCAATCCATCCTCAACACCTAGATGGTAGCCCCCGGTCTTGTTGTTCACAAGCAAATTAACGCTTTCACGGGATAAGGCTAGGCTTTTAATTTATTTAAGGGCTTTTATTATCACAGGGCAGGACTGACAAGACTTGGACCCTAGCAGAGAGAGAATTTTCCGAGACTTCGTTTTCGTTTTACTCTTCCCCGCCCTGAAAAAAATCACGGTGAAATGGGAAATAGTTCAGCAGCAGTCTCTGGGTTGGCGATTATTCCAATCTAACTTCCAATCTTTTACGACGAGCAGGGCAGCAATTAATTTTGATGAATTTCAGGGTTTTGGTACACCTTTTTCTTGTCTATATTTTGCAGACTATAGATCGTCTGGCATCTCATTTACAAAACCATTTACCAAGGGAAGCTAAAGTTAAAATACAAAATATCGCTATTGAATACGTCAAGTGCCAGGTGTGTATACTTATCAACACATTCAAGCTATCCACCTTTAAGCTTCTACTTTAATCGAATTTGACTCAGCAATGGAACATTTGAGTGTCTGAGAACCCAGGGTTGCTAAGTGCGCCAATTTCAAGGGAGTCTGGGTCAAGTCACAAATCCATACGAGCGGATGTAAAATCACGATATCTGATTGGTAGTTCTGCTAGCTTGATGACTTTAAGCTGGACAGTAGTGTCAAAGATATAATTTCCTAAACATGTTCAAGCTATTAAATTCAATTGTCTTTAATTAATTACTTTTACCCATTTACGACAGAATAATACAACAATATGATGTAAATACAGAAACTGTGTAGTAAAGATAAAGTTTTCAAAAAAAAAATATTGACAAGAAGCTCAGGGACGAATAATTTGGCAGTCAACATTTTATTTTCGATTGTTGTTGTTGTTGTTTTTCGTTCGGTTCCGCCGAAAGTGCCTTTGGCTTGCTAATGTTTTCAATTTTTTTTGTACTGCGCAATTTATTAATCGCTCCCTTTTCATCCTCTACAGACTACTTTCAATTTTTCTTATCTCTACAGGCTCGCCAATCGGAGCAGCTGCTTCGTTTGTTTAACCAAGCTTTGGAGTTCACTGATAACCCGTTTACTTTGCCTCTGTAAGATTTGCTTTTATTTATTTTTTCAATCAACGTGTTTTTGTAAAATTCAACAACCGCAAAAGCCTAGCGTTAAAACAGAAAAACTCTCGAGTGCAAGTTCTTAACAATAGTGATCTTAAGATAGAGGTTTTTCGGTAGTTCCGGCTAACCGCTAACGTCAAGAAGTCACATGACTAGTACCTTGCCGTCAGGTTTGGGGTGTGGGGTTCACAGTGTGTACGGCGAGACCACGCTCTAGAGGTAAGTGATTTACCGCAAGGTTTTTTGCGTTCTAAAACATCACAATCCCACGTTTGAGAGGTTATATTACATTTTAGAACTCTTTTGCTTACTAATTATCGAATTCTTTTTCATCTGAACGTAATCTTGAAGACGATTTCTCAGCTAAATATGGCAGCCCCGAGCAGCAACCCGCGAATCTTATGTCCCAAATATGGGCAGACGGCTAATATAAAACCGCTAACCGCAAACCGTAAACTGCGGTCTATCGTTTGCGGTAAGATAGCCAAACCTCGTGCGTAAGGTCTCAAATAACATGAAAAAGCCGGAAACCGTTGTACAGGTTAAAAATGGAATACCGGTTGAGCTTTGAGTCCCTCACACGTTAAAAGATCTCCGTTGCTATGGTGACATAAGAATTCGCGCCTTTCCCAGTAAAAAATGTTGAAGTGAAATTGCTTGGTATTTCATAGGTGTTTTAATGAACAGAACTTTGCAAAGCAGCTTGGAGACACAAAATGTTCTCTTCTCGTGTTGAAAAATATTTCAACAATTTATATTTTTCAACACTCGAACAGAAACTTTGTATCTCCGCGCGACCATGTGATATCCCCTGTTTATCTCATGTTCTATTGAGTGGTTTAAATTCTCCTGGATAGCTTGTACCCCTGGGTAGTTTGTACGTCTTCTACTTGTAAGCATCCTTTTTTTTTTTTTTTTTTTTTTCAGCAGACCCTTAAGGACTTTGTTTGTTTGTTTGTTTGCCTTGTTGTTTTTAATGCAGTCGGTCTTATTGCAGATCTATGCGTGGGACAATGCGTGAAGTGGTTTATTTTCAGTTGGTAGAGAGATATTGCACAGCGGTCTCTGAGCTCAATTTTCCTTTTAGTACTGGTATGTTTCTGAAAATAATAGTAATAAAAAATCAGTCATGCAGGTATTCAATCTTGTTTTTACTGTTATTTTCATCGCGAATTGTCAGAGAATGAATGTCCTTCCTCAAATAGAATTGGCTACCAAATCTCTCGATCAGTCGAATAATTTTAATGAAAATGAGTACGATTAAGTGGTACCTCATCCACAAGGCGAGGTTTCGGCGTCGACCACATTACAGATCGTATTAAGAACTTTCCTTTAAAGGCGTCCCCGATTAGTAGGCTACAGCTGTACGTGTAGCCAGCTGGAAGTTTTGACACGTTAATAAAGTTGCATGTTCAGCTCAGTTGAGTTCACAACTAAACACTCACGCGGCATATGCAAAAAACAACGACAACAACAACAACAAAAAATAACACTTTACTGGGATGCAGTATCAATGTCGTTGTTTTACATTGCAATTTACAGGGTTTCGTTCAAGTATGACCTGTCTTGGATTTAGATGCTTGGATCGAAGGTATTAACTATTTCCCATCTCCCTAAATACGTGTATGCTGGTAGATCTTAGACTGTGGATAATCTTTGAGTATTTTAATCGTTCTTTTCATGCAGAATGTTTTTGCAGTACGTGGATAATGGCGTGTTACATTTGACGAAGAAATTTATTTCTCGTCTTGTTGAAGGTACCTTAATGTTAGTGTTCTCTTCCGGTTTTATTTTTCGTTCTGTTGAGGTTTTCAAATCACCTTGCCATCTTTTTGTGGCCATACTCAACAATCAGACAATCTCATCACAAGGGAGGTCACAGCTTAGTAAGCTGTAACCTCCCTTGTGTGAACACTACTGATCAAGTCACTGTAGATGAATGTCCTTTTTATTAGAGGAAGATTTCCTTGAAAAGAAGTGCTTTTCTTTCGCAGAGTTTGATGGTGAAAGGGAGGAAGAAGATTTTGTCTTTCAAATCATTTGTCGCCTGAAACACGTAAGTCAACTCTGTTAAGTGACGAGTAAAGATACTTAAACAACATGGGGAATGTGTACGAACTTGCGGAACAAAGATTTCTGGAATCGTTTGGGGCAGGGACAAGGGTTAGTGACGATTTTTTGATTGTGTCCAAAGGCAACCATTAGCCAATCATTACTTACACTGTCCAACGAACGATCCAACACTGAAATCATTGCGCCAAAAGCTTTTCCCAATTCTCCAGCCAAGAATTTTTTGGACATAACGAGCTTCTTGTTTTTTCGTGTGGTTTTTCTCACGTGCAGGATGCCGCCAAAGATGCCTTACTGCATTGGGAACACCCATTCAAAGCCAGGTGATTTGATAATTGTCCCATTGTGACTTATCCTGATATGATTACCCGCTATAAGAAAAAGAAAACAAATTCATTACTGTCATTTAACCGTCATGACTTCTTTGACAAGCTAACACCTGCGCTTTTCCTAAAAATAATTTGCTTTTTTGATTTTGTTAAAAACGTTTCTTACAGCTGGTCTTTGTTCAGCGAGCCACGGTAATCTTACGTGTATTATACAGCTTAACAGACTGAAATTAACGTCTATTTTAACCTTTTTTAGGTTTTTTTATCATCATTGTTTATATTCTGAATATTTACGGACATCGTAATTAGCCGTAGCTTTTTTTTTTTGGTACCTTGAAGTCTATATCGATTTCTTTATGTTTGTTGTCAGGTATCTTTCCCAGCGGATTGTGGAAGACTTGTTGATGACAGACAGTCCTGGAGGTATTGTATTTTTGTGTGTATGTTTGTAATAGTTTGTTTGCTAACAATATAGTTCAATGACCACACATTAGTGTAATGACCAAAGACCACAATCGGAAGGACAGCCTCAAGTACATAAGGTGTTTGAATATAATTGTGCTGCATTAACTGGTAAATAATTAATGACATAAAATCAAGATAGAGAAATATCTCCAGTTCAATGATGAAGTTCTTGTGAGCTGTTCACTAGCTTAGTTTTTGAAAACGAACACAGACTGATAGTAATGGGAAAAGTTGGATTTGACTCCAACAAACTGTGGTACCTCAGCTGTCCCTGCGTGCCTGAGTCGACTAACATCAGCGCATGCATTTTCAGTAATCAAACAAACGTCATTTTGTACTGAATGATCTTTTAAACACCAAAAAAGTAAAAGACTCAAACGCCTTGGAGAAAGTACAACGTAGAGCATCCCATATTGGGCTAGACATTGTCCTTAAATGGCCAACACTTAAACAAAGAAGATTATTTTCGTCGCTTACCGAGTGTTATAAGACACTAAACAGACCTAATGGACTAGATGCCACAGTATTTTTTATGTTTGCACGTGATTTTCGACCCTCAAGAGCTAATCACCGTTTTAAACTTAAGTTTGCATCGGCAACTTTAAATAGTTTTAAACATTCTTTTTTTATACGCGTAATCGATAAGTGGAATTATCTACCCAAGGAAATTGCTGAGGCGAAAAATTTGAACATTTTTGAGAACGGACTGACATGTCATCTTGCAAATTTTTCTAGTGAACACTAAGTTCTTCAAACGTGTAATGTATTATATGTTTTATATTTAATATTTTAAACGAAATAAAGGGAGATGTAAAGAATCAACCACAAGAGGACACAGAAAAAATCTGAGCCCCAGATGGGATTCGAACCCACGTCCCTCCGTGTTCTAGATCGGATGCTCTAACCCCTGAGCTACTGAGGACTCGTTGGCGAGCAAGGGTAATTTTTGTGGGTTAGACTTGCGAACCGCATCTCGCAGTCACACAGTCCATCACAAGCAACACATTAAGGCTTAACTGTATCACACAGTCACATTAATAGCAAGAAATATTTTAAACAGTTGTCAATAATTAGTGTTCTTAATTTATTTTATTATCAGGAGATAAACTAGAAAGGGATGTCCTCTATGGATTTGTGAATTACATTATTAAACAATCACATGTCTGATCGATGGTTTATCAACAGGTGCGCGTGAGAATTTGGATTACTCATACAGTAGCGCAAGAGACGCCACTTCTAATGGGAGACCAGCAAGTTTGTCGAGTAAGTCACCCTCTTTTAAGTAGTGATAATAAAGGGTTTCATGCGTCCTTTTTATTTTCTGGAACTGGCAGTAACAGTTCAATTTAAGTTGGCTCCGTTATTTAAAGAAATCGAATTGATGGCTCGTCTTAACATAGAGCAATCCTTTGTCGAAATTCCAAACCAATTTCACAGCTGAATTTCAAAGGACTTTATGTTACGGCACTCTGCGTCAAAAATTTCACTGGAAGTTCTTTGGCATAATTTTTTTGATTACATCAATAAAATCTGATACCAGAAATTTCTGTCAAAAATATCAACAAAATTCTTGACTATATTTCTTTGAAATTAAGCATTAATTGCGAAAGCAAATATTTAATTACCACCACTAAAATCGAATTATTTCTTATGATAGTCGTAGTTCTCTGTAAAGTTTCGTAGTAATTGCTTTAAAACCGAAAAAGTTATGAGAAAAAGTTTGTTATAGTTCAATGCGCCTTTTAATAACGGAGCCGCCTTAAACAGCAGACAAATGTTGACGACAGCGTTCAATGAACGGTTTTACAACACGACAGTACTGATTCTTCACATTCACTTGAGTTGTCTCTAGAGTGAATGCTACCGGTTCAGAGGCGAGAACCACCCCCCTCGTCAGCGTATATAATAAAGAGCACCACTGGAGATCATTGATACTGCAGCACAAGGTTCTATCCTTATAGTTTTCTCGATCTTTCAGTCTCCTCAGATGGTGATTCCGATGTATTTCGTCCACTTGCCACTCTGATGTCAGCCCTAAAGAAAGGTGGTAAGTGAATTGCTCACTCGCTTGTTTTCCCATGAAGGCAGACTGGCCTATTCATACCTGTATATATCTAGAAACAATCAGACAAAGAAACTTCAAGATTTGCATGGAATTTATTACCAATCCTGGCAAGCTATTTTAAGCGCTTTATGTTTGCATCAAGACCTTGGTTCTCCGGTGTATACCTCATCATTTTTAGGTATCCTGTGTGAGTGTGCACTTACGCGCAGTATTTTATGTTTACCAGTTTAAGTTTCTAAGGTATGGGGCCACGAAATGTTTTATTGTTTGGGTTCTAGTGGTTTATCTTTTTATTCGATTCTTATTTTAATAAGAATTGAATTAATTAAAATTCGACTTTGGGCATCCGGTTATGATCTGTTATGTTTCTGTTTTTTCAGGCCATTTCTTTGCTACACTTAGAGTTGTCGTCCTAGCTCTTTTCTAAGGGGACTTGTATTGCAGTTAATGAGCAAAGTCAGAAATGACAAATTTAAACTGGAAAAATTCCATGCCATAAACGTAGGATTCATGAGTTTCACTGTAGCTTGTTTATACTGCCTCATCTCTCTCGTAATGTGAACCATTTATTGTTATACTTACAGCAGCGCAGATTGACAAGCAATCGGTTGTCTCAAATGAAGATCTCGACTACATAGAGATGCGTGCTTTGTTGGAAACACAGAGAGAAACTGTTGGCAGCTTAGGAACAATTCCATTCTAAAAACATTTCTTAGCTGGGGAATGTAATTGCAACAACACAGAACAACAGGATAACTGAAGCGAGGATCCAGCACTTAGGATGTTACGGCGACTCACGTAGGTGGAGACGTATGACATTTCAGACTACGACTTGCTTTGCTTCGAAGGAATCACTGTGACCACTATTGTCATGGACAAGGTTATCTGTAGTTAACATTTTAAAGCTCTCAGCGTCCACGTGCGAGGAGACCTCAATTCTCCTTTGATAATTTTTGATTTCGAAAAGTTTTCCTTTCGTTGTGCGACTGAATTGGCAGCGAGTTTCTGATTTCTTGCGTTAAAACAGGGCTAAAATAATAGTGTGCTTTAGCTACAAGAACGAGAACGACTACGCGTACGAGATTTGACTCTTTTTTTTTGACGTTTTTTCGCGTACTCTTAAAAAAATAGACTTTACGGAACGCTGCATCATATTTTTTTTTTTTCACGAGAAACGTAAGCACTGTTATCTTTATTGAAGGAGGTTAAGCCCTCTCCCGATCGCAAAATGATCAAACTTCTAACATTTGATAACTTGTTTCCGCCACTTCAACATTCTCGCTAAAACTCGTAGTAAAGTGACGACGGCTATCTCGTTTTCCCGCCAAAATGACGCTGGCTCACGCGTGAGCACTGGTGAGTATTGAGAAAATCTCGTACTCGTAGTCGTCCTCGTCTTAGCATCTAAAGCTCTCTGATAACAACGACAACGAAGACGATTTTTTTTACATGAATATCACAGTAAAGATGTAACCACCCGCAAATAAGTACAGCTGGTTTATATTATTCATTCAAAGTATTTCTCCATTTTTCATTGGCTAAAATCCCACGCATAATTCATCATAACTAGCTACTGTCGGCCAAATGTGGAAGAGTTTTGCGGTATATGAAAAGTGACGTCAATTGTGCAGCATAATTGTCAGAAAACTGAACACTTAACCGAGAAGACCTGGGGACGAGGTTACGTTGTTTTGCTAAAGAGTACAAAATTGCGTTTTGTGGAGGACGTAAACACAGACAAAGACTTTCTTTATCCTTTCCTGAACTTCGTTAGAGTCTTTTAGAATTTAACTCCAGAAAAAATTGCCCACATTTGACGAATTGAACGAAATGGAATAAGCGCGATAAAGTTTGAAGCAGCGCGAATTCAATTTTTAAGTGACGTTTTCGTAGCCGTCGCCGTGGTTGTTCCCTAAGCTCACGAGCTAGGTAAAACGTCTATCGAAAACTGATTCAATATCGTATCCGTAGTGAAAGCTTATATGGTCCCCAGCTGAGCAATGTGATGTCAAATTTAGTTTTATCTGTCGTACAAAGGCAACGATGGAACCAAAAACGTTGTAATTATTTCCACTTAAAATATTAAAGTATAGAAATGACCAAGAAATTTCATTATTTCACAATGTAAATAGTGCAATTAACAGAGATTAGGAAAAAATAGATTTCATTTTATAATTATTTATATTTATAGATTTTATAATGCTGAAGATGTATGAGTGTTTTTATAAAATATATTGTAAGAAATTCGTTTTTGTGTCTTTCTTTTAATTTAGCCTGTCCCTATATTGCTAACGAGATTTTCGGTTTGTTGTTAATAGCAACTGGAAATTGTAGTGAAATAGTTTCTTATTTAGAGAGTCATTTTTCCATGTAACTAGCCACATTTTTAAAAAAATCTTAATGTCACTAAAGGTATAACCAAATTACTATTTACGCGCCCTACCTAGGTGTACCATCAAAAAATTGCAGTTTAAATAAAAATTCATGGAAATTTATTTTTATGTTAAAAGGTGTTTTACTGTGTTGTATGGTTTAATTTTTAAGGTGCTTTTCTCACACCAATCATAAAACTCTTTTCACCTCCAACTAGAGCGGAATTTAGATAGTGCGCAAAAACAAAGAGTTTTATGAACTTGTTTAGGTAGGTGTCTTCCGCAAATAGAACTTGATTGATTAAAACCGGTTTGGGAAACCGCAATTAACACCATGTTGGAAACCGGCTGAGAAACGATTGGCAAGCAGGGAAGAAAATATTTGTAATTTTATTGTCCTTGGGCTAATTTGAGTAAAAGGTTTGTGTTGTTTGGTTACATTCTTATCTCGTTCTGCTTGTGATAAGTTCTGATCACAGTGTTTTTCAAGTCTCTTACATTCTACCAGTTTATAATGTTTTTACTGGATAAATCAAGAAATTCTGTAAGTAAGATTTCTTTTTTCTTTATATTTTGAAACGGATTTGCTATTGAAAAATCTATTTGTACCATATGTAACAAATTCCGTCTTTACAAACAATAGGTGAATATGTGTCGCGTTGCTAAAACGTTCTAGAGAAAGTCCCACAAATTTACTTTCACCAGTAAGGGGTTTTATTTTCTTTCTCTTGGTTTCATTAGGCTAAGCGATTAGTTTTGATGATATTTTAATATTGTTTTCATATACCAAGGAGAAATAAAATTTTTCCCATTCAGTTAATCGATTAACGTATCCAACACAACCTTGACACATCGAAAAGATTAGATTTTGCTAAAATCCGTTGCTATGGAAAATCAAAACCTTTTAATAACAGAAGAAAAACATAGTTTTTACTGCGCTTTCTTAGAATAGCTGTTTTCGTTTACTTTCTATCTCTTTCTTTATCCTCTCAGTGAAGCGATTTTAACTACTTCTCTTTCTTGTTGTTTGTTTGTTTTGTTTTTGCTTTTTTTTTTTCAGCTAATTGATAAGCTAGCCAGGGCGATTAGTCGTATTCACTTATTGTTTAGCCGGTTATTTCAAGACTTAGGTCATAACATAAACTAAATATATGTTCTTCTTTCTTATTTACCAAAACCCGGTGCTTGGCCGAGCACTTCTTGCCCATTACCTTTCGAATCGTTTTCTTTACCACCATCAAGGTCATCACGAATACCAGCACTCCTTTTCACAGAACTTTAGAACTCGTAACGAAGCGTGCGGGAGGCTGCCATAGATCCAGCCCTTTACGTTGATCGGTATCAAACCATGTGGCTATCTCTCGAATTAACTTTTTGTTACTTAATTATCTTTTTACTAAACACGGTACTATACGCAAGGTAAACGTCGTTGTTTCTTCCAGCGAGGAATAAGATGTTGAAGTGTTTTTTATCTCCACCGCTCGCAGTAAACAGCAAGAAGCACAAATTCGAGGATTAGAGATTATTGCCTAACTCCTGGACTTGTATCCGAAAATAACTGCACAATTGAGAAATGTGTGGTGGATACACGCTCTGGTCTCTCTGATCCCCTGATTCTCTCTTGTGCTAAGTGCCTGGAATCCTGAGATTATACTCGTGCGGCTAAAAGCCTTCAAAAGATGTTTCGACGACTCGCCTCGAAGGTTTACCTGCCTATATATTGATTTATCGAAAAGGATCCCAGAATAAGACAGGCACGAGTCCAAGCTTAACTTTTTGTTTGTTTTCAGTTAGAGGAACTGAAGGAAGTGTCCCATACTGCACAGGAAGCGAAGCTAGACAGAGAGCTACTTCGTTTTGAGGATATGCTCGAGTTGTTTCTTGTTGATAAAGACATGTTTTTGGAGGATCTCTACAGGCGGCTTAAACAAGTTACTTCCCTGTGGAGATCGTGGAGGGGTCAAAGATTGCGTGACGTGCCAGTAACCCACCTTGTGTCCACAAAACAGGTAAAGACTGCAATTCGTGACATTAGAACTTGGGTAAATTGAAGTGCTGATGTTGACATGCCCTTTTCCCTCTCCCTTTCCATTGGAAGAGAAAAAGGGAGGTACCAGAGCAGAGTGATCCAAGTTAGGTGTCCTTGATTGTGGGTTGGGAAAAAAAAGCTAAAAAAATTATGCTCATCACTTCAGGGATGTGCACCTCATGATTGAGTGCCATATAGTCTCCACTTTGCGCACCAAGAGGAGGCTGGACATAAATTTATGAAAAATATATGTTAAACTCTTGCTCGGCCCGTTTAAAGTTCGCGCGGACAACAAAGCAAGAATTAAACATCCCTTTTTAGATCAACAAGATACTCGTCAATACTTTTAACATGTGATTTCCTTTATTAAATTTCTTGTGTTCGACCGCAACACCAAGTTGAGTAAAAGCCTAAAATAAAAGAGCTATAATTTTGTGCCTTTTCTGTTTAAATCTATAGGTAGAAAACCTTATTTGCTGGGAAAAAAATCTCCCAGGGAAAAAGACGGAGGCGAAGTTGAAAGTTGGCAAGAAAAGACCAGATGACATGTTGGTTAGATTTCTACAATCCTGCAAAGAGTCCCACCAGCTCTGTAGACAATTTTTTTTCTCGATATACACACCTCTTCACAAACTTTTCGCTGACGAAAGAGCCGCGTCTATAGAAAAGGAACTGGAACGAGTCCTTAAACAGTGGAGCTCTCTCCTCGTACCAGGCCCCATTAATCACAGAATGCTGAGCCCAGAGAGCTCCGAAGCAGTTTACAATATGAAGATCACAAACAAACCACGTGACACGCGATTTAACCTCATTTTGAGACTAGTGCCAGACTTTGCCGTGAAAGGTTATAAAGTTCTCTTTCTTGCACGTCAGTGGAGAAATATGTTGGGTTCATCTGGTTACTGGAGGGAGTTGAAATTCATCCACAGCAAGAAGCAGTGGGCCTCAAGGCCTGAACCCTCCTACTCAAGTGTTTGTAGAAGTACATTCCATAAGTTAGAAAAGGAGTTGACCTGTTTTGGAGAGGGCGAGATGACGGAGTCAGAAGGTCGTGTAATGAGAATAGGCGATCGAACAGCATCACGTGACAATGAAGTGCTTGGAACGAATATGAAATTTCATTCGCTAAGAGAAACCGATGAGAGATTCCCCTGCTTGGCCTCATTTAATTTAGACATGAACAAGAAACGAAGAGAATTTTCAAGGATGGATCTAAAGCGAAAACAGGTCAAAGTACCGGGAGTCAAAACAGAAATTCTCGATAGGAAACTAAGATCGCGTTACACGGCCGAGAAAACCGTAGAGGGCCCGTTGTTCCACACTTTGGCTGTTTCGAGGACGAAATGCTGGGGTTCAAGAAATGAGATTTCAAGCAAAAAGCAACAAAATAACTTGGCTGATCATCAATATCTGAAGTCACTCCAACGCTCCCAAACAAAGTGATCATCAGAGAAGCTATTGCGAGGTCATTCAGACTATAGGGTATCATGTTATTCCAAATTTGTGCAGTTACTCACGTTTTTGAAAGGCGAGGAACTTGTTTAGTTCTTATCGACTGAAATAGATTGATCTAGATTTAGTGACCAGCCTTTTCAGTAAAACCTGGGTTTGCAGGGGGTTTTCATCAGTTTTCACGGGCTCATAAACCAGATCTTAGTCGATGTCCTTTCAAAGGGCGGGAAAAACGCACAAGGTGGGCTAAAATGCCTTCGTTGATTGATTTATCTCGGTCATGTGCGCTTTCTCTAGCGTCGCGTGGAAGAGAGGGCCTAAACCCGACTAAACCTTCAATTCATCATCGCAACATCCGCTACACCAAGAAATTGCAAGTTTTTTAACCTAGAAATCTGTGTTCACGATTAGCCTCCGCTGCCAGAAAGTAAAGAATTTGAAGACTTTCTGACGGTCTTCCAAGACGCATTAATGTAAGATAAAGACAAGCACGTGTAAATCATTACTATAAGTTTTGATTACACTCTAAGCTATTGTAGCTTTCGTAAAGCGCCTTACACATTTACTTCCTTTGGCTTCAAATATATAACAACCTGGTAATTAACAATGTCATCACCTTTACATCAGCAAAAAATAGTCTTTATCCTACAAAAACCATTGAACAGGAACCATTTTTGGGATAATACATCAAAATAACGAACGTATAGAAGAATGATTAAAGGTTTTCTTGTACACTGTTAAAATAATACGTACATTCACCTACTGGGTCATGTTGCTGTTATTGTTGTTCTCTACTGGTAGTATTATCACATTCCTAGCCTTGTGAAATTACACTGAAATTCTTTTTGAGTGTTTTCTTATCTACTTTTGTATCTAGTAAAGGTATCTACTTAAGTTGAAGTGAGCTGTTTCATTTCTCTAAAACGAAAAAAAAAATTACACCCGAGGGTGAAATGAAACCGATTTTGGCTTCTATTCTTTTGAACACTATAATGTGTCTAAATATAACTCTCTATGAGCCTTTAACCAGTTATTGCTAACTTTGGCTTACACTAGTTTGAAAAACTTTGGTTCTGCCTGCTTCTTTCCCAGCCTGTTTAATTTCCACGAGGAAAGTTGTTAAGCTGCTGGAAGAGCAGACTACACTTACGTGCAGCTTAAGATGTTTGATTATCCACTGAGACCATGTACAATACGCCATTTCGAAGTTCCTCCGGGCCTCTGTATCAAAACGAGATTAAGTGCTCAGCCTTAGATATGGAAATGAATGTTCATTCTCATGCAAATAAAACTCAGTTTCACAAGAAAGGTTGCGCACTTGGCCTCATTTTGAAAGTGAAGGTTTTTGGAACTCGGAGTGGCTTATTTGTAACGTTAACGTTCTTAACGGAATTTTTCCTTTGATTGTTTGTTTTTGTTTTTGCATTTTTGCATATGCATTCATACAACAGTAAACAGGGAAAAATGGGAAAAAAAGTTTCCTTGAATAAAAAGGGGTGGCCTGAAATGGTTAAACAAACATATCGAACTAAAAAGGTCTCAAAACAAAAACGTGGTAACGTGATGACTTGCAACGGTAAACTATGTAAAAAATAATATATAAATTTATAGTTATATTTTTTAGGGAGTTTTTGCCTTCACGTGCACATTTTTTCCAAATACGTAAAAAAGTGAATATCCTTAAAGATCTTGAAACCTTTTGTTTAAAAGATTGCGCAAAAGATTAGAATGTCGTTTGATCATGAAGCAGTGCTAGCGAATGTTGCGGTAATCTCAGCGAAAATCTTCATGAAACATGTTTTGTTTAAAACATAGTTTTTGATAACGTTTTTCTTGGTGTCTATTCGGGACCAGATATCTCTCTGATTGAAAGAGCACAAGAAGCTGAAAGTAGTCAGGTATATTGTTGCTAAGACGTTAATGTCTCACTGTAATTTCTAGTGGCTTTTTTATATGTACAACATTATGAACAGTAAATGTAAATAATTCCGACAATGACCCATGGCCTTCTGCCGAATATATGAGTGCACTGAAGGTTTGCTATGGCACTCTTGACGGATTGATTCCCTACTGTAGTGTAGGCACTGGCTTTGGTGAAAGCAGCTGGAAAGCAAATAAATTAAAAGAAATTACGTTTTATGTTTTCTAGCATCGACTTAACACTGACAACATGATAGCTATTGACAGAACGATAATCATGTAAAACTAAGCTTTTGTTTATCTTCAACTGCCCATTTACACTGTAGCTCCATATCTTGACAGAATAAATAGAAAGAGCCAACCCCCTAACCCCGAAATCAAGGATGGAAGCTGTCGTGAATTGTCCTCATTAAAGTTTTCCTCAACAAGTTTCAAAACCAACTTCGCACACCCACAACCCGTTCTTAAAAGAAAACCGTAACTAACGAGTGGCACGGATTTATATATCTGAAAACAATACTTCTGTTATCATGGTTGTAGTTTTAGAAGTTTACTTCACTGTTTATTTTTGAATATTCGAACATCATATTATGTCAATTTTATAGCATTTACCTTAGTTCCTTTAAAAACTCTTTCGGTCTGACGGGTGTATTAAGAGGGATCCGAAGACCCGAGTCCAGTACCCGAATACTTTCCGTTTAAGTCTTACCTTTTAAAGCTTTGATTCGAACATATCCACGACACTGTCCTTGATGTGGTTTCCTAGAAAGGGAAGGAAATTTAATCATTATTGTTCATTCAAATTTCTTTCTCTGCCCCTAATAGACCATTTTCGATATACTAAAATTCACTCTTGGCTCCGGCGTGGGGGAATAAAACAAAGAAATGTGTTACTCATCACTGAGACAACCCGCAGGAGCTGACCAAATTTGGAAGTGAGAACATTACACCATAGTTGACGTCAGTCACTCTGACGTCGATGATTTTATATTGCAATTATTGACGTCGTACAAGACCGCGGCACGGTAGCTAATATCTGTCTTGGCGTTTAATACTGTAGAGCTCAACAAAAATGCGAGACTTCACGGTTAAACTGTTTATGTCGCTCTCGGTAATTTTTGGACGCTTATAAGTATTTGCAGAAACTCGTAAGGGGTTAACCCCTTTGAGTTTCTGGTATTTGATCAAAGATAACAAGACAGAACAATACCCACGGCTCCCAAATCAAGGTCTTTTTTTGATACGTAGTCTAGCACATTAATACGTAAATTATAAATAATTCAAGGAAAGAAAACAGACAGATTCACTTTCTTAGTATTATGGCCCCACATTTTTAAATAGACTAAACATGGGGTAATAAACTTTTTGTCAGCTTGTGGCTTGGATAAAAAATTAATATTAGTGACTTTGTACAACAACAGTTAATAACTCAGCGAATTTTGACTATGGGGCCAGTTTAGGAAGCATTGTGAATAATTTCAGGAAAAAATTGTCAGATTTTCTTTTTTAAAAGTGATGGAAAATATTAAATTCAATACATGTTTGAATAATAACAAATGCCCCATCCCAGGTAGACGTTTATTGGTGGCAGCGGCCCCAGTGATCGAGAACACACGACTTCACATACCGTACGCCCAATAAATACCCAAGGGAATGGACTTGCCTGGAATTATGGAACCATTAGTGTTTAATAAAAGTCAGCTTAACTTACTAATTTCTGGTAAACACGCCTTTTCTTTACACATGCACCTTCCCCCAGCGAAAAATTCGAGAATATCTTCTAGTCTTTCATCGGGTTTGCACACTGGGTTTTTTGGTGTTGTTTTACATAAAGGCCTGCACCGAGTTTTCCCATTCTTCCTACAACGGCATTTGAGCCTGCAATCTTTGGTGATGAACACGCGACCACGCCTGTATTGCCTACCGTCTACTCGACAAAACTTTTCCTTGGGAACTAAAATGAAATGATAATGTTAGAAGAAGTTTAAAATCACAATACAGACAAATCCGGATTTGTTAAACCCACTGGAAAAAATGATTGATTCAAATTCATGATGAAGTAAACCTTTGTACTCCAGTAAGAAAATCAAATATCCCAGGGCCGAAGTAATTCTGATTTCTGACGCCGCATTTACCAGGAAAGCCAACCGTCCTAAAATATCACTAAGAACACAGCATCCTGTTGGATGCTGTGAGTCAATTCGTCATTGGGAGGGAACAAATCGCTAATTCTAACTAGACAAGTTCCATTACTACAAATACTACAAGCAACTTCGTGGCCCAAAGCGAGAACTCGATTTTCCATTGCAAGTCCTGCATAATGCTGGTAAGATTAAGACTATTTCAGAACGTTTGGAGAATTTCAAAGTTTTCCCGATGAGCTTAATTGTCTAAGAACATCCCAGTCTACTAATACAGCGCCTCTAGAAGGCTCCTCTTTGCTGAGTGGCGGGAAGCGATAAAAGGCGGCCGATGTATTTGCAGACTCGGTTCACCCTATTTTTCTTAAAACAATCAGTATGTCCCAATTATAGGGTTTATACAGTCTCCTATGTGGTTGCAGTCATGACAACTTACTCACCAGGCACACATTCCGGTATTTCACAAGAACACCCTCGTGTTTCTCCCAAAGCAATAATGACTCTCCCTTTGGGTCGCTTTCCCCTGCCACATTTCTTTATCTTTGGACACATGGGTGTACACAATATTTCCCCGTTCTCATTGCACCTGCAACTCTTTGAGCAATTTCCTAAAGTGAAGGTCTCGCCAACTTTGTATTTTCTGTTGGTATCAGGACTGTAGCAGAAAACTAGAGAAAAATAAGAGAAGACATTATAGCTAACTAGTAGGTTTTTCAATCCTCTTAATTAAAGAGATCTGTAAATAAAACGTGATTTCTGAATTTCCACTTTTATGCCTGATAGTTTGCGATATAAAAATGAGCGAGTAGTTTCTCTTTTTGGCGCCGAAAAACAAGGGATTGTCAATATCGATCTGTGCACTAGCTGGGCCTGCATGGAGTCCCCACATTGGTTTATGGGATAAGCTACCACTTCCGAACCTTATTGGAAAATCACGTCCCCAACTAGACTCCAACTAGATTTCGGTTGCTGCATAATCTAAAATGAGGGCATCACGATCAAACGTTGGTCACTATCAAGTTATTTTCAGTGCATGAAGAACTGGAACTGTTTACAGCCTAAACAAAAAAGTGCCGTGCCATTTCTCAGTAAAGGGGTGGTGAAGCTATTTAATCGTGACCTTTTCACGCGCCTGTTCTGTTTTCCCCGCGCTTCGGGTGATTATGGTTAGTTAAAGACATAAAGTTCCTAAAACAAGGGGCGCGATCCATTCAACCAAACTTTTCGGAAATTTCGGTCCAAAACTCAATGGATCGGTTCGGTCCAACCGGAAAAGTTTCGGAAAAACGGGTCCACCTTTTGAGGTGGTCCTCTTTTCCCGGTCGGACCGGTTGGAATTTTGGTTGAATGGATCGCGCCCAAGGTGTCACTCCTTTTGTTTTTCTGTTTATTCAGTCCCTTTAGGACCGCAAGGGAAATATTTATTTTCTGTGCTTGATAAATAAGACATTTTGCCCTATAAAAGCAGCCTGTTTTCGTCTAATTTACCAAGTTTTAAATAGTGTTAATTCATTTTGATTAACAAGATGCCTGACAAACGAAAAAACCAAAAGAAAACCAGTTATAATACTGTAATGAATTCCTAAAGTTCTATGATTATATATCTTTAACTACGATTTAATTAATGAAGTGATACTTTTTATATAAAAGAACTATTTTGTCACTTTATTCCTTCTACTCGATCTCATTCTTGTTTTGGGTGACCTACTCAGTTAGTTCTATGAACTATTTAGGTTTCCCAAACTCTGCACAATTGACCTAAAATTGAATCTTTCAATGGTTTTCCTTTGCACTCTTTTATTTTTATATTTAAAAGCACTGATTTGTATTAATTAATATTCTGTGAGTTAAAATAAAAATTGACTTGACTTGAGTCCCTAGCCATTCTCTCTTGTTTCGTTGTCTAAGTGAATTCGTCCTGCCTCAAACTTTATCGCGGTTATTCCATCTTGTTTAATTCGTCAGGTGGTGACAAATTTTTTGGAGTTGAATTGTAAAGGACTGTGTCAAAGTTCAGGAAAAGAATAAGAAAGTTATTGTCTTATGTTCCCGTCCTAGACAAAACGTAAAATTAGGCACTTTTACGTTGTAGTCGTGCAACGACGGCTAAGAAATGTGCAAAAAAGCGTAATCCATGTGCAAAGTTGTTGTTTTGACTATCCAAACCTATTGCTTTTTTGCCGTTCTCAATGCCGTCGCATCGCATGCCATGTTACTCCCTGGTCTCTCTGGGCGACGTCACAGCTCACGGTAGAGTCCAGGATTGACCGAGCCGAGAACGCCTAAGGATTAGGCTGGCCCTAAAGGTTTGGCTGATGTGTGTGTTTGTGTGTTATGATAAATGTTATTACTCTCCTACATGCCAGGGCTCCTACGTTCAAAACATTTGCAGCGGAAAATCTCCTTACGTCTAAAAGTAAATTTAATTTTTCATTTATGTCTGATAACTAATTAGCGTGAATCTTCCTGATTTCTTTACCCTCGATGATGTATGTGTATTGGTCAGGACGTCATACAACAAAAATACTATTAAATTGCTTAATGTTTTTTCTTCGCCTGGATACGAAAAGAGACTTATTGAAAATTACGTGGTGCTGCCAAGGTAGGAAGGTATAGAAACAAAGAAGTGTGTAAACAGCTCGGGAGACTTTCGTGCGACACAAGATAAAGCTGAACCCGAGCTGGGTGGGCTTATCGACTCAGAAACAGCTTTTTAGTACAATCGGTAATCCACAGCCAAGCACAAATGAGATCCTTCCGTAAATCGCCCACTTAAATTAAGGTCAGTTTTTAGCGTTCGTTTATCGAGTTGAAATTTCGAATTGCTTTCGATAATCCCATCGGAAAGCCCACTGGATCAAAACAGCAAATGATTGAAAATGCAAAAAAGTTTTCACGTGGAACAAAAACGGAAAATTTTCTTCCAGTAGTATGACTTTATACAGAGACAAAAAAAGGCAAAACTCAATTGCATGATACATGCCAAACATCCGGCCTTCGCGAATAATACCGCACACATTTTACACTACACTTGGTTAATTGGTTAATTAAAAAGCGCTAAAGCGAGAAAAGAGGACCAAATTGGTTCTTAGGTGAAGTTTTTGCGCTCTTTTGATAACTAGCGACCTCGAACCTTGGTCTTTACACCAAATAAGAAGCAAATGCTCCTTTATTTGCTCAAAACGTGATGTGAATGACATCAGTCAGCGCGGCACTCGAAAGAAAATGATTTCCCACTTACAGGTAGAATTACAAGTAACTCTCTTTGCGGCTTTTTAAGTCAAGAGGATTAGAGGAGAGGAGAGTATGCTCAAAAAGGCCGACTTGTTACAGTACATATCCGATATCATATGCTTGCTTCTTAAACACGAGCTTAAAGGGTTTTACTACTTACACATCTAATGATGTAATAGTGTCCGAGATTCAAAAGCTAACAGAACACGGCACAATGAATAAGTGTGCATCATTAAACTTCATCGAAACATATTTATTGAGGGAATTTCTGTTTGCCAACGGTGTTTCAAGACATGTGGTATAACTTCCTCTGGCAGTGAATAAATAGAATATTTTCTAACCGTGCTAGCGCCATACATACTTAAATCACAATTGGTTAATAACCGCGGTGTCTGTGTATTGTGTATTTACTTTTCGGAGTTATTACACCAGGCTTTCCTAGAATGTATTATATTGCGCTTAATAAGGTTACAAAATTTGTACAAAGAAAGTACCGAGAAACAGCACGCAAAACAGCTGCATTAATCTTTAAGGTCATGTCAACTTCAACCAAAGTGATTCGAAGAATAGTTTTTGGCAAACAAGCCAAACGCTTAAACCAGCCAAAAAGGATTACTGTAACCGCGTGCCTTCGCTAGTTGAACTTTTGATTTAGTACACTCGACAGTTCCCTGGCAAGTGAATGCGGATGTTCAGATCGAAAACCGTAAAATAAAGAGCAATACGAAAACAACTCTCGCCTTGAGGTGTACGGAAACTAGCCTTAATTTCCTCAGAGGTTGAAAAGGAAAAGAGAATTTAGACAAGCGAAATCTATCTTTGTATGAATGATGTCTGTAGAGGATTGTTTTGCGCAACTTATGATAAGCCGGTTTAAAACTCTTCCCGGGGCAATTGCTAATTAGCCAAACGTGAGAAAATCTAAATGCTTAGGACTGAGTTGTTCAAAAGCTGGATAGCGCTATCATGATCCACTGGATAATATCCAGTGCATAAATATTGCGCTGTACTGTGGATAGAGATTTATCCGGTGAATAGCGCACCTTTTGAACAAAAGCGGCCAGTTCTCTAATAAACTGTTACTTCTGGATGAAAGGCGCAAGTGCTCAGTTGTTTTCGCTGCGTTTTCCTTCTTTATTATAATCAAGGTAAGTATGTTGCCAAAAAGTACCGTTTAGTGGGACGCAATATTGCCGTTTGCAAGAGCAATGGACTCCTCCTGAACCAACTGGAACCTCATCCTCATAAAGCTCTGATCCGGGGGGGCACTGAACAGGTGACGCTTGTGGACAGAGTTCCATGCAACTAACCACACCACTGACGCTGCAATAGCACTGCAATGTACAGTCGCTTGTAATGAAAGAAGAATTTATGGGGTGCGGGTTCCGATCTCCTTTGATTACGCAGCTGGTCACATCTATAATGATTAAAACAAAAAAGAATTTTAAATCATGACTCGCATTTAGCAAGTTCTTGTTACTACAAAAACAATACTTTAGAGGCTTTAAGCATCACCTTTTGAACTTGCATCTTGTGATAAACTCCTGGCGATAACTACAATGAAAAAAATTAACAGTCCAGATTAGTAATAAATAAGCAAATTAAGAGTTAAAACGGAACACGATTCTTTCCGCGTTTCTCGGCAAATAACCACTAGTCAAACTACCTCAGGGGAAAGGTATAGACGGAGTTATAATCTCGATAGACGCCGAACGCCCCTTGTGTACAAGAATCACGTAAGGTGTGGCACTTAATTGGCTTGATTTACACTGTAACAAGAAAGATATGTAAAGAAGCTCTTTTCCTGAGAGACTTTCGAACTATCGTGGAAGGGAAACATCAATTAATAATATATCTAAGGTTTCGTGCAGAAATGTAGTTTTCTGGATTTCGTCTCTGTAATTCCGTTTATTGAGATTAAATTATCCTTTAACCTATTCTCTTTCGGTTTCATCACCTTTTTGCCCTAAAAACTCTCAAAGTTTGTTTTCTCTGTCTTTTTTTTTTCTTTCAATAAAGCAAGCCTATCTCACACTTTTTCAAAGACTGGTGTTTTAGCTCGCAAGCAGAATTGAATACATTTTTAAGATGTTAGCAAATTAAAAATTTGCTATAAAGCTTCAAAGACAGGAAGGAGGGAAAATTGAAAAATTAAGTGTTAATGACAGGCTGGCCTTTTTGCAACAATTGGCAGTGAACGCTCCTGTCAAGAGAGTGTGGCAATGAAATGTATACCCTTCACGCAATCTCACTTTGAAACTTTGTAGGTCCTTGTTCTGATGAGACAAGAAGCAGATGGAAATGTAGGAATAATGACAAAACAAATTCCGGAAACCTTTTGCCTTTTTTCTCTGGTCAATATATATTTTCCACAATCTCATGTAGCAAAAGACAGGAAATTGAAATTGGGCTTGGGAAAGAAGTACGTGTTACTGGTAGATACTACTAATGACGGAAGTGTTTTGTTTTCTGGACAGTCAGAAATCGTTTCTTACCTGACAAGTAATTAGGAAAAACTTAAGACTTTTATTGTAAAGGAAAAGGCCGTAAGGCAAGCTTTATTAGCATCACCTTTAATGTCTGCGAGGGAGTACAGTTACAACTTTATGTCAAGGGAATTGGCATCACAGCCCAGGGCTTCTAGTCTGCCAAATGCCTTTTCGCATTCTCAATAAACTAGTACCACGGAAAACCTGGTGATATATCAGTTTACTTGGTAAGCCGATTAACAGAGCCACAGAAATTCCGTTTCGTCGTAATGAGAAATGGCCACTCAGCGCGCAATCGTGCTGTTCTACTTGAAGTTGTTTTTGTTTTGTCAAAGGGTGTCGTCAAAATATGCTAAGCTGTAGACGTAATGAGAGAGGGATGTCGTCAATGTCATAGACTTGTTTTCCACCTACCTTCAGGGCATGCAATCGGAACAAATGATACATAAACAACACAAGGATTATTAGGAGATAGCAAAAAGTCGAATAAAGGTTCGAAAACGCCTTTTTCCTCTTTCCGTGCGAACTAGGGCTTAACCGCCTTAAACGTGACCAAAAAGCGGCAGTCTCCCATCCTTGCTGAGTTGAGTGTTTTCTTTTCAACTATTCATTAATTTCATCTTTTTGCATCAAACGAAATTTATAATCGATAACTCAACATTTTTTTTTTTGCGGTTCCGCTTTCCATAAAGGACGATAAAAGTTAATACTAAGCTGAGCTAGACTTCATGTGGGTGTTGTATCAATTGGCAAGTTGACTTTCGTTGAAAGTTTTGCTTTGCCACGCCATATAACTATTTTGCATTGTCAACTGAATGATTGTGATGACAAAATAATTCCATTGTCTGTTCGCTACTTTTCTAATGCAATGCTTAGTACACTATGGCGCATGTCATAAAGAAAAAGTCAACAAAAATGTATTTCTTGCGTTCTAGGTTCTTCTAAGTTTGTTTTTAAATCGTCTTTCATTTCCGACCATTGTAACCTACGGTAAACCCGCTGTTACATATGATTAAGTTATATAATTTGTTTAAAGACTATTGCACAATTCTCGATTGGAAATTAACTAAGGCCACAGTCTGTTCCATAATCACTTAAAGTTCTATTGCCTACAGCTAGGCAGGAAATCCAAATACTTTTAAACTAGGCATTTTTTTATTCTCACCTGAACAATGTTTTCCAAATGTCGCAAGGAACAAAACCAGAATCTGCACTGGCAAAATATACATCGCTGTCTTGGAGGATCTTTTAAGTTTCAACCTAGAAAAAAAGCCAAATTTTAGTGGTATTTCTATTTATCGACCAGTCGAGAGATAGCCAGACTTGCTTTTCGCGCACACCGTGTATCTAATACTGTGCCGTAAATCTTCTACACTCCCTACGATCTAATTTGTATAAGTACGCCTTTTTTGAGAAAAAAAGAAAACAATTACCACGATGCGAACTTGTTGACCATCCGAGGTTATTGGTATCGTTTGACCAATTTCTTAATTCAATGAACACTTAATACACGTATGTTCATGTAATATCAACGGCCAAAAAGCATCATGGATCAGTTCACAGGATATTGTTTTCCTAAGCTGCTGGAACTGGCCCATTGGCTCTGGGCCGTAGGCTTTTCAATCCGTTTATATCAGTCGGCCTAACTGGGAGCTTTTATTTGACGCTGTGTGGGATAGTGGATAATAAACGGAAGTCATTAGATGAGAGAAGGGAAAGTGCGAATTGTTATAAAAACGTATGAGATACAATTAATATAGGAGCCGAACACATTTTCGACACATAAACACTCGATTAATTTGCTTAAATTTCAATCAAATCTGAACCATTGGCGTCACTAAATGCCTTCTTTGTAAATAACTGTCCTTTCAAAGTAAAATTTTTTAAGAAATGGTATCCAGCTTGAAATCTAGAGCGTTCGATAGACCAGCAGTCGTAAACATGACATTCCTTACAGGATTTTGGCAGTTCTTGTTTCTGGTGAAGGGATTTTCAGGATTTTGAAGGCGTTCTTTAGTCTTAGTTCTTTCACATGAATTGATACCACACGCCGAGATGGGCTAAGTGCTGCCCTGTACGATTAAAGGATAAAATCTACTGTACAAATACTCCTTTTGCGGTTTGCGTATGCAGCCATGTCCATCTTATACCTGTCGAAATGCGGCGTTTTATCACGAACCTCCAAATTGGCTTAGGCTGTAAACTGCATTTTTTTAAATGTAAAACGATTTGTTCATCCGGGGATATGATTGTCAATATTTCCTGTTCCTTTATCTCCTTTGTTAATTTTCCTTCTTTTTTAAAGTACACACAAGTGCTTTCATTGTCCGTTACCTTTTGCTTCTTATTTGCGGATGTTCAACTTTGCCTATTGTCCATTAAGTTTTGTCCTGAGGGCCCCGGAAGGTGAGATGATACGTACACCCTTGGTTATATTTCACCAATCTTATGTTATAGAGCTTTTTCACTCAAGTGGCCAGCAGCTTTGCAAATTTATTGGAACAGACGAGAGTTTTTACATGAGAAGAAGGTTAAAACTTTCAGGACTGGTTTGGGACACCAACATGGCCGCCGTTTCATTGTATTGGGACACCAATGTGTCCGCCGTGACGTCATGTGGAAATGCTCTTGTTGTGTTCTTTTTTCTTTGTATTTTTGATACTGTTTACTTCCCCCTCAGTGTCCGTGTCAACAGGATAGACCTCACGACGAAACAGAGATATTTCCAACTCAAGCGGAGAATGCTTTCGTGGTTTTGAAGTTGCTTTTCTGAGCTCCAGTTCTTATTTGAAAGCTCGGTGGAAATTACGTTTTAAGGGTTTGGAAAAAAATTCTAAAAATCGTCATGAGACTTATTTCTCCACGGCCAGCTCAAAGTAAATGTTAAAATAGGTCCGCAATGCCTGCAGATGTGGCTCACGATTTACAAGGATAAACTTAAATGTTGCAAAAATTGAAAGGAATTAAGCAATGAAATGATAACAGACATAAATAAGTGAATAAATAAATAAGTAAATAAATAAATAAATAAATAAAAAGTAAACATCGTTTTAGTGTTAGCATATTTCATGAAGTAGCTCTCGACTCGTCTACCTCAAATTCAGTTACCAAAGTCCTATCGAGTGAAAACTTTACCTTGGCACAGTTTTTTTTTATTTTATGTAACTGAATTAACTTAATTCTGATTGATAACCAGGAACTGGCCGGATTACCTTTGGCCTAAATCATATTGTCCGTTTGAGAACAATGGCTGATAATGACTTCGTGGATGGCTCGAGCAGAACTATTTCAGATAAATCCTGACGGAAAGTATTGTTTTCATAGAAAACATTTTAGCAGATGCCTTGGTTGAGCTGTTCGAGTGTTTTTATGCTGTTTTTTTACATCTGCTGATAAATGATTTCGAGTTCTAGGTTCTACATGTACACAAGTGACTAGCGGCGGGGGGTGGGAGAGGGGGGGGAGCGATTTGTGGCAAAAAGCCGGTGGAATGATCAACAGGCTCTTTTAAGTCCTTTATTAATTATCTAAATCTAGAATTGGAGAGGAAACAGAAGGATAGTGTTATCAAAGTATAATTGTAATCATGATAAATTTCCGGAATTTTAAAGGTTGCGTTCGATTATCCGTATTCCGGGACAGCAATACAGATAAATTTTACAAATCCCTCTCACCTAGAATTTAGGAACTCTGGAATACCAGTGGCCGCCATCTTAAAACTGTATTTCAACCAGACTTGCATTTTTTACGGTGTAACGAAGGCCTGAAGAGGCGAGTTGATTCCTTTTATTCTTATTCCGGAAAATAGTTAAACGAACGAGCCCTTACTTTCTAACATAGAAAAATATATCTGCTTAAAAGATAATCAATGATTTCAAAGGAACAAATCAATGATAATTGTTTCTTTAGTATAGAGCATTAGTGTAAAATGACAATCAATGTTTTGCGTCCAGTTGGGAATCACTTAGCCTGCGTGGCAGGCGTTTGAAAGGGAAGGGAAAGGGGGTTTTGGGTGCGAGGGAAACGCGAGGGGCGCATCACTAAAAACCTCGATGAAACTGCTTATTATCCCCCGCTGACTTAGAAATTTGTCTTATTGATAGAAAGGAAATGTAATGATGGATGGCCAGAAAGATATCTTGTAAAAAATGTTGTGTAATTTTCTAGACTTTTCGATTTCCGCTGATAAATTACTAGTTTCCATAAGTGTCCAATCGCTTTCAATTGTTTGTGTCTTGAGGCAATATCGTAATCTTGTCCAAATATTTTCGTGACAAGTTTCAACTTTACTTCAGTTTTTGCTGAGGCAATAAAATGCGCCATATAAGAGTGATCACTTTCTCTATTTAATCTTTCTAAAAGCCGGAATTAAGAGTAATTATGTGGTTAAATGATTTTCTGGAATGTACGTAAAATCTTAGAAAATCAGCTCTGTTTGTGTTAAGGAAAGAAGGCCCAATCGCCGACAGTCTGCTAAGTGTGAAAAAAACTTTGAAACGAATAAATGATTATCAATAATATCATGTCCTAATAATTCAAACAAAGCTTACAGCAAATTGAAGAGGACGCATAATCGAAAAAGCGCCTAAACTGGTAAAATAAAAAGCAGTACAAGAAAACTGTGAATCTATCATTGCATATATTAATCCTTTTGTTTTGGCCTCTCTTGATGATGAGCTCCAAAAACAAAACCGCGTCAAGTTATGCGATTAAAAAATGGACTTGTTCCTGATTCTACCCAAGGCTAAATAGGATTTCACCATTCAGTCCAGTTTTGATCACTTGCCATTAATATTTACAGTAAACATTGTGAGTATTTCGTAGTTGTTCACCCTTCTCTTACTAAAATCTAAAAAGCCTTGCTTTGCATTTAATCGCATTGCCTCCATTTAGCCAGAAAATTTGTCTAGCTTTTTCCTTTCAGACACTTAGCACATTACACAAATCCGAAAAACAAATAAGAAGTCTTAATCTGCAGCTGAGGTAGTATTATACTATTTAAAATCAACGGGCGAAGATTAAACTGCAAACTATCTTATAGTAATGACAATAGAAACGATGAAAAAACAAATAACAATCGAAAACAAGGGATTCACATTTCTAAGATAGAAAATTCTTCTCCATCGGCCAAGTAGAACACTTTCAAATTATTTATTTATTAATTTATTTGATATTTATTTAAAGCGAAGCAAAACGACGTAAAGCACATTAGGGACACAATGGCGGAACGGTCGAAAATGTTTTTCTAAAAAATTTAGAATGATAATGTTGGAACGGCCGGAGACTAGAAGAGCATTAGTGAATTGACAGCACATTTTGTCACGTGAGAAAACTATGAATAGAAAATGGCTCGGAATGGCAATGAAGGTAAAAGCGCGACATCTTTCAACCATATAAGGTCCGATTTGATCGTTGGACCATAGTTAATTGAGTGGAACTGGTTATGAAACCCGTCAGACTCCTTTGTTATATGTTTTTGTGGACCTGAAAGTGCACAACGTTCAAAAGAATTCCTATCATTTTGATTGTATTGACCAATAAAAACGTTGCATTAATTTATTCCGTAACAATTTGCCAACAGAAAACAAAAGATTGTGCACTTTCACGGTGCTTTGAACATAAACTGCAGCACTGTTGTTTTTGTCATTGATGTTTGCCGCTTTTCATAACCAGTCTCCTCTAATAACTATGGTTGGACGAGATAGTTTTGCGGCATTGCAAACAACTCATTTGCATTCAGGTCACCCAAGACAGAAACCACAGACGATATTACAATAGTTTATTGTATTTTCGAGCATCCAAAACACCAAGTACAAGAGATACCATAAATTAACCTCATATCTGCAAACCAGCAAACTGAAATTGTTTTAAGAAAATATCACTGATAACCCAGTTACTGTGGACCCAAAGAGTGAAATGGGTTCTACCTAATTTCTTCTCATGAAGACACAGAGCATACTATATATTCATCCCAGATTAAAATGATTCTGTTTTTAACTGAAGTTCTAAATCGTTTCTCACAATAGAATATCGTCATGTCTGACAATTGTACTTGTAGACTGAACACACAGATATTGTATCTTTACAAAGCCACAAGATGTCTGGTTTGTGTAGCATGATCACTAAACTGATATTTACCTTTGAGGGTATTTAACTCACAATCTAGGGGAAAATATTTTGTCTGAAGACTAAACAATATGCGATTAGTTCCTGAAAGGATGAGGCAATTATTGCTCAAGGCTTTTTTGAGGAACGACAGATGGCAGCAGCCGTAATTACGACTAATCCTACCGCCCACTGAAGAAATGAAATTTGTTTTCCCAAAAGCATCAGGGGCCATCAGGCGTCGCAGACAAATTAGTCAAGTCTAATATGATGCAGCGGTTGACGCAGTATCAAACGTTTCCTATCCTTTAGTACGACCTGGACGGCGGAATAAAGTTGCCAAAACAAACATTTTAAAGTTACATGCGCAAAAAACGGAGAATTTGACTAATGAAAAAAAGGCAGAGGGATTTTTATTCCTGGCGTTCTTGAAGTTTTTGGGACAGTCAAGTGAATACCTTGGAGCATTCGGTTTCATAGTCACCAGATAAAAAGAAAGATGCATTTTTGCGTTTTCAATTCCTTATTCTCTGGCTTGGAGAGCTCATTGCCATTTGTTAGCAATTTCCTTGTTTAAAGACCGTTCCCTTTTAAATCTGACCTCATGTTATCAATTATTGATTCAATTAATTAAGATATCGGTTGGAATAGCAAAAGATCAATAACTTGGAGAGTGTCGCCGTCGTCGCTTCGTGTTTATCTGAAGCCCTTGTCCGGTTGCGGGACCGGAGAGAATCTGTTAGAGCACTGATGATGGTGCCAAAATAAAAAACATTCACGTCCGTCAGAGCTGTAAGTTGTCAACAGAGCAATTCAGTCATGCCTCCACAAAGTGACACGTTACGAACTATTCGATACTTTTGTTGAGTTCATTAATTAACACTTGAAATAACTTACAAACAACGCTTTCAGAGTCTTTAGCGAAATGGAACTGATTTGAAATTACTTGGACATTATAGCGTGCGGGAGCGGAAATAGTCGAAATAGGGGTAGTTTAATGGAGTTGCAAGGCAAGAGACTGCAAATGTGTTAGTAGATGAGTGAATTTTAGTAAGCTACCGGCAAAAAAGTGAGTCGACTTGGGCGGATTATTTAGTTTAAATACCAAATTTCTTACATTCTCTTTGTATAGATATGACAGGAAATATCGAACAGCAAGTGTAATTAAAAACAAAATTCAGTGAAACTTAGTATTCAGCTACAAATAGGAAGGCGGCACCTGTGTTCTAAGACACCTTCTCTTAGTTCTATTCATTTTTTATTATGAGTAAACACTTTTTACTCCGAGGCCATGATACGCACACAGCTCTGAAATGATAAAGATTTTATCACGCGTTACAAATTGTGAAGACATGACACAAACGAAATTCGGTAAACGTTTTATAAACAGTGAAAGTGAAGTCCAAGATCATAGATGATGAGGAGATGATTTTTAGGTATTAAAACAAATAAATAAAAGGAAGAAATGAGATCACTTTAGGTTAGAACACCGAATTCCGAAAAGCCAAAAATAATCACTTTGTCATTATATAACTCTAGACCAGAGTTGTAATTTCGTAATAAAAGGGGCTATAGAAAACCAGTTAAAATAACCCGCATATCGAAGAGGAAGATCCACAAATTGAAATTTTACGCTTGTTTTTTTAAGCTGTGAGAGAACAATAGTAACATAGATCGAGTTAAGATAGCATGTTTTGCACGAACCTACGAGTAACTGTTTTAATAGTTGGTAATATTGTATCAACTATTTGCTGAATTTATCTACGACAAAACTAAGAAATAAAGCAATATTAGCATCAGACTATCCCTGTTTATTTCAAGATGCTACCATTAATATTTTGACTTGATTAATAAATTGAATCTTTAACCAGTACCACTAGTACTCGGCAACATTTGGTCGTCACTTAATAGTTGGATCCACTGAGCGCTAAACACCAAACGTTTAGGGTAGCTAAAACAATGTGTTTTGAATTTAAAGGCCTAGCTACAAGCGGACTAGAAACAGCAAGGTAAGGAAGATTTTTTAGAAACATTTAGAGCAAATTCGATGGTTTTTACCTTGAATGTGTGATGGTGCCCTTTCGTTTTTGCGTGAACCCGCGAGTACCACTGAGAGAACGTGATGTCAACGTAAAGTGCGCCAAGTCGAAAACTCGACGAAGCTTTAATACTTTATATCTTGACTTTGATCCGTTGAATTTCCTGTGCAGGAGGTATCCAGTTACCAAGATGCTTGTGTTAAGTAATATTCTCAATCAACAGTAAAGCAAAAATCAACTACATAGGAAATGGGATTTGCGAACGGATGATCCTTTAACCACAGATAACACCGAATAATTGATTCGGAGCATGCTCGCGGCAACAAACAACCAGCAATGAAATGCTTTCAAAAGAGCTCCCCTTGGAGAATGCAGCGGGAATGACGAGGTAAGCGCAATGCATTTCCTGTAAAAGGATGTAAAGGATTTTCGTCCACATCATTTAGGAACTGTGACAATTTCAATACTTTTCATCATATTGCATTGACCAAGCGCAGTATGTCAACAGTTCAACACGCCCACTTGCTCACGCGCGTGTTGCCTTTGTGGACAAATTCCCGGGATAAGTGATAAACCTTACTTTCGGATTAGGGCTGTG